TATTAATAATATCTTCTTTTGTGCGAATCAAAAACGTAAGTTTTTCATAATAATTGAAATTAATAATGTTGCTCTTTCTCAAATTTATTTGCATGTAGAAGGGTAAAGCTCTTCATTTTCCCATCCATGCTTCCACTTGGCGAAAGTATTGTGAACATAGAGAGCATCTTCAGCAGTCGACTCGTATTTACTTCATCTTGTATTTACTTCATTTACCGAATACAATATATTGAGATATTTTTTAGCAGCGCTCAAAGTAAAGTTATAAAACATGCTCTCATCGGGTTTACGGGGCCTAGTTCGATGAAATTTTGCATAAAAATAATATTCGGCTACAATAGTCTTTGTTTGAAATTGAAAATTCAATGTATGACCAGCATGATTCAATGTTAAATCTATTGCTATTATATATCACCTTGAAAAATAGCAGCTATTGTATTGCTTTTTACATCGATTTTCATTAAACAAAAAGTGACGAGAAAATATCCCCATGCATCTTTTTTTCTCTTCCGGTATATTCAAGTTAATTGCATAATAGACGAGATAAAATTACAGTTTACTGAATGGAAATTTTGAAAACAATCTTCGTCCCTCAAGTTTGTCTACTTGAATACTTTCCTGATTATATACAAGTTGTCAAGCCCTTACCGTTTTCATTGCACCAAACATGAATGATCACATTTCCATCACATGAATAAAAGACATGGTTTATATCCACAAATGAATTGAATTCTAAATTAAGTTCAAATGCATTTATTTTAGTTGAATTTTTTAAAACACCCTGTTTTAAAACAAGGACTTGTTTTTCATAGCAATATTCACCGTATTGTTTTTTATTATTTATTGAAATACCCTTTGGAATGGGCAGTTATAAAATGGCTATGTCCCATATGTCCGCTATGTCCCTACTAAAATGACTATGTCCGCTATGTCCCTACTAAAATGGCTATGTCCCTACTAAAATGGCTATATTCCTACTAAAATGGCTATGTCCGCTATGTCCCTACTAAAATGGCGAAGTCCACTATGTCCCTACTAAAATGGCTATGACCGCTATGTCCCTACTAAAATGGCTATGTCCGCTATGTCCCTACTAAAATGGCTATGCCCGCTATGTTCCTACTGAAATGGCTATGTCCGCTATGTCCCTATGTCCCTGACATAGCCATTTTAGTAGGGACATAGTGGATATCGCCATTTTAGTGGGAACATAGTGGACATCGCCATTTCAGTGGGGACATATCGGAATTGCCATTTCAGAAGGGACATAGTCATTTTAGTAGGGACATAGCGGACATAGCCATTTTAGTATTGACATAGCGGACATAGCAATTTTAGTTGGGACATAGTGGACATCGTCATTTTGGTAGGGGCATAGTGAACATCGCCATTTTAGTGGGGATATCTCCATTTTAGTAGGGACATAGCAGACATAGCCATTTTTGTAGGGACATATCGGGATTGCGATTTTAGAAGGGACATAGCCATTTCAGTAGGGACATATCGGGATTGCGACTTTAGCAGGGACATAGCCATTTTAGTAGGGACATAGCGGACATATGGGACATAGCCATTTTATAACTACCCTTTGGAATGACGCAAAATACGCCAAAATGGTTTGTTTTGACGGCCCTGCTGAACACAATCCAATAGCAAATCCTGCTAAACACAATCCAAATCCTCTTACTCCATAGTGACACCGTATGTCCCATCACTAATTGATTAATAACGCGCTAATTATACGACATAATTAATCCAAAACTAATAGGCTTCTGGTCCGAGATATGATAAACACACATGCACTTGTCATTTTAGTAGGAAAATATCGGATTCGCGATTTTAGATGGGACATCGCCATTTTAGTAGGGACATAGCGGACATAGTCATTTTAGTAAGAAAATATCGGACTCGCGAGTTTAGATGGCACATAGCCATTTTAGTAGGGACATAGCGGACATAGCCATTTTAGTAGGGACATAGCCATTCTAGTAGGGACATTTCACAAACGTTTCACAAGAATTCGAAAAAAATTCAAATTATTCGTTTTAAATAGCCTATCATGCAAATATAAATTATAATTTTCTTAACATTTCATTACATATTGCTACACTTAGTTGTTTTCACTATGCATGATAAAATATATAACATAACACAATAAGTTATTTTCCGCTCCCAGGAGTTAAGTTTCCTCTTATTTCTGAATTGACTACTTCTGTCCAAATGAAGTAGAAGACATCAATAAACAGTCTTTTGTCACTCAAAATTGTCTCAACCCTACATGGAACATTAGCAGTCCTTGACATGTTACAATAATTGTTGTATTTTATTTTTTCAGTTGTGTCTACAGATGGTTTTACAAATTATTTTAGAAAAACTCATTCGATTCTATATAATACCGACCGTATGAAATGATCTGATAATTCAAAACTTGTATATTTTCAGGGATGTCCCATTATATTTGTTGTGCATATTTATGATATTTAATATCGTGCATATTAATACTTAACGGTTATAGTCTAACCAATATTCGATATGATATTTGCATTTCGTTATATGTATATCTTCATGTATCTTGCAAAACAAAAACTATCAGAAATCCATAATAAAAGTTTGACAATTTATAATGAACTTACGAGTGACTCGTAAAATTTATTTTCATCTGCTGTGTGTTGCCTATAGATCGTATATTCGTTAGAGTTCGACATGATGTTACTTCGTTGAACGGATCATTGTCGCCAAATACCTCGTATAACTTGTCCGGCATCTGAACAGAAGAAACATAGGATCATACTGCTTAACTTGTATCTGAGGAAAATAAAGGTCCGAAGATGGCATATTCTTTTTTTTACAAAGAATTGTTCCAAACTTAAGATGAATAAACAAATAATAAGACAACATCGCAATAAATCGCATCAATGCGATACTACGAACAATGAAGTGGAATATTGTGACAAAATAAATTGGATTGAAAATTTAGTCCAATCCGTTCAAATATTAACTAATAATAACGCGCTCATGCTTTAAAAATTGTTCTTTTTAACTCTTAGACTCTTCTTTTTTAAATCTGCAGTACGTAAGTCAAAAATGACTCCAAGAAATAAATTTCAGCCCACACAATTTGCAAAACCGATAAATTATTTTTCAGTATCGTGAATTTCTTAGCATCCCTATCCCATTGAAGATTGCATGAGCATCGAGGCAGTAAGATGTTTAGTGACATGTTAATGAGAATTCTCTACCACCTTTGTAATTAGTGTAAATATCAAAAACAGCGAAAATGTAAATATGTGTTAAGCTGAATATCTCCGACGAAGTTGCATTTGCGGTTACATCCGCCAAATACCGTTCGCCTAGCACAGGGGTGGCCAACCTACATTTGTCATCGATCGACTAAAATTTTCAAAATAGATCGCGATCGACTGATCGGTAGTAAGGTCTTACACAAAAACGAATGGGCACTGAATGTGCAGATAACTGCACACACGCTTACAAAAAATCCACCGCTGCCAATAAGAAGGCTTAAATTATTAATGGGCATATTATTATTAAAAATGACACAGCATTTGTATTTTTTATGTTCCATTTGAGATGTTGATTTGATCATTTGATTGTACCCAGAGTGTATGTTTCATTATTTATTTGATATTTATTTAAATCATACAATTCAGATAAAGGACTGCCCAATTTTTAGTCGTAAGTATTGAAAATTATTTAAGAAACCATGCCAGGTATTATCCAAACAGCGAAAAATAAAGATTCTCAAACCATGAATGTTACATGACTGCTCAAACGTCAGTATCTAATTTACAATTTCCTCCAAACGCGATTCTTCTTCGCTTGCTTAGAATTAGAACAAATTCGGCATTTTGATGCCACTGATACCATTGCGAATGAAATTTATCACTCTACTCTTGGATTGAAACAACAACTCTCGCATACTGCGGAAGTTATTGCAGGGTCGTTTGTCATTCTAGACTAGAGTCTAGACACGCGATATTCGGCACTTCATTTTTAAACCTTGGCAGAGGAAAAATTTGCATTTGTTACGTGATAATAATATGCTTGATCGGGCTTGCCCAGACTCAAATACTGTATGTGTATAATGTATTTTGCGCATGTAAAGTACTGTCTGTATTCGTCCTGTTGCAAAACTCACAACTGGTTCAAGGTAATTTTTGGGAATATTTCAATAAAATTCACTCAACATCAGACGCGATGGACTGCTCGAGACGTGGCGATCGACGTGTTGGCCTCCCCTGGCCTAGCGCAACGATTCTTAAGTATATAAATAGTAGATTTGTTAGGGAAATTAATGCCCAAAATATTATATTGGCCAAATACTTTTTATAATTACGTCACCCTAATTGGAATAGCCACATTCTAAAGGTGAAACGTGACTATTGTTCAACACAATTTTTAAAATACTAGAAACTTGCAAAATGTTGTTGCAAAATTGCACACAAAAGTGTGATTGAATTGCTCGACTCCTCAAACTATGAAAGTCATTTACATCATGATATAAGATATCAAATGTCAAAATTATATAAAAAAATGAATTATAATTAATTAAATGCCATGCTTTGGATTTACAATAACATTCAAACGAGAATATCGGTCAGAGACCGAAGACTTATCGATCGAAAGTTAGGGGATCCCCCAAAACCGCGCTCTTACTCCATAGTGACACCTTGTGTCCAATCACTAATTAATTAATAACTCGCTAGTTATACAACATAATTCATCGAAAATCAATAGGCTCCCAGTACGACATATGATGAATGCACATGCAAAATCTGGAGCAGATTCAATCTCGCTTTTGTGAGATATCGCGTTCATCTAACAGACAGACAAACAAACAATCAATCAACGGGCCAGGATGTAGAGCCGACACGTGCGGATGCACGACGTGTCATGAATCACTGTGTGCAATTTCTCAACATACACAAAAATAAACGTATAAACACTATATAATCAGAACGATTTGAGTCGTTTTCCATTCGAGAAGGAGAGACCGCTTGAACAGACGTAAATATTTTGAGTATAGACTTCAAGCAAATCAGTGCTTCATGATGTTTATCCTTCTTGCAATTGTTTCTGCCTTCGCTATGACGACATGTGCAAGTACTTGTATATTGCCTGAGATAACATGTGAAACAGCATGGGAGCAAGTGAGTAATTTATTTTAAAAACAAACGAAGAATAAAAGTTAATGGAGGCATATAAATCCAAGATTCCAGTCGTGTTTATACACCAAAAACCTTGATAATAATGTTATGAATGATTTTTATGAATGTGGCTGAAACTAGCATAAAGGTAATCACTGCTTAAAATAGAAAAAAAAATAAGTAACAGACCCGATAATTTGATACATACATGTATATTGGATAAAACTCATCGGTCGAATCTGATGCCATTTATAACATGATATGCATTGACAGCCAATTCATATGCATATAAAGCAAATAAAGTGCATACATTGCCAGTCGTATATAAATAAATAGCCAACTTATTACTCAAGTTATATGCATACCTTTTGCATGAAATCATGTGCATGCATGTACAGCCAAGTGTTTGTTATCATAGATATTGATTAAGATTTGAAACGTTTAGAAAAATATGAACACCCTACAGCAAAACGTGATCATGCTACTTTTATTTTTGACAAATCCTCGAAATGTTTTTTAAAATAACAGCAACTTGATACTAGTGTAAAATAGATATAATAAATTGGTGTGGCTCAAGATCTTCAACGTTCTTTGCGTTCCGGTATTATAATTGATATTTTTATACCATGCCCGAACGGATTCATTTATCTCATGCATTCAACACTCGCCGCAGACTCGCACTACTATTTCTTGAAACTTACCTAAGTTCCGATGGTCTGCCAACCCCTTTGGGGGATATTTCCACGCATACGGCAAGTCCCCTTTCAATTCGCCACCTCATCATTCACGGGCGCCCCGGTCCGCATATGGTTAGCGAAAGCTTTTTATGCGGTGTTACATAATATTGTCTTGTGCGCTTGAGGGAGCGCATGCGATAATAACATTTTGTTACAGCATTTTCCAACAAAACCGTAATGAAAGCATAAAAATGATTGAAAACGGCAATTAAATAATAGGGATAAATAAATACTTATTTGTGGCCAACAACCCAGTAGAACCTTTGTCTTGCATACCGCAAAGCGGTGTCAGTGTCCACTGTACAAATAAATAAAAGTTACCAAAAACAGGCAACGTTTTTCACTCTCTAAATTTGTGAAATATTTTGAAAATATCAATTTAAAGATTGTGCCCAATTAGGAGAAGCTTGTCGCAGGCAATAAGTGAGACAATTTTTCTTAAACGTTTAAATCTTGTATCAATTTGTTTGTGCGTTTATATTTATATCAATATCATGATACACTTTATACCAGGGTGGTCCAAGGTTGCGAGAATAAAGGGTCGCAAAAAATTTCGAGTAGGCCTTGCATACCGCAGTCGGGAAACACCTAAAAGTGATCAAAATACTCAGAGTTTGGTCTGCTAGCAGTGGTTTTCAAACATTCGTGTACCGTTGCCCCTATAAACCACTCAACACAGTGTCAACTTGCCATCGCCCCATCGTCCATACTAATAATCGATGAGCTAGGGCTAGGCCAACGGCTTCTGGCTGATATAGTCGCAAATGCAACTGTATCAGAGATCTTCAGCCAAAAATATCTTTACAGTTTCACTAAAGTCTGGTATTTTTGTTCAGATGCCGAATAAGTTATACCAGGTATTCGGCGGCAATGATCCGTTTAACGAAGTAACATCATGCCGAACTTTAACGAATATACGACCTATATGCAACACACAGCAGATGAAAATAAATTTTACAAGTTACTCGTAAGTTCATTATAATTTGCCAAACTTTTATTATAAATTTACAAGTGTTGTGATTCATACAAAGAATTTTTTAATATCAATGGTATGGCGCTACAGACCTTTAAATATATCAATTTCAAACTTGTTTGAACGCTGCTAAACATGGTTTGTCTTAATCCCTAACATTTGTAATATCTCTCCTAATATATGGCTATTGGATAATTTAACTCACAGTTTCAGCCAAATCCAAACCTGCTATAGTAGATTGACTTTTTTACTACAGTTACACAGATTTAAGATTATTCTTGAGCTATTTCTGATAGTGTGTAATTGTGTGCAAGATACATGAAGATATACATATTACAAAATGCAAATATCATATCCAATATTAGTATCAACTATAATCGTTTTATACCAATATGCATGGTACACAATAATATGAATATGCACAACAAATATAATGGCACATCCATGAAAAAGTTTTGAAATATAAGATTATTTCCTGCGGTCGGAGTTTATACACACTCGAACGGGTCTTTCTAAAATAATTTGTAGTTCAATGTTCTGTACCTTGACCTTGTCTACTTTATTTGAACCAAATTAGTCAAACCCAAAATAGTAGCAGCATAACTCCCGGAGCGATAAATGACTTATTTTGTTATGTTATATATTTTATCATGCATATTGAAAATAACTAAGAGTGACAATATGTGATGAAGTCTTGAAGAAAATTATAATGTATATTTGCATGGTAAGCTATTTGAATCCCACAACTTGAAATATTTTTAACATTTCAGTGAAACGTTTGGTCACGCCTCTTTCGATGGCGTTTTCCAAAAGAAAGACACAGGCACCTACAAAATAATCATATCGGAAGAAGCTCGTGAAGGTATGAACGACCTTGGTCGTCTAGGGTGGTGCAAGGTTGTCAGCCTCGCGGGCCAGACTATTATTTTTGTATTGTTCGCGGACCACAATAGTGCCAAGAATAGGTTAACAATGCAATACAAAGCAAACACTTTTATTGTCCAAATACATTGATCATTATTTGTCATTTATCAAGCTAAAACATGCAAAAACCACTACATCTACATTTAGTGTAAGATTCCAAACTCTCCATAACGGAGAAAGTGAAAAAGAAAATACCGTTTTAGATTGTCATCGACACTACTTGCATTGTGGTATTTCGCCTACCATATCGAGTCAAAAATCTGTTTGAATTGGTCAGTTTTATTTTCGAACTCATGTTTACAAAATAACTTACAAATAACTGCAGATTGATTAATTTTCTGACATCTTTTGAAATATTGTTCAGGCTGATTGCAAAGAAACCTATTGTTTTATGAAGCCTATTTTGTTAGCATATATTTACGACCAAAGTTACCAATCTAGAAAAGCCAAGCAGATTAATCAACTTCGCTGGTTGCCTCAGCTAGCCATAACACTAGTAAATTCAGTGACGTAACTATAAGTCAAAAAAAAATTCTGGTCATTTTTATGACGAAACAACACGGAATGCAAATTTTGGTTACCCGCCCTCAATTGCGACACGGGACACAGATAATGAAAAGAGGCCACATGTCGCCCGCGGGCCTGGGTTCGGACCACGCTGGTCTAATTTACAGTAGGATAGTATATGGTGGAATAGTAGTAGACTAGTTGAATTAGTTGAGTAGTATACAGTAGCTGATGATCAAATCCATGGCCTGACCTATTGTTTGTCACAAGACAATATATAGCTGTGTAATTGCTGTTTGTTTTTGTATATTCCAATAGCATAATGCGCATAGACAAAATTTTAACTATTGTCAAGCTATCTGACTGCCGCCCTCTTTTTTTTACATGGTTCCTCTGTCTCACCATCTTTCTTCCCGTCACTCGGGTAATAATGAGTTCTTATTCTACTCATATTGCTAAAATTGTTTCATAATTTTTTTTATACTTTCGCATATGCGACACATATATACATAAAGTAGGTTCCATTACATTTGAACCCACGTACATTTGAACCCATGACAATGCACCTGTATGCTATTGCACCTATGGAATTTTTTTGTTTCACGGGTAGTTAAACCCATACTAACCCTAACCCATGGGTTTTAGCACCCGCATATAGATTGAACCCGTGGATATACGCATGGGTTCAAATGTACATGGGTTCAAATGTACGGTCACCCATGAAGTATACAGTGGAGAAAGAATTTTTTGGAAATGATGCAATGTATAAAATTAGTTTTGTCGTGTATACTAATAATCAGTATTATAAATTATCATAAGAAATTATTTGATTTTGAAACTCTTTTCGTCAGACCTGATACTGCATGACAAATTCATTGCTGACGTGAAGAAAACAGGGAACGCTGAGGATTCTAATGAAGGTGGTGTTTAGTAACCAACATATTTTTTTTTATTGAAATTGAGAAATGCACTATATAAATCAAGATGAACATGTCAGTGTCATTTTTCTGATTAAAAGTGGCCTACATTAGATAACACTTCTCCAATTGTCTGAAATTGGTTGGTGGGCGAAGCCGTAGCTGTATTTGACGGCAAAATTCTTCAACACATCGTTCCTAAGAGGTTCATTGGGGCGACTGTTATCTACGTATAATTAGAAAGTTATTTTTCATCTGTTTTTACTGGGTGTTTTATTCGTTTCTTTTGTAATAAATATGGTAAAACAACAAAAGTAAATGTTAAAATTTGCCCAATCGATTCTTATTGTTAAGTCATTACGTGAACCACACTTCGACGGCGGGAAGTCTAGCTTCTCGAGGTACTTAACGCAGGCTGCCGCCGAGCCAGGTATATTCTTCGTTATTGGACACGATATGTACATTTTGTTAATATGTTGTTGGTTTTTGTTCTTGGTATTTTATTTCTCATTGTTATGAAAAAAATCACCTTTCTCATCAACTACTGGACCAATGACTTCAAAATTTTCAATGGTCAAACATTGTATTTTCCATATTAGATTATTCTTTTTATTTCTTTCAAAAAAATTTTGTGCCTTCCATGGGATCCTTTTTTTTACGTCACCAAAATTGAAAATTTCGCACCGTGTCGTGGTTCCGTGATCACTTCGCAGTGATCTGGCAGTCAGACTGTCTGCACTGTAAAAGATTTGATGCTACTTAATTTTGGCCGTTGTGTGCATATATTTGAGCATCGCTTTGTTGTTTTATTATTGTTGTTAAAAAATCGCTGTTCTCACCAACTACTAGATCAATTGCAAATACGGAAATATTGATAAAAAACAAGCCCTCGATTCAAAACGTGGTGTTTTTAAAAAAGAAACTAAAACAAATGGATTTGAACTTAATTTAGAATTCAATTCATTCGTGGATATGGATCATGTCTTTTATTCATGCGATGGAAAGGTGCTCATTCATGTTTGGTGCAGTGACAACGGTAAGGACTTTATATTATATAGATGTTCATAAAAGTATTCAGAAAATGGTAAACAAACTTAAAGAAACATGGCTCGTGTTTAAAATTCCCATTTTGTCTCTGTATTTGGCAATTAACTTGAATATGCCGAAAAATGATACTTTACAATTGTTCCGAAATAATCTCATAGAAAAATAAATGAAGACTGAGAAAACCTTTTCACAAATAATAGCATGTTTTATACTTCACTTTGAGCGCCGCTAGGAAATCTCTAAATGCGTTGCATTCAGTAAATGAAGTAAATACAAGATTTGATAGTCCCAGACGATACGCTATTGTCTCTTTTAAATTACTGCATTGAATCACAATACAGCATATTTTGGCTAAATTTTCTTGCACATTGATAGGAAGAGTGGTTCAAGTGTTCAAAGGGAGTGCAAAGTCGACTGCTGAAGATGCTCTCTATGTTCACAATACTTTTGCCAAGTGGAAGAATGGATGGGAAAATGTAGAGCTTTACCCTTCTACATGCTCGCTCCAGCCTGCCAGTAAATTTTGAATACTGAGTTAGATTTTATGTGATGCTAAATTATTAATAATTGCCAATTATTATAAATTATTGTTAAACACCAATGCTTTTGTTTCATACAAAAATAAGATATTAATAATAGGATTTTGTGCATTTAATAAAAGGTTATTGCTTTTAGATCTATATATATATATATATATATATACAGTGTTAAAAAAATACATTTATCCACCATTGAGTGAATGTTTAATCTGAATACTGAGTTAGATTTTATGTGATGCTAAATTAAGAATGAAACCAGCATGCCAGTAAATTTTAAAAAAGAGCAAGCAACATTATCAATGTCAACTATTATTAAACACCTATGTTTTTGTTTCACATAAAAAGAAAATATAAATAATGAAGATTTTGTACATTTAAATAATGAGATAGTGTTTTCGATCCCCATATACGGTGCTAACAACAATATATTCATCCATCATGTTTTTTTTTAAATTGTTTCTAGACTATGGAGTCAGACTTAAGTGTACGTTTTTTGTATATGCATTGCGTGAATAGCAGTGAAAAAATATATTTCGTTCCGCTAACGCCGCAGCACATTTAATGGGTACCATGGTTCAAAATGTGGTTTGCGTTGGCACCGTTGAGGAATAAACTTGTTAATAGCTACTAAAAGCCAATCTGCAATCTCTGAAGCGCAGGACAACCGGGTAGCAAAAATATGGCATAGTCCGTGGCATATCACGAATGGGTTCTCTGAATGAGTCCCAGTCATCTTTCTCATAATTATAAGATGTCCGGTGGAAAGATGACCTGTGATAAGGAACGGATTTTGTTATTAACTGAAGTTACAACAAAACGTGGTACGAAGTATCGAAAAGGGGTTGAGCAGAAATTGGGGAAACAATAGCTGAATCATGCACAAATGGAGAATTGAAGGTGATGAGTTATCCGGATATCGAGTTAGAAATGTGAAAATTTGGGAAGGGATTGTGAAACAGAGAAATTATTCAATCTTTTACACTACCGTTGCCGTAGTTTATGAAAAATCTTCCGACTTTCGCTAACACGGAATCCGCTGACAAGCGGTCGCCAAACCGTTCCATGTAATTTTGATGACGTCATCACACAAAATGTTAGAATGAAAACGAATCCATGAAGTCCACAGATATTTTTGGACAGGGAGTGGACCTATGGATCGTTTCTGGACATGGGGTTGTATGGATCTTTTGGTTATTATATTGTTGTTGTTCTTTATCATGTTATTTTTCTTTCTATAGTTATGAAAAAATCGCTTTTCTCTCTAATTACAGAACCAATTACTTTGAAATTTGAAGTTGTTAAAGATGTATTTTTCGCTTGAAGGCTATTAGTTTTATTTATTTTGAATATTTCTGTGAGATCTATGGCATTCCTTTTTTGTGTGCAATGACGTCAGCAAAATGTGCGCACCTTGTGGCGGTTCCGCGAACGCATATCAGCGGATCTCGTGCTCAGCGAACGACGGCGGATCTCGTGCTTAGCGAAGTGGCCAGTTTTTTATGGGGAACGGTAGACTGTGAGACCGGATTTGGTAATACAGAAGTGGTATTTCAATTCATGGTGAAACTGAATCAAGAAGAATCATCATCAAATGCTATGAATGTCCGCGTACCGTTACTTCGGGGCAGGTACGTACTGGTAAGCTACCGCATAGCCTATGCTTTTGGGAAGTTTTTTATGGGGAATGGTAGACTGTGATACCTGATCCGGTAATACATTGGTAAGTCGGATCCCTTGGTATTTCAATTCACGTTGAAATTGAATTATTAAGAATGGATCATCGTCTAGCTCTTTTGTTTACCTTTATTTCTTATTACCTTTTTTTCTTCTTGTTATGAAAAAATGTTTTTTTCTTATTACCTACAGGTTTCCTTCGAAATTTTTTCGACGGAAAAAATGTTTTATCATGGAAAAAGAGTCATTGGGTCACAAAACATTATTTAATGTCTCCAGAAATGATGTGATTGTATTTTCCATGAGCTTTATCATTCTTGGTAGGTATTCCGCAGTACTACAACTACTGTAGTTGGCCTATAACTGCTTAAAAGACTGAAATGCAGTAGATGAATTGATGAAATCATAGCTGTTAGTCGCTTTGGGTACACATTTTCAACTTTCAGTCATGGTTTAATAGTGTTTTCCCCCAATGTTTGTCCTACGTTTCAGTACAATGAATTCACTGTTCCCAAAACATAATATTCACAAGCAGGCTATTCCGAACTCTGTGCAAATTTTGGATATTTTCGAACAAAATTTTTAGTTTAGTTTGTCAAGCAAGCCTTCATAAAAGCTCGCACTCTTTATAAATATAGTCGGGCATTTCAATGTGATGGAAAGAAAAAGTATTTTTAAATTGAAATTAATATCATTATGCAAATATAAAACTAGGTATTGTTAAGTATATTGCTGGAGAATGCATACATCACGATTTGCGACTCGTCGTTTCAGACTTCAGAGTGACCGAAAACCTCTTACAAGCAGTGCAATTTTCGCACGGATAATTTTGTTGAAATCTCCGATTGCTTTCGTAAACGCAACGTAGCTGTTTAGGCTAAATACATCTTTATGTCGGCAGGATATATTTACGCCAGGTTTCCCAATTTAGAAGTCTTCGGTGACGAAGCGCTAAAGATATTAAAAAAGAGGGAATACGCAACCCATATTTCCGATTTCCAACGGAGGAGGTATCCTAAGACTGAAAACGGTTTACGGAAACTAACAAAAAACAACAACATAAATTTTGATTCTGGAGCCCCACGGCAGTACTTTTATGCCAGATTTTAAGATTTTTTTCGGTAGACCTAAAGACATCTAGCGGCACACCAGTGTACTTCATAGTTGGGAGACTAACGTTCTATATATATACTGTTCTCAGATGATTTCGCTGTGCATAAATATTGTTTTCAATATTGGAAATGAAGCTTTTTTAGAAATAAAGATTTTGGGCCCAAAGTGGTCTGGTGGATCATCTGTGAAGTTTCAAATTGCCTTAATTAAACTTTTTACAAAATTTGCCTCCTAAATTCAACTTTCCATGTAGCTGCCTAGCCTTTCAGAATATGGATTTCAATCTTATATAGCATCTGATACAGTCATACTCTCGTATTCGGATAAAACGATCTATTTAGGATGGGTAAATATAGAATTGTTATAATAACGGTTTGCTATTGTGAGCATGTTGAATGGTTAAGTATTGTGAACATAAAGTGCATCTTCAGCAGTTGAATTTAAACTCTGTGGGAACACTTGAACCGCACTTCCTGTCGCGATGTAAGAATCAATTCCTGTGACACTATCTTTCATGCGTTGTATGTCAAAATCGGAAGTGACGACAATGACGAGGACTAGAAAATATCAAATATTGTTTTTTGTTAACTTTTTAATATTTTTAGATGTGATTGGGGTGAAGTTATAACCCATGTACTAATCTGTTTTAATGAGCTCTAGTTTGTAATTTTAGATCGACAACAAAAATGACGCCATGATGGTGAAGTGATAAGCATAAATATATGCCTGAGACCAGCAGCAAATGGTTACCAACAAGTATTTTTTTAGCAAAATCATAGACCGGGAAAATACGATTCTATTGAAAGTACTGGACGTATCATGATGATTAATTATTTGCAAAGGGGCCACGTTTTCAGCTACATTTAGTTTACCAAGATGTAACTAATTAAAAACAATTTACCTAAAAACAGTTGCATCATTCCATGTTATGTGGAAGGGTATGGAAATATTAAATTAATCATTAGATTCAAAGTTTCCTCAAGTATATGAATAGTAGATTTGTTAGTGAAATTTATTTCCAGAAATATCTCAGTGGACAAAATACCTTCTATAATGACGTCGTCGTAATTAATATAGCCACAGCTTAGGGTGGAACTTGATTATTTTTTAACATACTATACAAATAAACGTATAAACACTATATCCTCAGAACGATTTGAAGCGTTTTCATTCGAGAAGGAGAGACCGCTTGAACAGACGTAAATGTTCTGAATATCGTCTTTCAGCAACTCAGCGATCGCTCCATGATGTTCATCCTTCTTGCAATTGTTTCTGCCCTCGCTGTGACAAAATGTGCATGTACTTGTAAACTGCCGGAGATAACATGTGAAAGCATGGGAACAAGTGAGTAATTTATAGTAATTTAAAAACAAACGTAAATTAAAGTTAGTGCGGGCATATAAATCCAAGATTCCAGTCGTGTTTATACACCGAAAGTATTGATAATAATGTGAGGAATGACCTTTATGACTGGGGATAAAACTAGCATGAAGGTAATTACTGCTTCGGTGCATATTTCATCACCGATGAAAGAATATAATCTATAAGTATGAGGGGAAAATAGATAATTTGATATATACATGCATGTTGGAAAAAACTCATATGCCTGATCTGATGCCATTCGCAACATGATATGCAAACACAGCCAATTTATATGCATATATATATAAAGCTAATGAAATGCATATATTGCCAATCGTATATAAATAAATAGCTAACTCATTACTCAAGTTGTAGGCTACGTATACTTATTCCATGAAATCATGTACATGCATGTACAACATTTACATGTGTTTTTTATCAGAGATATTGATTAAGATTCATATGTTCCAAAAAATTAAACACCTTATAGCAAAACATAATCATGTTACTTTTATTCTCGACAAATCCTCGAAACGATTTTTTAAAATAATATGACAAGCAACTTGACACTAGTGCAAAATAGATATATTAAATAGGTGTTGCTCAAGATCTTCAACGTTCATTGTGTTTTGGCAATACCAGTGGACAGTGATATTTTGTCTGAAACTTAGAAAACTCCATAAGTTACCTCATCATCTACGGGCGACCCGGTCCGCATATGGTTCGCAAAAGCTTTCAATGCGGTTTACACAATAAGATCTTGTGCGCTCGAAAAAAAATAAGGATGGAAGCGCATGCGATTATAACAGCATTTTCCAACGTAACCGCAATGACCAAAAAATGATTAATTGAGAAAAATGGATAATTTGTCATTTTAGTAAAGGTTGATGCTCAAAAATTAAAGGTCAGGTCAGAGTGATTACCCTGATACTGATAGAAAGTACCGGTCATTAGTTGAGTTTTCTTTAGAACTGCATTCAGAGGTAAGTTGCTCATTCAGCTACCTGAGCAATACATTTTATATATCTACCCGTCAAACTCGAGGCTACGGATATCAAATTGTGTAGTCTTCTAGTCCAACGATGTCGAGAATGTGTAATGAGAAGTACAGAATGTTCCTATCCCGTCAAACTCAAATCCGGGAATGTTATAAGTTGTAGTATATATACTAGCAGTAGGAGAAATTCCCCATTGTAAAAGTATTAGAGATTGCTACGGTACGTACTCAAACGTTCATGCACCGTTACCCCTAAACAGCACTCCTACACATTGTCATCGCCCATCGCCAATAATCAAGAAAACTTTAACTTTGATGAATAATTCAATGGTCCCATACTCTTCCACATAACATGCAATAGTGCACCTCTTTTGGGTGAATGGTTTTTAATTCGTTATATCTTGGTAAACTAAATGTAGCTGGAAACGTGGTTTACTGTAAAAAAAAACGAAACTAATCATGGTGATACGTCCAGTGCATTCAATAAAATAGTCTGTTCCTAGTCTGTAATTTTGCTAAAAAAAATCTCTGGTGGTAACCATTTGCTGCCGGTGCCAAGCGTTAGGTATGCTTTTATCACTTCACCACCATGTCGTCATTTTTGTTCCCCTGACTTGTTCTTGTTTGCACGCTCCATTATGTCGTTTAAAAATGTTGCGATTTGGTAGAGATTTACGCCATAGGCTACCTACAGTTTCAGAGTAATACAGAAATCTGGGAATGGTTTTCTTGTTTATTATTGAAAACAAAAATATCAACAATGCAATTTCCTAAAATATGAGATCACTTGGTACGTTTGCCATAATATAAGATGATTGAGAAATTTAGGAATGCTCTTTTCGTATTCGCCTGTACATCTTTGACTTCTATAACAACGCCAAACGAAGCCAGATACGGAATTATAACAACAAACTTGTGCCGGGCGGATTCAAATTTTTTGTCTCCGTCTATGCGTGACGCGTGATTAGGGTTGCTTTTCGACGCATATTTTATGATAACAAAAAAAAAATCCTAATCCACAAAGCACGTATTTAGGTTTCAAGAAGATTTTTCTTATATATATATATTGTGTGTGTATTTTCTTGTCATTGAATCCTCAACAAAATTAAGAATACGATGTTGGCGTTGTATGAAATGATCTGTTTTCAAATAAAAATGGTTCGAACCTAATTCAAAATTTATTGACTTATTGATTTATTATTTATTTATTGACTATTTATTCTGTTTAACTCGAAACCTAAATCTATACAATTAGCACTGAACAAAATAGTATAAAATTGCTGCATTGTAATTCGGAGATATAACTTATTTTTCACTATCAGATTTTCTTGCTGGCAAATTCTCGATATTTATGAAGCAGTAAATTGTAGAGTAAATCCAAAAATTGGTCTGCATAAACAACTATTAAGTTCAAAAATAAATTTTACTTCCTGCAAGATAAGATCAGTTTAAAGATCGAAAATAAATTGAAGGTAGTCTATATGTTGTCGAGCATTTCATGTCGAATAAATATTATTTAGTATTAAAATATTATAACGATATGTAATATTAATATGGGATTCTTTAAAATGCTTATTTTTCAGTGATTTTCAGAATGAGTGTAAGCAAAGGTTTAAGATGAATCAAATTTTTTATTAATATCTTTGCAGATTTGGTTCCTACATTTAAATCGCTAGGTGGACTTTGTTGAAATTTGATTCAAATATGGCATACTTTACATATAAAATACGTCAAAATAAATAAATTCATATTATATAAAGAACATTCATGATTCTTGTTTCTTTTACCGTTATTTTTCAGATGCTAAAGATTTGTCTACTTTTATTTCATTTTGTTAGCGCTATTTTTGGTTTATTGTGTTACCCATAAACAAAAAACTCACGAAGACTAAAATGCAAATTTTGGTTTAAAATAACAAAAGAATTAATTTTAGTGATTTGGCGCCGGATTAAAAAGACCTGAGTGATAAAATGAAAATAAAACATAGGTACATTGTTCTACTCTGCAGCAAATTTATTTTGATGGCCATAATCGTCTTCGTTTGAAGTAAGATACTACAAATTGAAACTCACTATAGTACTTACTTTAACGACGCTCCAGGCGGTGTTTTTGCGTTGGTAATCAGATCGAGTTACATTTTGTTGAGTAATTTGAATCTGGAATGTAATTTATTATGCTTAATGAGACTTATGAATTATGAATGTTCATTATGTCTATTATCTCAATTCAGGCGTCGATTGTTAGAAGTGATATACGAAGTGAATCTTAGAAGTGATATACGACAAAAAATGGAAATTTTACTGATAGTTTTTAAAATTTATAAAGAAATAGTGAGCAAGCCATAAACAAAGTATGTATTAGAGATTTTACACATGTTAATATAGTTTGGTATGATCAATTGAATATTAACTATAAAGCACCTAAGATTTTCAAAACCGTTACAAAATTTTATTTTGCTTCAACAACATCGACCGTGTCTGTGACGTAATACTTGTGATTGAATATCGATACTTAATGCGAACTGTTCGAAAGACATTTTCTTTCAATAATTTAACACTCTTTCAATGTAAAAATTTAAACATAGTCAAATTAGAATCAAAAATTCAAATGAGTCGCATAATTCACTGCATAATCGTGCCATGTGGGGTAATTATCCGGATTGAAAAAGAAGAAGGTAACCATCATATGAGATTTTAATTGTGGATTAAACCTTCAAAATTGAAAAGCTGTAATAATATACCGTTAGATTTCATATAAACTTGTGATAAATTACAAACAAGGCTACATATGAAGGTCTCTAACGTTATGCAAACTTGACGGAGAAAAAATTCACAATTCGGAACGTTTCGATCATTGCAATAGGTTGAACAGTTACGTAAAGGGAGTTTTAAAGAACAGATATTTTTTCAAAACGGTCCCATCAAAATGGTGAGAAACATCTTCAGTATACTGTTGAGAGCATAACGCGAAGGTGTATTTTCAGATAGATAGATAGAGAAAATTTCAAAAGTATACCAACTTGCTATCGAAGAGCGTGGAATCTTCAGATGTATCATATATATAATTTGAAAATGTGTGAAAATTGTTGGTAGATGTTTGGTGTTCTGAACTATAAAATATTTTACCATAAAAGATTGATACATTGAATTGTATTGAATAACATAACATTTAGTTCTTGATAAAAAAATTTATTTCTTATATATCACACACGCAAAAAGTTCAATGTATCACTTTCTATTCTTTTTACTTTATTTTTTTTAAATAAAATCTCTTTTTCGTAACTTTCCATCTTCAGTCCTGCAAATATTTATCTTACGAATTTTTGTATACAATTTTAGGTTGTTTTTTTTTTTGTAGTAGTAGTAACTGTCAAGAACTGTTTATTAATGGAGTATTCTAGTTTTTAAGAAATAACATCTGCACCATATACTAATTTTTTCACGGGGTCTGCTTACAGGTTTAATGTTGCATACATTGCTCCAGGTGCTAATTTGATCTTATCGTAGTTTAGTTAAATCAAATATAAGGTTGAAATGGCAAGCGGCAACAACTTCAGTGAATTCGATCAATTTAACGTAACACAAATTGGCCAAAATGTTAGCAACGATGGGAATAATGTTACATCTCCGCCGCCTAGTCCACTTCCTCAGTGAGTATTTATTTATAATGATAATGCATTAACCCAAATTAAAATAAGATAAGATTTTTTTTTGTCCAGAACGAGGGAATAGCCTATAAACGACTTAATCATATAACGAACTTCGTCCTCTTGTATGGGTACCATACAGTATTTGGTATGGGAATAATTAACTAGATATTTGTTGCGAATGTATTGACTTTAAGGTAGGGGAAGGCGTAACCGATCGGCGGTTATGTGATCCACCATATGACGGCACAGAGTCCAACAGTTCTCTTCGCCATTTTTATTCAACTATATTCGAAAATAGGAACCATTGGAATACATTTCTGTACCATGTTTCCATCGCAGACTTAAGAATTGCTCAACCAAAGGAGTTTGAATGACAAAATTATAACTACATGCGTGTTCTTTCTTGCGTTCACTAATAAAAAAAACATTGATTGATTACTTGAATAATATCTAAGCAAAATAAACGTTAATTTCAAAATAATAATCTGATCCAGCAGACTAAACTAAATGCAATATTTTGTAAAAATTAATGTGTTTATTCAATTCATCAGGCTGAATAAGATTCAGGATATGTTTTTCACAGTAATGTCGCTATACAAAAAACCGATCAGTTACTAAATATAAGCCTTTTTTTCAGTTATCAAGTATAACTCTAGATCAGGGTTCGGCAACCCACGGCCCGCGGGCTAGAAAAATAATCCAGCCCGCGACGCTTCAACGAATTATAGCGACAAAACGGCGGTTTTAACGATGAATTAATTTGATAATCTACGCTCGATTATTGTGAGACATGTGTAGATTAAATTATATTATACCCTAACAATTTAGTGAACAGCTACTCATTTAACGTGCCTACAATTTAATTAAAATTAGACAAATGGCAACAAGCAGAAAATGTGATGACAAGAACAGAGGGTTCAATGGCGCAGAAAATATTCGAATAGCGCTTTTTGAGATGCAATGCAATGAGGAAATAAAATACATATTCTATTCGAGAGATGTATCAATGCTTGATTTTTATAAAAGTATATTCTTGAAGTTAATCTCTATCCAAATTTGACAAACCGTGCGAAAAAATTTACATCAATGTTTATGTTTGGAAGTACATATGCGTGCGAACAATTATTTTCAAAAATGAAAATTACAAAGAACAAACTGAGAACTCGGATTAGTGATTCCCATTTAGAAAATGTTCTAATCTTGGTTTCATCCAGTGTGCCACATCATGCCAAAAAGCTATCAAGCGCGATGAAACAACAATTATCACATTGAATGTCATTTGTAAATTTTTTCTTTTAGTAAGACGACTGAGTTGAGTTCAAAAATTGGCGCAGTCTTTGCGCGCTGTTTAAAATCTAAATTTTCAACTTCTGATTTGCGTGAAAATATTGTGATCCATCGGCCATCCGTTACGTTTTTAACTTTCTAAATATATGTGCGGCCCGCCAAGACCCGCAACCCTTAATTCTGGCCCGCGAGCGACAGAAGGTTGCCGACCCCTGCTCTATAGATGGTGGATTATAATTTTTTCATTTGATCAAATATCAGAAATTGGCTGAATATACAGCTCACATCTTGTCTTAATATGTGTAACTTTATTAGATATACTGAGAATATCTTTTAAAGCGCCCATTGTTAACCACAAGTAAAATGCCCATAACAAATTATCAAAACTTTTACTAAATACACTATTGTAATACAATTAAATATTACTACTATAAATCTTACAAATATCTGGTAAATTTTTAGGGAGCCGTTTTTTACACAATTAGAAGTTGCTGTTTTTGGAAGCATCATTTGCATAATGTCCATCATTGGAATAATATTAAACACCATCACGTTCTTTGCAATCTTATTGAATGCAAAACTGAAAAAGTAAGTGAGAAGAACTAATATCTATTTTTTCTTCTACCTCTTTATATTTTTTTTATTCTTTTATTCCTCTTCTCCCTTCTTTATTTGGATATATAATATTTATTAACTTTTTGATTATAATCTCCATCATTGCGTATTTTTAATAATATTTTTTAGTTCAGTTTTCAACGTTTTTATATCGAGTTTGTGCGTTTCTGACTTTTTATCATCAATCAGCAATCCGTTGTCATTTTTTGCATTGATGGAAACTCAAAAAGATTATTTATTTTCGGACATGGTGTGTAAGGTGAATCTCATTTACTTTTTTATATACATTTAAGTGATAACGCGAAATTGAAATTAAGTATATTACAAAAACATAATACATGACAGTTTCGCATGGTTGAAACTTGAAAAAAAATTGTTTAACATTATAAAATATTCATTACTATGTGGAAGCAATACCGAATTACACCATATTATTGTTACTAGATCTTGTCTCAGCAATATGTAAATTCCTATAACATTTTTTCACGGGGCTAATGAAAGCTTGATTTTATATTTCACAGTTGCATACCGCTACTGATATATGGACGACCATATGTACCATTCAGCATATTCTTGTATTTTCACTCCTTCGTCTTGTTGCTGTTTCGTATCCTCATCATATTAAACGTATCAGTGTTTTGATGGCCAAAGTAAGTTACTTAATTATAATGTTACTCGCTAGAGCTGCGTTGTTTTGTATACATATTATTCTATTATTGATTCATTTACAGTTTAATCATGGTTGAAGCGACCTGCATCAAACATAAAAGTCTCCAATGTAATTTTCTTGAAAATTTATTAGATGCTTGAAATGCATGACTTAAATTAAGTACTACTAAATTAATTTGAAATAAAAACCTATCATATATGTTAAAGCACAAAAAAACATATTACATAGTACGCATAGGGTAAGATAATGTTGTTTTAAAAATAGAAAACCAATTATTTATGTTATTAATTAGCTTCGGTAGATGATAATCAGCACCTCTGCGTTCTTTATCCAGATGTATTTATTTTCAGATCGGAGTTGCTGTCATATGGTTGGAAACTTTTGGAGTGTCTTTTGTACCCTACTTTCTCTTTATGGGAGTATTCAAAGGTTCTTCACTTGATCCTAACGTTATGTCGTGCAGGGCTGACGGACAGACGTGAGTGTTGCACATCCAATGCATTTTTTTTTCTTTTGAATTTTCTGTTGTTACAAAGATTCAATTTATCAGAGGTTGAAAGTTATAAGTTTACTCTTTTTGATATGCTCAGTTAAACTTTGATTTTTTTTAAATTTTGAATCAATTTTGTTACTAGGTAAGTCAGTTTTTGTGTCCATTGCTGGCATTTATAGTGAATCGAACGAACAGTGTACATGTGTAAAAAGTTATAGAAATGATACAATGCTTATTTGTGACGGAAGGTGTGCGGCTTTAATTTTTGACTACAGTACTACACCCTATCTTCTACAGCCTTAATCGCGTTGTTTTTGTCAGGATTAATCAATTTAATCGGTTGAATCCTATGTAATCTAGTCCAACTCGTCAAATTATAACATATATATAATTAATTAATAATAATCCTTTTGATTTCAGAATAATAGCCTTCTCACAATACATAAAATATTCATATCCAATCATATTCTATGCACCTATAATTTTGGTGGTTATATGTTCCATTGCTTTAATATATCTCATGATACAAAGGAAATTATCCAAAGAAGCACTAGGTAAGGATTAGATCTAATGTCACTTGTTTCTTTATTAATAGTCAGTTTATCGTGCAGAGGCGCGTTGCATGTATTTGAAACTTGCTGTCGCGCTTCTTTTATTCTGTTGACAATTTTTCGTTTTTCGTATATTGTATATATGGATTTAGCACATATCAACGTTTCTCTAAGTCAACGATGTACGAATTTCTCCAAAGGGAGAAATTTTGTCGTTCCAATGGAGGTTCTTTGTTTTCCATTCGTCGTAATATCATTTATATTCTTTCCTTCTTTAATATGATTATTATACTTGTTTATGCAAACATTATAAACTATATAAAACCGTGCAAAAGAATATGAATTGCGCGTGCTACTAGCTAAAGAACTATTGAAGATTGAACATTGAAGAGTAGTTATTATGCATAGTAGGGAAGGAATAAAAAGTTCGGAAATAGGCGAAGAGGGAATTGTACAAAAAAGTCTGGGGATTACTGGTTTCGAATTTAAACGTTGATAAGATTTTTTATATAATTGAACATTATATTTATACTTGAACTAGTTTGTGAAATCATTGTCAAAACAACTTTGCCTATATGCTCGGTCATGATGTAGACCAGGGGTGGGCAACTTCTCTAGTCGGCGGGCCAGATGTGAGAAAATGAAGTCCTCGGCGGGCCGGATTATTACAAAAAATACTTCGGTATCCAATCTTTGTTAAATTCTCGACACTCTCTGTCAATTTTACGTTTCTTGGGATATTTCATGGTTAATAAAACCTAGAATTAATATAAAATCTAATTTCTCAAATATATTTATATTTGGAATCTGAATATAAATATAACTGATAACAGTAGTGAGGAATGTTTACAACGCTCCCTGCGTTTGTTTAACAAGTGTGCTAACGCAATTGACCTTCCTCCGAGCATCGACTTCCCTGTTTACTCGGGGATTGTTGCATTGTTTGTTCACTAAGACAATTGTTTATTTCCCCAGCTCGCACTGACAGTGCGGTGAGAGTAGAGCGATCGGCAATTTTCAGGAATGATGCGTCGGACCACATTACAGAGTGTGGTTGGATACAGTAGGCGGGCCGTCAAAATTCCGTCGCGGGCCGGGCCGCGGTTTGTTGGATGACCATTCAGGCGATCATAATCATGCATTACTCCAAATATTAGGTAATTGGAAGTCAGAAAGACTGAGTAAAAAACGACTTTTTTCCGTAGAATGCTGTTACTCGAATACACAAAAAAGGTTGACAATTTTTTTTCTTCAGAGCTGAAATATTTTCCAATTAATATCATAGTAACTGATTCATGAAATTAATATGTGGTTTCGATTAAGCTCTTGTAAAATTACTGTAAATATAGCCATGTTTGGAATATTTCTAGAATGCTTTTGGGGTCAATGGTCACAATGGGTCTTCAATGGTTGAGAAGTGACGTCATTACTGAAAGACGATAGTCTGAAATCGTAGCGTCGGCTTGTTATTCCTTATTGACCCTTAAAATGCCAATACGTTTGGTGCATCAGCAAATCGAATTAAGAAGCTAATATCCATAAAAATAATTTTTAAACAAAAACATCTAAATAATTGAATAAAATATATTTAGTAACCAAATTAATGTAATTAATATTATTATTTTCAGGAAATGGCAGGAAGACAAAAGATGAAAATTTTGCCATTCTTCAGCTATCTTTAATTTTGCTTTCTTTCCTGATCGGATATATTCCGGATGTTGGTGAGTAATTGTGTAGCCCACCTTTTTAACAGGCCATTTAGTTGGTTTTTTCTTGACTTTTCGTATTTCGTTCACATAACCCGCGTTTGATTCCTTTCCCCAAAATGTCCTCATCTTATTTTTCTTTTGGTTTTATTTTTATTTTTTGTTTCAATATCTAGCTCGCCGACTATTCAACACGAATAACTCACTAAGAACCAAGTCGGATTTGTTGATTTATATTATACCGATATTCATTTTGCGATTTTCGGAATGTCTGAATCCAGTATTCTACAATATATCTTCCAGGCAAGTTTTATTCCATTTTAATTCAAAAAACTTTTTAATCATATTGCTTTTTTACAAAAATGATCAATTCGTTATAAAAAACTGCCATCTCGAAAAACCATATTTATTTAGGTTATTTATACGCCAAAGTAATGTGGTCAATTCAGGAGTCCCTTATTTATATTACTTTTACCGTTTATGTTGAATAATCAAGTAATAATAAAAGTATATTATGCAATTCAAGAGTCTTGCTACACACTAACACAAATGTATTTCTGTAACGTTTTGCCTGAACGAAGTCATACTTTCTCAGACAAGCGGTTCACAACAATCAACTCATAATAATAAAAGTTATGTTTCTTTTTTTTCATACTTTTTGCAGCTCAATTAGAAATGCATCTGTAGACTTACTCAAAAAATTGTTTTGTTGCTGGAAACGAGATTCGAGACCTTTGCAGGAATCGGAACAAAATCGAAGAAGGTTGCCTGGTAGTCAAGAAACAAAATTTAGTGAGCAAAGCACAAGAAAAACCAATGCATAAAATTTTGTGATACACTAGTATTATTGATCAAACAATAGGAAACACATGGAGAACATTGACTGTGAAAAATTGTAAATTTACCTTCTGTAAAATATTTGTTACAATTGTTTTTCATAACAAATTTTTACTCTTGTATCTCAGTCAAATGCACAAAAAATGCAATTTGAGTTCGGTATGTGGCTCAATGCATATGAAGATGAAGACAATCCACTCACGTGAATAATAGTTTATATGTAATTTATTTTTTCCAAACTTTCTTCAAAAGGAAACAACATAGTTTCTAGTTGTCGCTGTTTCTTCATTCAATTCTATTGCGATGTTTTGTTGTTGTTATGATTATATAGCAATTTGCTTTTTTAATGATCTAGATATTTATATTCATAGTAAAAGTTATTGTCAAAAAAGCTCTTTAATTTAAATAAGTTGCACACGTTATGTAAAAGCTTTATAATGGTTTTGGTTGCTTTCATAATATGTATTCGTTTTGTAATTTAAAATTCTGTTTTACAAGTTTTGTGAAAGTTTGCCGTTAACGATGTTATTTCAGTCGAATATAGTTTTACTGAAATGAGAAATATAGTCACAGAATGGTAGCAAAGAGAATGAACACTAAAGACTAAAATCAAATATAATGATAAAAGATAGATAAGTTTATCTGAACTATTGTTTATTATAATATTTAGTGTGATTTCCTATAATTTAAAAATAATCTGACCTGCTGAGGAAAAGTTCTGTTGAGTAAGAAATGATTCGAGATTGGGAGAGGTCGTAGCAAGGTTCGTTGGAAGTAAACATACGCCAATACTTCAGAAACTTGCGCAGAAATAAATTAATAATAAATTTGCAATACAAAAAGTTGATACGATTATATTTCAAATATGTATTGTCAAATTGTACTCATTCTGATTTATGTAAAATTCTACTCTCTGGGAATCGAAATATCTTCTACTCCTTTTCCGGTTACCAATAACTGTGAAGATCCGTGAAATCAAAGTAAAAATTGATCCTTTGTTTTCAAGTAAATCGTAATTAAACTGTATAAAACGCTTAACATGGACGAAGCCATTATGGATCACCTTGTCCTATGCATCATATCCTTCTTTGATTCCTGCAGAAAAGTCAGCAGTCAAGTTGAATTTCTCAAAAGCTCTCAAAAAGAAAACAGCAAATTTTGCATGATAGACATCTTTCATCCTATCTAGATAAGTTTTCGCTTAAGTAAGATCGCTAAATCGATGACGTTCTTAGCAACCAAGAATTTTGATATATTATATATTTAGAAGAGAAGAAGAATGTTTAAAGCTGAGCGCTCTGAATTTGTGCAGTTGCTAACATAATACATGCGGCATGAATAATTTTTTTTTTCATTGGTGCCTTTTCTCGTTTGTCTCTAGAATCTAGAGATCTAGATTATACTACTCTGAGGCGATCTACCCGTAACCCAATTGTTTAGTACATATGCGTTCAGTAATAGTTTATCTAGTTTGCAAACAAAAAATTCTCCGCAACTAAAAAAATTTTTTTTTGAAGATTTTCAACAACATGATGCTGAAACTTGGGATAATGCCAAGCTATTACGAAATAAGCAAAACCCACATTGCAGATGTCGCATTTATCATTTATTTGTGATTTTTTACTTCGCATGTATATTCTCATTAAAATATTTAGACCAGGTAAATATAATTGTATTTCAGTGAGAATTTGGAATAGAAAGTATCAATTATGAAATGCTAACAGGGTGGAAAATCCAACTCATATTACTGTTGATCCCAATGCCATACTTATCGAATGGGTTGCTTGTGCGACCATGTCGATTATACTTTTACTTGTAACTGTTATACATGAATAGCGTTGTCCGTTTATTACACGAAGAAATGCAAATATCACCATATGAGATTGAAATAAATTCGTCAGCATATATATTCGTCAGTCTTGACAATGAACACATTTTGTATGGCTACAGTATTTTTTACTTTTTAGCGTTGCGTTTTTCAAGTCCATGTGATATGGGGAGGATACAGTTATTTAGTTTGCTCTACTTTGGAAAAAAATCATTGTCGTCTAGATGGGGGTTGTTTCTCTATGCTTTACATTTTGGTTCCGGCAGAGACTATTTTACGAGAATTCAAATTTAACGAATAGATGGACGCGATTCGCAAGTACCGCCATTTTGCCTACTTTACTAGGGCTTTATCTTTCTGTAACAGTTTACTATATAACAAAATATTTAAATTACAGGCCATTACAACCGTATGGCTGTTCAACATCTCACGATATGAAGCCTTTAACTAGAATAGCATGCACAACTTTTGTTATTCAAGCCGTTCTGTTATTTTTATTTGTTTGCCCAGTTTTAAGCATAAAACACTTTGTAAAATATTCTGAACGATTCAACGTTGTGTTACTTGATTGCACGCAATTCATGTGATAAAACACGATTGCGAATGCATACAAATGACCGACAAACGTACATAATGACAACGTAAATTTTTTCGATAGAGTTTCCGATCGGCGTACAACTGCATTGAATTCACTACCACTCAGCTTCATTTTTATCTCAGATGTCTGTAGTCGGTGTTTCTGTTTTTTATTTGTTTTCCAAACGGCATTGTATGCGTGAAAAGAATAAAATGCAAATTAGCATTTATCTCTCGTATACTCTCCTCCAATATATTCTGCTTCTCCTTCAGTTCACGCACGTTTGAAAGGAGACTGCTGTAACACTACAGGTTGTAAGCAATGAATAGATCAATTGTATTAATATCTCATAAAAGTCGAAACAGCATTGTCGCCAGTAGTTACATACCGCTATACCTGGAGTACCATAATAGTTCACTCATTATTAGATTGAATTGAAGCCCGGTTTATTTTATCATATTCCATGGATTCGTGACTTGTTGGGTCACCAAAAACAATGGCGCTCACTTTGTGACAAGATGGTCAGTGGTTCGCCATCACTACTGCAAATATGTCGATGATCAAACACATTTAGCACACGTTATTTTGATCAGATGTGCCTCAGTTTTAGTATGATGATAATTACAGTCTTCATATCAACGTAGAAAAATGTAATATAGTAACTGTTTAAGGCAGTATGCGTCATGCCAGTGAAAAACACGAAGAAAAAAGACTTTTAGTTTAAAAATATTAGTGCCGTTGCCATAATGCAATGACATACTTTTCATTCCACTCCTGCTGTAGGCAAGGTTCATTGATGTTACATTGATTTTATTTTTATTGATTGAGAAACAATTCACCATATCACATTAAATTTTATTAAATTTATCATTTTCAATAGGTCGATTTTCTTCATAAAATATTATTTCTTCCTTTGTTAATTCTGTTATTTCGAATTTACGAGACCACTGTTGTTTAATACTTTCATCTGAGTGTTTTGTTTATATTATATACTGTAGTTTAAATATAGAGGACAAATTTCAGAGTAACGACTCATATTTCGGCAAATGCCCTTCTACTTTATTCTTAAATAAATAAACTTATGTGCAAGTAATTAAGTAATTATATATAATAACTCATTTTGAATTTGAATACGCACAGCATAAGCTAGCGAGGCTTCACCTCGAAGAAAATGAAATACAGATAAAACCGTTTATACACGTTGCTGGTATTATACATCGATACCGCAACATTATTACTATTTGGTAAATACTGGATAAAACGGGGCGCACTTCAAGGTAACATATTGGTAAAAAGTGAAATTAAAGGTCGTTATTAAGCGGGACAATTTTACGAACAGGTATATAATGGCATACCCGATAGTAATACTATTTTCATTCATTACAAAATGACATGTGTGCATAGAGTCTAAAAAACTGAGAAAACGATCATAAATGTTGCTTTTTTTCAATATTTTAACAGCCAAAGTGAAATATTATTCTGGACTATGTAGAGAGGTAACGGTTGGCTTAAATAGAATGTCTAGGACTAAAAACGCGACTCTCTCGCCACCGCTCTTGTTTGTTTTGGTAGTATTGCTGTAGTACTCGATCAATGTGTTTTAATCAACTCGGCCTTTTGTTATTCATAGATTTAGAATTGCCAATCAACAATAAGTGGAAATTGAGACGTATTGTTTATAGAAGACAAAAGTTTGATTTTTCAAAACATCACTGTGTAAAATAGATGCAAACTAATGAAACACTCTTATTTCTCTTCAGAACTGGCCAGTTTCTCTGAACATGAGGAAGTGTAAATCTCTAAATTTTCCCAGCCATTCTGCCACTTGATGAAAGTATTTCTTACATAAAGAGCGTCTTCAGCAGTTGGCCTAGAATCTCCTTTCGAAACATGAACCGCATTTTTTCCTGCAAAAAAATACAGATGACTTTTTATACGGATGATTCATTTTCTTTTGTAGTGAACGAAATTAAAATATTATCATTCTATATAAAACTTTTGATGACCATATCGACTGCTAATACCGCCACTGCAATTGCCAGCTGCATGCAATTGCTTAATCTATCAATTTTAAAAAATTAGCACTTGTTTTGTAATCATATTAATATATATACGAATTTGAGATTACAATTTCCAGGCAACATTATATTAATTTCAATAATTACGTTTGACTCAAACTTTCTGTCTATTACAATTCAATCATGAAACCCTTACCATTTTCATTGCACCATACATGAATAAGTATTTTTCCATCACATGAATAGAAGATGTGATCCAATTCCAGATATGAATTTAATTCTGAATATGTATATTGTTTATCAACACTTTATTCATTCGCCGTTATCTTCGTCAATTTGGTTATATAATGTAATTGTGGAATTAAACTAGAGCCATGTATAGTTTATTCACTGAGATATCAGCTTAGACAGTAATATTGTCACTGAGCCGCTCTTTTCCTTGCAAATATCATGTGGGAAAATTATACTGGGCTAATTGCCGCGCCATGTGGTCCAACTCAGACACCAACTTCGTTTATTTGGTTGCAATTTCCTCACCGGAACTTGTTATTTGACAATTTACAATATTAGGCCGAAGAGTAAATTTATTTAAATATTTATAGAACATGTATATTCAATATTAAGCGCAGTACCTCCAACAAAATTCCCGACGTTTTCTTCCTTTTTTCCGTTAGCAACAAATTTCTGATTTCCCAAATCTAATGAAATAATTTTGAACAAATACCATAGAAACTAATACGACATATATATATATATATATTTATCTGACATGCGTATTTTTTTTTATATTTCTGTCTTTATGCACATTTTCGTGAGAACATGTATCCTGGTCCATCATGATATGGCATTGGACATAGTGAAAATGGTATTGTCTGTTTCTACTAAAATAAACCTTATAGACAGAATACGATTTCATATCAGCTATTCCAGTTAGGGAAAAATCACCAAGACTTGTTGTTCCTATGAAGAACCAACTCGACTTTGTTATAGCGGAAAAGTAAAATTCATGAAAATGCATGGTGGTTGTCTGCTGATTCTTTTTATTTATCTCGTTAATTTTGTAATAAAAAATAATTACTAATTTATTCTCTACGTCTACAATATAATTTTCCACTCGATTAAACTAATACGTTGGGTGGTTTATACCTTTACGTTCTTGCTCCGATATGATGACCCTATACACGCCTGGTTTTTCCTTTTGGAAAACAGCAACAAAAGAATCGTGGCCAAATTTTTCACTGAAAAAGAGGATATATGCAGTTCTCAAATAATATTTCGTATAGCATAACGTTCCATGCATACGTTTCATCATGTATAGTGCGTGCAATACAATCTGCTGGTGTATAACGAGATGGAGATACGACTGTTTTTATTTGTCCCACAATTGATGGTTGAAATCATACAATACCCAAATAGGTGGTACAATATTAACATTGTACAATATCCATGCAAATCCATCCTTATATCTTTTACGGGTATCTAATCATTATGCACTTGGCGACATTTGAATATTGTGCGATTTGAATATTGTTAAAGTCGTGGTAATATTTCAATAATACAAGCTGACTTACGAGAAACTCGTGAAATTCAGCTTCAGTTTATCAATCGTTGCTTCTATATTTGTTATAGTTCGACACGTTGTTACTTCGTCAAATGGATCGTCGTTGCTAATCACTTGGTATAACTTATTCGGCATCTGAGCAGAAGAATATTAGTTCATAATTTTACTTATGCACCATGAAAGCAGTTTTGTCTAATTCAGGAACAATCACTTACTTGTTCCCACGCCGTTTCACAGTTTATTTTCGGCAATAGACATGCACTTGTATATGTCGCAACTACAAAACAAGATCCAATCAAAAAAAGAAAAATCATCTCAACGCAATCTTAAAAATGTTTGCAGATTTATGTGAAAGCTGTACGTATTCGGACATCTAGCCTAGACTCTATACAGTAAGTCTCTTCTTCTGAACTGAAAAAAAAAACACAGAAAATCGTTTTCAATACATGCCTTTAATGTTCGATATGTAAGATGGCGGATCACGAATTCTTTGTTCACGCCTCTGCTTGCTTCGTTTAATCCATCCACGCAACAGATACAATCTGATATCTGTGTAATCAATTCAATGTCTTCAAGTACTTCTTAGACAAATGTGAACTGCATACTACACAGCTAGATATTGCAGAATTGCGAAGGTCCTCTGAAAGAGTTGTATATATATCATGGAACCTCCCTATTATCCAGCCTACTAATTAGGCCAATGTAACTATAGTTCATCACAGATATACAAACGTAGACGTTTGAACAACTCATAATACTGTGTGTAGCTTTGCACAGATGTAAGTTTTAGTGGCCCTTCAAATGAATGTTACACCCTAAATTTCAGCACATCTCATCGAACTCATATATATATATATATATCATTACAGATGTCGTACGCTTGGATGTACTTTTTATATATAGAGCTTTCAGGTGGTTTTTTGTGGGCACGAAATATCTTGGGTTATTATGACTTGAGATTTTGAGATTAACATTTTTACATAGTATCGGGGGGGGGGGGGGGTAAAACTAGGATAAATTTAATCCCTGCTTTGGTGCATATTTCATCATCGATCATCGACATACGCGATAATTCGATATATACATGCATATTGGAGAAAACTCACCGGCCTGATCTGATGCCATTTGTAACATGATGTGCATATACAGCCAATTCATATGCATAAAAGTAAATGAAATACATATGTTGAAATACATATATATGAAATACCTATATTGCCAGTCGTATATAAATAAATAGCTATTTCCTTACTTAAGTTTTACGCATACCTATCCTATGAAATCATGTGCATGTATTTACAGTCATGTGCTTGTTATCAGAGATATTGAATAAGATTTGATACGTTCAAAAAAATCGAACAACTTACAGCAAAACGTAATCATGTTAATTTTATTCTCGGAAAATCCTCAAAACGATTTTTTAAAATGATAGCAATTTGACACTAGTGTAAAATAGGTATAATAAATTGTTTTTGCTCAAGATCTTCTACGTTCATTGTGTTCTGACAATAACAGTGATATTTTGCCTGAAACCTAAGTAATTTCTTAAGTTCCGATGGCCTGCCAAAGCCGTAGGTGCACTCTTCATGCATACGGCAATTCTCGGCACGAAAGCTTTTTATGCGGTTTTTCATTATATTGTCTTGTGCGCTTAATTAAAAGGACAATCGTGTGGGAGCGCATACGATAATAGCATTCGATTACATCATTTTCCAACAAAACCGCAATTGCCGAAAAAATGATTGAAAACAGGCATTTGAATAAAATAAACAAATAAATACTTATTTGTGGCCAACAATTCAATAGTACCGCTGCCTTGCATAGGCCTACCGCAACGCGGTGTTAGTGCCACTGTATGAATCGTACATTTTAAAAACCTACTGGTATTTTGACAAAGCAAATGTTCAACTTGATCGGAAGAAACTTCATGTATGCTAGCAAATATTTTGAAATAGTAGTTATCATAAACAAGCAGTGTTTTGTACTCTCTGAATTTGTGAAATATTTTAAAAATATCAATTTCAAAGATTGCGCCAAATTATGAGAAGCTTGTCGTCGGCAATAGGTGAAACAATTTTCTTTAGTGGTTGGATTTTGTGTCAATTAGTTCATGTGTTACATTGTTAATACGTTATATTCAGATCAATACTACATGATATATTTATACTATAATAACGATCAATTGTCTACAGGATTAGTATTGTATAGTAGTCCTTGTGACAGAGAAATTCTGCAAAAAAACCTTTTTGTCATTTCAGTAACGGTTGAAGCTCAAAAATTGAAGGTCAGGACAGGGTGAATGTCCTGATATTGCTATAATAGTAAGTACCTGCCATTAGTTGAGATTTGTTTGAAACCGCACTAGGTGTTAGTTTTTTATTTGTCTACGTGAGCAGTACATTTTATTTCCACCCGATCAAACTCCAGGCGATGGAAATCAAATTGTGTATAGATGCTAATCAACGCGAGAGGGTAATATTGAGCAGTAGGCCTGCAACCTGTTTCTATCCCGTCAAACTTGAATATTGTAGCGTAGTGCAGGGGTGTGCAATCTTTATTACAGAAGGGCCCATTACAAGTAACTGGGTGAAGCCGCGGGTCGCACCTTTATTCGAGATAGCCTTTCTAATAGTTGCAAACTTGCAGGCACATAAAATTGTTTCTTTTTGTTATTGATCTTACGGCATTGTTAGGGGTTCTTGCATAAATGGTAAGTTAAAACGCATAAACTTCTAAAGAAATCTTCCATTCAAATTTATTGTCACACCGACTCAGATACTGATATATATAGGCTTTACAGGCACTTCGTCCAAAATTAGCACTTCTCCGCGGGTCTCACAATTATTTCTTTGCGGGGTGCATTTGGCCTGCGGGCCGCAGTTTGCATACCCCTGGTCTGGTCTATTAACATTCATTTGTCGCTATACTTTATACATTGTCATCGCCCCATCGTCAATACTTAAAAATCTCCGTGCTAGGCCAAAGCTTTGGAGAGGATGCAACTTTAAATTCCACTGTGTCGAGGACGTCAAAAACATATTTACAGTCTGGTATTCAAACTAGTTACAAAGGTGATATAGAGTCCTCACTTTCATCCAGGTAGATACCAATCACGGTATCTTGCTTTACCTTGAATGTGTTTTTTTTGCTCATATTGGAGTTGCTTGATCTTTAGTTTATTTTCAATGAACAAGTCACTCACTGAATTTTTATTGCCTTTATTTCCATGCGAATCTTCAATGAGAAAGGGGTGATAAGAAACTCACGATACCAATTGCTGCGAATTATTGCCATGTTGTTCTATCATTTATTTATCCCATGTTGAGTTTAAAACGCATTATTGTGAAAAATGTGTAGAATATGCCATCTTTGTATTCTTATACTTCCACATATACAATTTAGGTAGTATGATCCTATATTTCTTCTTCTCAGATGCCGGATAAGTTATACCTGGTATTTGCCGACAATGATCCGTTTAACGAAGTAACATCATGTCGAACTATAACGAACATACGACCTATATGCAACACACAGCAGATGGAAATGAATTTTACAAGTTACTCGTGAGTTCATTATATTTTGCCGAACTTTTATTATGGATTTATAAAGGTTAGATCCATACAAAAAACTTTTAATAGCAAATGTATATCTATTTATATCAATTTCAAACGTCTTTGAACGCTGCCAACCATGGTTTGTCTCAATACTTTACATATGTAATATCTTCCAGCATTTACGAATTTTTAACTCTCAGTTTTAAACAAATCAAAACGTGTTATAGCTGATTCATTGTCTTTTTTTGCTACAGTTTCACATGTTTAAGCTTTAACTGATTGTGTGTAATTTGCACGATGCCTGAACGAAATCTAAATATCTTATTGCATATGAGTTTCAACTATACTTGCTAAATACGGATATGCATAATATGCAATATGTTTATTCAACAGAAAATAGATAGCACATCCATGAAAATATACAAGTTTGGAAGTAGCCTATGACTGTATGAGATTAATTCCTACAGTCGGAGTTGCGACAGACACAAATGAATTCTTTTGAAATAGTTTCTAGACACAATACTAAAAAAGAAAATACAGCAATTATTTTCAAATCAATGTAACATGTCAAGGAAATTTAATATTCTATGTCCGAATAAAAATACTGTTGTTTGTTCTAGCCTACTTTATTTGTATTGTTGTATCGTGTACAGTGAAAATGACTTAGTGGCAATATGTGATGAAAAGTGAAAGGGAGTTATATTTTATATTTGCATGGTGAGCTATTTAAAACGCATAATTTGAAAATGTTTTCAAAATTTCAGTGAAACGTTTGGTCCCGACTCTGTCGATGGCGTTTTTCAAAAGAAAAACACAGGCACCTACAAAATAATCATATCGGAAGAAGCTCGTAAAGGTATTATCGACCTTGATTGTCTATTTCAAACAAGTAGTATAAACTGAAATAGTAGTATAGCTGATGATCAAATCCATGGCCTGAGAAGACGATATATAGCTGGTTAATTTTCTGTTTGTTTTAGTGTAGTATCAAATCCCATATCATTATGCACATGGACCAAATTTTAAATATTGTCAAAGTATCTGACTGTCGTCCGCTATTTTCATATACAGTATATATTATGATTTATACGTCTCACCATCTCTCTTCCGACCTGGGTAAAATGAGTTATTGTTCACATTGCTGAAATTGTTTCATATTTTTCTTTATGTCATTGCATACCTGAATTTTTCGGAGATGATGCAATGAATAAATAAGTTTTGATCATGTATACCAATAATCAATATTATAGATTATCATAAAAATATATATTCTTCTAAAACTCTTTCGTTAGACGTAATACTTCATGACAAATTCATTGCTGAAGGGAAGAAAACAGGGAATGCCGCGAATTTCACTAAAGGTTCTGTTTAGTAATCAATTATTTTTTATTGAAATTGGTAAAACAACCCGTCATGACAGTGCCATTTTTCTGCTTACAATTACATTTGGTAACACTTCTATAATTGCCTGAAAATAGTTGGTGCGCGAATTCTCTTCGACTACTAGAACAATTGCAGATTTAGGCAGTGAGCAGATTACGATCCTACTGCTTTTGAATTGTGTTTAACAAGACTGATGGTATGTTTCATGATTTATCTCTACTCTTTTACTCAAAGCGTCACGCTGTCACGCTAAGATGTCCAATGAACATTGCTGTTAGGATCTTGTGGCTTTGGTGTACTAACTTGGCCATAAAGCGACGTTATGAAATTGGAGGTCGAAAATAAATTTTTGAAATTACTATTCCGGCATGGTGTGCCTCTGCCAGATAAACCATTTTTGCGTAGTTTTGCGAGGAAAGAAGTGGAAAAAATTGATATCAAAACCAAACTCATGTTTTAAAACACGATGTTCGAAAAAAAAATAGTAATTAAATCAAATGCATTTGAACTCAATTTAGAATTCAATTCATTCATGAATGTGGATCATGTCTTTTATTCATGCGATGGAAAAGTGCTCATTCATGTTTGGTGCAGTGAAAACGGTAAGAACTTGACAAATTGTGAATGTTCATATCAGTATCAGAAAATCGTAAACAAATTTGAAGGAGACAAAGATCATGTTCAAAATTCCAATTCAGTAAACTGATTTCATCTCGTTTATTACGCAATTAACGTGAATATGCCGAAATAGAAATTAATGATACATTGGGAATATTTTGGAAAAACCTCTTCCATAGTAAAATGAACAAACAATGAGAAAACCTTTTCTATTCACTCTTTCTATTCACCTGTAAAACAAATAAGAGCATGTTTTATACTTCACTTTGAGCGCTGCTAGATAATATCTAAATCTATTGCATTCGGTAAATGAAGTAAATACAAGATTTGATATTTTATAGTCCTCGACGAAACGCTGTCGTCTCTTGAATTACTGCCTTAAATTACAATAGCACAAAGCAATACAGAATATTTTCGGCTAAATTTTCTTGCTTATTGATAGGAAGAGCGGTTGAAGTGTTCAAAGGGAGTACAAAGTCGACTGCTGAAGATGCTCTCTATGTCCACAATACTTTCGCCAAATGGAAGAATGGATGGGAAAATATAAAGCTTTACCCTTTCATATGCTCGATTCAGCATGCCAATAAATTTTAAAGATTACAAGTAACATTATCAATTCAACTATTAGGAAACGCCTACGTTTTTTATTCATACAAAGGAAGATATTAATAATAAAGATTTTATGCATTTAATAAAGGGTATTGCTTTCGATCCTTATTTACAGTGATAAAAACAATACATTTATTCAAGGTGAATGTTTTATCTGGATACTGAGTTATACTTTATGATATGCTAAATTAAGATTGAAACATATCCTGCTCAGCTACATGGAAAGATAAATTTCCACGAAGACTCCAATTGTTCTCATACAGTATAAGTAATTTCAAACTTCGTCGTTTATGCAGCAGATATCGTAGATGGCTGAAAACGTCATTCCTAAAGCCTCTATTTACTTTTTGTGCCGCATTCCCAACATCGAAAACAATCTCGTCTATAACTAAAACCGGTATATATATATATATAGAGAGAGAGAGAGAGAGAGAGAAATTTACAAAAATCATCTAGAAAATTCCCAAACATTTTGAATTATGATAAACGTGATCGATGCAATATTTTAGGCTATCACCAATATTCTAAGGATGCAATTGGGTTAGCGATGGTCTTCTTTGCCTAAATAACCAGAATCTTTTCCATCGTAGTGTAGTCAACAGCGCCACTGGATCGGTTGCTCGAAGTTTTTTTTATATCAGAGATTTATTAGAATATAAAGGTCTCTCTGGAACTGCACTAAACTCAGATATAGAAAAAGCTTATGATTCTGTTTCGTGGGATTATCTTTTTGAAGTGTTGAAATTTTTTAATTTTGATCATATGTTTATTAGGTGGGTCAAAACATTGTATTACCAAAGTCAAAGTACTGTTATCAATATGAACTATTTGTAAAAAAATGTTTCAAGTTAAAAAAAAGGTTTGAGGCAAGGTTGTAGTCTCTCACCATATATTTTTTTTCATTAATAATCGAAATATTAGCATGTAGAATTCGACAAAACCATGACATAAAAGGAATTTGTCTTGGAAACACAGAAATTAAAATTTTCTTGCTTGCAGATGATGCAACATTATATTCTGATGGCTCAGAAAAAAGAATCAAAACAATATTTTATGAAACCGATATTTGCTATTCCATGTCTGGATGCAAAATTAACATGAAGAAATGCTAAGCTTTGTACCTGGGGGGAAACAATCACACGCTCGTTTTCCATAATGATTTTTTGAAAAGCCTACTTACGAAGGTTAGTGAATGGACACCTTCAGTATCACTTCTGATTACTCCTTCTTAATAACTTCGTGGACAATTATGAAAATCTTGTCCTCCTATCTAGTATATTCAAGAGGCCGAATTGTGCAATAGAACTATTCTATAAATTAAGCAGTAGTATTTTTTACTTCACTCCAAAATTATATTTTGACACAAAAAATAACAAAGGCAAGTCAAAGGCATAAAAGTCTAAGACGACATTAATAAAGACATGACACATGAAAGACATGTCTTGATTTAAAAAAAAACGCTGAAATAACGTAGAAAAGCAAAAATTATCATAAAACTTCCAGAATATAGATTACCATATTTACTTGGGACATGTATGGTCATGTATGAATTTTTCAATTCAATTTCAGTTTGCAGTTAATTTTTTATTAACTCTCATTGCCATTGCATATCACTAAAAATTTGGAGTCTTCCAAGGGTCAGCTCCGGGCCTCTAAATATTTTTTCAGTGAAAAATTGAGCAAGGAGTACAGTGCCTGCATATCAATAAAAAATTGGAGTCTTCCAAGGGCCAGCTTTCGTTGAAAAATTTAGTGAGGATTACAGTGTCTTCAATTAAAACTCTTTCACTACTTCGTGGGTATTATATCTAGACATGATGGTTCACTGATTCGCGACTTTTAACATGTATATATATATAAGATGAGGAGAAGATCAAAAGAATATAAGTATAATTTTATTTCGACTCCATAATCAGTATAACAGACAATAAAATAATTGATAAAAACAAATGGAGAATGATTACAGAATCAGGAGAGCAAACGAAACCTTAAATAAATTGAAAGCGGTTGCCAAAAAAGTGGTACGTTTTCACATACCTGAAAATATACAATCAATTCACACACACCAACACATACATACAACCAAACAGATATAATAAAATAAACGCGAGAAACTTGGTATAAATCACTTGATGAACATAAAAGAAAACTAGAAAAATTAAAGAAAAAATGATTTACGACGGCATATTAAAAATTTGTAAGATTTTCCCACCAATTTAGTGAACAGAAATGAACTGTAAAAACAATATTTAATAAAATATATCGCCAAGCTGATTATACTTAGAGTCTACTAATGCCAAATTGCCCAATCAGAAAAGTTGGATGCATGAAAAAAATATGGATATATCTGATCGTGATGCTACTCCATATTAAAGATCATCCTGTGTGTCACTATCTGAAGGAGATATTTCAATTAAAGGCGGATACTTTTGAGCATCATGGTCAATAGGTTCTGAGATAATGTCATGAAAAGTATTATCATCTCGTGGATCGATCCATGATGTTGTACGATTTGCATGATTAATAAAATATTTACTACCATCAGGTAATGTTGCTTCTTCCCAGCCGTATGGCAACTCTTCGTTTTCAAGCAGCGGTCTGTTAGTATGGAAAATATTTCATAAGAAATACTCGGCGGTAGGGTGCATCATGCTAGTCATTATTAATACGCTTGCCACCACACCTCATGCATGGATTGGCAGGTTCGAATCCTGTGGGTCATAATTATGTGTGAGAGTATTACTGGACTCCTCGCACACGTAGGGTGGTTCACATAACCACTGATCACTTACGACGTCCCCACCCTCAAGTCCAGGCATCTGTACACAAACAACTGGCCAAGTAATTCTAAACCCGAAATGGGCTGGTAACCGGACGACAGGCCGTGGTTCGCAATATGATTAAGCTGTCGTGTCGACATTCCTCTCCCCCAGGATAAATATGTGAATCCTATCTTATATAAAATTCAGGCTACACAGCTGCATTGTGATTTTGTCCATTAAGACAGATTTATTTAGTCACAAAGGCATCGACAAATAAACTGGGCCAAATAAAATGGCATGTAGCGGTGCATTAACGGGATTACAGACTTTTCTTGTCCGAGACGTTTTGACCCAGATGCTTTGGGCCATGGACTATTGGGAGGTGCCATAAGAGAATTTACCCCCTATCTACCCATCTAGCAGAGTTAGATGTCATATATTGGAATCTAAGAGCAACTTACTTTATAGAGTCAATAGCAAGATGTGCTTCTTCAATTAGTGAATTCAATTTGGTTGAAAGATTATTTTCCAAATGTGAAGATTCTAAAATAAGATCATCAATTAGAATATTCTCAAGAGATTCAATTCTTTCCTAACCAATGCTCTTGTACACTTAAGCCACAGAAAACAGAACAGCAACATGCCACGGAAGGATTCTAATAATTATACCCAGATGAGGAGGGTCTGTTGAAAAGATCAATATGAAAGGTTATTCTTCCATAGGCCTCGTCTGGTTACCAGTCACGGTTAAGCATGGAGATTGTCAGCCATTTCAACAGACAACTGTCAAGATTCTCCATAATAAATATGAGAAATCCAATCCTATTGCATGGCGGATCGTGCTGAGCATTAGGAATACACTTTCATCACACCCATGATAAAATTGATAGCTTATTCTTCTCCTAAGGTTCTCAACGACATAATGAACAAGCAGCAACATAGTTTTCTGTAAGGCAATATAGGGTAGAGAAAAGATTTTACTATATATCCAGGGGGAGAGGAGAACGGATAAGGCAGCTTACCGATATGATGAACCACGAACTCTCTAACGTTTACAAGTCAATGTCGAATGTGGGAAATGTTTAAACTGCTCGAACAGAGGTGCAACGGAAAGCGATTTTCTAATGCTTAGCACTAACTGCCGAGTCCGTGTTAGCAAATTCCAGATTAAAACTGAATATAGCAGAAACATAAACTCTAATCTACATTATTTTAACTCATTCACAAAATGCCCACTAACCTACTATTGTTACGTTTGTAGTAAACTGCAACAAACACTTAATGGCATCTTCTTGAGATTTCCGAATTTCCATAGATTTTCTATATTCACAATCAACTAGTGATGCTCTTGTTTTTAACTCATCAATATCATCACAAGAATTTTCATTTGAACTATTAGTTTCTGGATTTTTCTTTGTTTGTAGCAAAGCAATTTTTTCTCTAAGATCTCTGAAGGGAATAAAATAAAAAAAATGATGCCCAAATTTATACTAACCGCTTATACACACATACATATATCGCTAACTCGGTGAGATATTTTGGTATACTCACTTTACTACATTGTCATGATCTGCCTGTATTTTATCATTTTCATTTCGTAACATTGTAACATCTTTTCTAGATTTTTCAAGCATTTGCAAATATGATGATAAACTTTCATTCAATTTCTCTTTTTCTTCCTTTAAATATTTAATTTCTTGACGCAATTTCATATTTTCTTTTTCAATATTGGTAAACTCTTTTTGTTGAGACAATTTCTGTAAAAAAGAAATTTATGAATGAGAAATATTTATATAAAAAGCAGTAATAAAAGAACAACAAAATAAAATCAACCAAATGTTTATGACTCTTACTTGAGTAACATTATTATAAAATTGCTCGTTGTTTCATTGAAACTATTGATTCACAAGAATTTGATAAACGATAGAGTACTCGCTCACTGGGATAAACTATTTCGGCAATGCAATTTGAGGGGTTCAGGGTTGAAATTTCATATTCCAACAATCCACTCGGGGTTTGGGTGGTATGGCCTAGTAGTTATAGTCCTGGAACTAACTCTGTTAGCATAACAAGTCTAAGATCTCGAACTCAAACCAAATTGTAGCCGAGGTATAGCTGAATACAATGGGTTAGGCCGAAAAAATAGATTACGGCCCTTCCAATATTACAACAACAAAAAAATTGTTTGGGTTATACTGAATCAGAATGCCTCTTCCAAGAATATTCCTGTCAGTGTTCCATTGTGTGAGACAAACAAATTAAAAATAGCTTATTTGAATCTATAACCTATTATTTACCTGTGTGTCTTCATGTTAGTGTTTCATTGTGTGAGTCTTGTAATGAATTAAAAAATGAAAAAAATCGAAAAATAGCTAATTCAATTCATAATCTATAATACCTGCATGTCCTCCAAATCATTAGTGTCAACTGTCTTGTCAATCTTCATTGGTGGAACTGCTGAACGTTGTTGTAAATGTTCTAATATATCTGACCCAGCAAAATGCAACATTGACTTATTCAAACCAAGATCTTGTAATTGTGAATGAAAAACTTCTTTGATTGCTTCAACAAAATCTGAAAACAGATCGTATTTTTTAATATTAAAATTATATCATTTTAAACAAATACGGTATGCGGAGATAAAGGAATATATTATCTTTCATAGCAAAAATAGCTCATGCAAATACGGTAAGTCGAATTATTAACTCGAAAAAAGCAGACATATTCTTTGAAGTTGAAGCATGGTTCTATGCATCAAAAACATGCTTGCGATCAGACCTCTGATTTCACCATGCGGATTCACGTTCAAATTCCATGCTGGTTAATTATGTGCGATAGGATTGCTGAACTCCATGAATCTCGATTGCCGCAGATTAAAACCAATAATCGGTTTCCCACAGTTCACATTCTCTCAATAAGATGGTTTTTTGGTAATTTAATATTTTTATCACTGTGCATGTGTGCAGTTTGGAAGATTCCATGACTTTTCAAGTCTATCAGACTAATAGTGTCTGTTATTTCTATGAATCTGAAAACAATCAGTAATTAGTCGAAGCCAACATGGACTGATAACTCAATGAGAGGTTTTACCTGGGCATATCACCAAGGTATAAGCAACTTAGCTTCTGCCACATCACATTTAAGGTTTTGAGAAACTAACATGTTTGGTATTATCCGATCTGTATAGCTAAACCAAAAAATGGACATATGGCACTACCTAATAAATTCAAAACAAAAATAGGTAAAGCCTCGAAAACCAGACAAAAAAGATATATAGACAGAAGATCATAAAGTCCATTTATGGAAAATTTGACATAAATTACTTTGGTTTGATGGGGCGATATAGGCTATACTTTCAGTTTTCCTTTCCACAAAATAAGTAACTTAAATTTCAAATTTATTTAGAATGTTTAAAATTAAAATAGCTCAAAATACTTTACCTCCGTACCGAACCATTTCATTTTCATCTTTTATCAACATTTCATGTAATTTCTTGATTTCATTTTTATTCGGAACTACAATTCCTAAATATTGTAGAGCCGATTCCAACTTGTGAACTTTAACTCTTGTTTCATTATCCAGTGTTAATTTTCTTCGGTTTGAGCAAGATTTTAATATTCTGCTAGGAGGGGGAAGATACTTTTCCATATCAAAGTCAGATGAAAGATAGGTATTTTGCAGTTCCTGGAACATATTTAAAAATAATGACATTTGTGGAGTAATTTCAGTCTTTTTTATAAATAAATGAAACTAGATGGTTTGGACTTGGAGTATATTTTTTGTATAACTTCTAATTGTACAAATCATTGCTGAGTTTAGAAAACTTGATAGCTGATGGCACATTAATGCATCTTATAATGAATCCGCTCCAAACACTACACAGACTTTACGTTCTGTCTTTAAGATTGGAATAGGATTTTCACATTTATCCTAATGATAATTAGTTAGCCAGATTGTCATTCGTGGATTTGGATGGCAGAGGACGCCCCTACTAATCAGCATGTTTATGAATCACACTGAACCAGCTAGTCCAACACTCCTTTTGCACATAATTATCTTCCATAGAATTCAAATGTGAACCCATGCAGATTCATAAGCAGTGGGTACGGAAGCTAGTATGTGTTTTGTACAATTTCACTTATGAATATAAAGTAGTATACCCTTTTTTCTTTGTTTTCTGATTTTATCTGGACAGATTGGTCTGTAAGAACTGAAAAAATAATACATAATTAGTCATGCTAGAATGAGTCATCATCATAATACTTAAAATAGAGGCATAGATTTAGATTAACTGATGATAAAATCTACTAAAAATGACTCCAAAAGAAGCATTTTGTCCATAACAACAAGGAAAACAATACTAATAAGCTGAACATCAACAACAACATGTAAACAAAATGATCCATATGTATACTTTGTGTCCAATAATACAAACTAATGTGTCGCTTCGAAACAATCCTATTCAAAATAAAACAATACTGGTTCTATATAAAATGCCATATGTTATCAAAATTATCCAAAGCAAGAACTTCAAAATAAAACATTTATAAAAATTGCTAAAAACAGTTTTTAACAAGTTTTTCGAACCTTTTTCACTAGTGCCGATTGATTGAAGATTTTGTGATATCCTTTTCATCTGAATTATACTTGCAATATCATCTAGTGTTGTATTATGTGGTATGTATTCAATATCAATGCTGAAAAGAATTTACAAATGTTGCAAATTATATGGATAATTTATATGACAGAGGAACGAGGAATGACGCAATGATGAGGGTAAGGGTGACAAAAACAGAACCCAGGTCATTTAGAACCTATTTTATAGAGAACCTATTTTATAGAGGAAAAAGTTCTAGATTACTGAAACTTCTGGGAGCATTCTTACCTTGGTTCAATCATCAATTTTTCTCTCAAAAATACTGAATGAAGCTGCTCAGGTTTCCAATTGATGACATTAATTCCATTGAAACTAATGATGAAATCACCACATTGTAATCTGCCATCTACTGCAACAGTGCTTTCGTCTGCTATACTTTCTATTTGGAGTATTTTTTCTGAACAATTTGATTGTTTTTGATTCTAAGCTCACCACAGACAATGATTTCCGCAATTGACTTCAAATTAGACTATACAAACATTAATCAATTTTACCAAGCAAAATTTGGCCTCAGCTAATATTCCCACATGATATAACTTGTGTATACAAAAATGAAACTCACAGTCATTCAATTTCTAAAACACTATTTCAAAACCAGTACAGGTACTATTGTTTTAAAAACAAACCACTGTTTTACATTTCCTTTTAATAAAATACAATAACCATAAAAAATATTTGAGTTTTTTAAGGTTTAATGAGCTTTGTACGGTAACCCCAAACCCCCCCAAAATCATTGCATCTTATAGTGCGCCTTGTGTGTAGATATGGACAAAACCCCAATCTAAGCAATATATTGGCGTTGCGTGTTTGTCAGTGTCCCTTACAGTCCGTAAAATGTGATACATTACATTTAGAAATAATAGAAACCAATCATTGATGGACCTCAGCAATCTTACCTTCTAAATGTTTAATTTGTTTTGCTATAACAATCACTCCGATTCCAAAGTAATTTTTCATCACACAAATTTTTTTGACAAAATTATTGTCTTCTTTCTAGAATGAGAATATTATTATACAATGTAATGACCTCAAAAAATGGCATAAATATAGCATACTCAGGGATGTCCAATACAAATCGAATCTTCGAATACATCCTAAATTCATTACATTCGATATAGAACATTTTTATTTAAGAATTTTAAGCTATCAGACAAGCAGATCAAAATGTATGATTCCCCAACTGGTAACAAACAACATAGAGAAATTAATGACCCTTGGGTGAGCGAACACATACTATTTCTTTTATCAATACCTTTTCATCTAAAATCTGTACACTTCAAACCTTACTTGAGGTTTTGTTTGCTGTCCCCATTCTATAATCAGTTTTATTCAAATTGTTTTTATCAATTATTTTTTCGTCTGTTATGCTGATTATGGAGTCGAAATAAACTTATACTTGTACTTATTTATATCGGTTTATATTTGATCATCATTGTTGAACAATGAGGTATAGCAATTTAGGTAATTTCCACATTAACTTGGCCCCAATTTAGAATGTATTCAATATGCCATATTCGAAAATATCTTCTCGGAATGTATTCGGAATAATGAAATATTCAGTTTTGACCATTCTTCCCCTATAGTGAAAATTTTCATGAGGCTTTAGAACTACATGATACGCAATAAAAATAAGCACATCATAATGCAACAAAAAGAGGAATTATTGGCCCATGTGAACTTATTATAATAACACAAGATAAAAAACACTTACTGGATGTTGATCTTGACTACGATCAGTAATTGGAGGAGAAATATCTGAAAAATGCACAAAAAATTAAATCCATATTATATACAATGCACATGGTGTTGAGTCCTGCATTAAATTAGGTAAAAAAGATTTAATGTGAACCGTGCCTTTAATGGTGGGCTTATTAAGGTGGGTCAAATGAACTGAAAAACATGAATAAACAATGATCAAAGTAAAACAGAAGAGCAATGCTCAAATAAATGGACACGATGGCCAAAACAAAGTAGTATGAGTATCTATCTAATCCAGTGCTCTTCAACAGGAGTTCCGCAGTACCCTAGGGTTCGGCAACACATGCAGTGGGGTTCCGTGAGTTTATAGGGTTCCCTAGGGGTTCCGCGTAAAGGAAAATTTGACTACCGGGCCAGTAAAGTTGCAAAAAATGATTATTCTTCTTTTCCGTTTTTGGATGAATTTCCAAGTGCGCAACAGCAAGAAGGACTTATAGATATACGTAATGATATTAATTCGGAGGAAACCTTCGAAAAAACATGGGAAGGAACATTTTGGATTTCTCTTCACAAAGAGGGTACAGCAATTGCAAAAGAAGCATTAAAACTTCTGTGTCAATTTCCCAATACCTATTTGTGTGAATCAGCATTTTCTGCTTTAACAACTATTAAAAACAAAAAAGAAGTTGTTTAAAGTGTGTAGACATGAGTATGAGAATTGCTTTGAGCGCTGTGGAGCCATGATTCAGAAGATTGCAAAGGAAATGCAAGAACAACCTAGTCCTTGAATTTCTTGCTTGTTACCTTCTTTCTGTTTCGTTGTTGAAGTAGAAATATTTGAATTACAAATATTTCGTGTTACGAGTATTTCCTGTTTTATTTTTATTTTTGTTATTTCGGGTTCCATAAAAAAACGAAAAATGTTATCAGGGGTTCCGCAATAACAAAAGGGTTGAAAAGCACTGATCTAATCCTTCTAAGTAGACTACCGGTACCAAAGTCTTCCCGAATTTGCCTGACTACCTGATAGAAACGAATGTAGAACTGCCACCGGGTGCCATTTTTAATTTTGATGATGTCATTGCAGACAAAAGCACAAACCAAATAAAATCCACAGAAATTTTTGAAAATAAATAAAAGTGATGGACTTCTAGCGAGAACAACAATCTTTAATTCATGAATATTTTAAAGCCATTGGTCAAGTATTTAAAGGGTAAAGCTATTTTTTCACAACATATAAAAATACCAACAAGAAATCAAGAACATAACAAGGGGGCCACAGAGCAGTTGGACGTGGAGAGCAAGTTGTCAAGTTGAAAGACTTTCTATTTGATAATATATATTTGCTAAACCTACCTAACTTGCCCTCTATGTATTTTCTCCTTTTTAATGAGATAAGTTCTGAAAATCTAGATCTGAAATGAAAATTAAGTTTAAAATAAAGACGAAAATTACAAACAAAATGTTTTATTTGTTTATTAATTAATTCATAGAATAATAATGATTTTAAAAAGACAAATTACCTTGCAAGTTTATCCGAGGCATAAACAATTTCAACCCTGCTGGTTGCAGCCGCTTGTCTCAACAGATCAACAACTCTGGAATGCAATTACAATTCATGAATTATTTTATGTGTTATAATATTAATAGCTTAGATCTTGTAGCATGTCTACTCAAAATGCAAAAATTTCATAACAGAGTCAAGGATGATAAAGTGAGCAATGCTCAAATATATGAACGCAAAAATCAAATGACTATCACAATTTGAACAAAATTTTACCCAAATGTGTAATGAATAATCAAACGAACGTCATATAAAGATGTGAATCATGAAAAAACAGCAAAATTTGAAAAGAAAAATTGGTTGAGAAAAACAAAATAAAAAGCCAAATTTTTAATTCTTCGGGTACTGAAAATTAGATATCGACAGGTCAATTAGTTGCACACAGAAGTAATTCAAATCACAAATCCAACAAGCACCAAAACAATAAAAAATAACAACAATTTAGCAAAACAGCCATAGGTTCGATACAGAAGAAATAGCGATCTTCAATCTCACAGTCCACTTCGTGTCCAATAAGCCAAGTGAAGAAGTCAAATGTCATCATTAATGTTAATTTTGTAAGCCCTAAGCAGGAAGCCCGTTTGAGATCTTGGAGAAGAAACCTTTGTTTACCTGTAATTGCTCAATCCTGCCACATTATTGTCATTGATTTGAATTATTTCGTCACCCACTTTGATGCTGCCGTGTTGTGAAACTGCTCCACCGTGGAGAACTTTTCTGACAAAGATACCAATATCTTCCCCATTATCCTTTTGAAGTCCACCAGTTATTTTAATACCAAGTCCAATTTTTGTATCACTTATAATTATTTTATGAAATTCTCTATTTTGTTCATTATTTTGAGTCATTTCGAGAATGAATACATTTGAGTATTTATATTACCTGAAAATATAACAGTTCAATAAAGAAATAGAAATTTTTATTTTTTAATTTGGTTTATGGTTCTTTTATTTAGTGGCATGTTTATTATGATGTCAATGTTTGGGTAGGGATGATAAAAAAAATTAATTTTACCAACTTCCAAAATTATCAATCCTATCAGAAAACCAATTTTCAGATAATCAGTTCAATAATAGTTTTGTTAGGAATAATCTGTTTATTTGTCTGAAAACATATTTTACAATAAATTTTTGCGGACAAATTTCTAATAGAATAATAAATATTCAGATAGGGTAATCATTATGTGTTGGCATTGGTAATAATAAGTAACTGTGACATCATAGTACATATCTATATTCACAGTTATAATACTGTTGTGGAAACACAAAAATTATTCAATCCAATTCATTATGTCATATCTGAAATTCAAATGTAGTAACCTTTATTCACACAATTCTCACAAAGTTATGCATAAAAAATGGAAAAAAATTTGGTATGGTGTTTCAGAACTCTTTTATAAATTATATCAGTAGCACTAAGTGAATACAGTGAAAATCACAATTTGAAAAAGTTTTAATAAAGATGAAATTTCATCACTTCGATTATACAAGCTAAATCAAACTTCAAATTTTCAATTGATACACATTTTTCACTAATAAAATGTTGTTAACAATGAAAGAGAAAGGAAGCATTCGATAATTTTGATCAAAATTTTTTTACAATTTTAACAAATCAATTCTATAGTCTTGCTTGCTTTCTTTTGATGAATGACCAAAAATGATATATCCAAATAAATTTTAATCAACACATATAGATTCGAAATAGATATTCAGTAATAAATCTTTTCCAATCAAAACCAAAATTATTACCGGATATCCTCACATATAAGCAAAAACAGTTGCAAAACTAAGGGGGCGGCTTATACGTACAAACCTCTGATCGCACTAAAAATTTGGTTCAGGGCCGATTTTAGAGGGTGGCTAATATGCGAGATCGTCAATACGATATAAGCTATTGATTTCACAGATTCACAGATACAATGCAATTCAAAAACTATTCTGTATTGGAAAGTGAAATAAAATGTTTAGATTTATAAAAAAGTTATCATGTATTTGGAAATCAGACAGGCAGGCAGCAGATATTACTACAAACTTTAACTTCAACTCAAAGCTGAAAAATTGTGCAGTAACTTTTTGGTGTTTAGGCTTCAGTTTTCCCTTTATAGCCAACAATTTCATCCCATCCTTTACGACATTCCTTTACAATCCATTCATGCTCATCATCATCGGCATTTCGTAGAAATTTTTGATTATAGTCAGTAACAATTCTTGTTGAAGGATTGTAAAAACCATCTCCACAATCATAATGGTTTTCTGGAATTCTTCTTGGGGGAATTCTGTTCGTAAGTTGTGAACGACCAGCGGGCTTCAATCCATGGCATATTTCTGTATAAAATCTCCTATCATATCCATCACAATATTCCCAATCTTCCTCGCTATTATATTCTAATCCATCAGCAAAAGTGTATTTTCCAGATACGACTCGACCATTTTTCCATTCGCCTTCATATTTACTTTTATTAGGAAAAAATAAAGTTCCTTTGCCATGAAAAGTACCATCCTTCAGATCTCCAACATATTGAGTTTCAGTGGGGAATTGATATTTTCCATGGCCCTCTAGTCTTCCATTATGCCAGTCCCCATCATATTGACTACCAGTGTATTCCATTTCATTAAGTCAAAATAAAATCAAAGATTTCTTGATAAATACAAAAACACAGGGGAATTTAAGCTGTGAAAAAAATCTGAACAAATGATTATAATAAGTCACAAACAACAAACAACAAGTTTAAAAAAACTAAAACAGAAATGAACATTGGCAGATTGGATGAATAGCAGAAAGTTTTGTGAACTTGTTTAACTTGGTAGTTCAGATAAATTCAGACATTAGAACAGCAGTATTCAAACATAGTTCGGCGACGCTTTAGGGTTCTGCCAGAGTGCCAGTACAGTCGAGATGTTCCACAAGTTTACATTCAAATACGATGTCTACCGTGAATGAATATATGTATATTATTTAAATATAATAAAATTCCATTATTCTGGAGTGAACAATAAAACTGGATTCTACAACTGACCTCTAAATAGAGGTTTAATAAAAATTTATTAATATTATTACAAAAAGAATTTTTGTTGTGGAATGATCAATGGCAACATAAAATAATTCTTTATGCAAACATGAAACTGTAAAAAGGTATTTTGAAAAAAAAATATGTCATATAGGTATGTTTAAAATAATCTCAAGTGTTACTATACTTTCTGTACTTTTGTTGAATTGCATTGTTCGTTGTAATTGTTAACACTTTCAGACTTGGTCAGCTAATTAAAAGACTCCACATACATTTATGAAGGTGTTGATTACGAAAAAAAAAATTTAATTCCTAAATATACGATTTGAAGTATATTTCAAGTTCATATTTTTATAGTTAACTTATATATTTGAAACATAAAAGTATATAGTCAGTGAACTTGTGAATGTTTATTTGACTGTAAGATCAGAAGATGTTGGATTTGACATAATTTTAATGGCTCTACCTCAGTACGGTAGCACTTGGCAACTACTGAACTAAGTTACGCTATGTCATCTGATTTATGAAAAGGGATCTCCTAATAATAAGGTCAAAAATTCGTCATTTTTAATTTGTTTGTATTGTCATATTTTAAAGTTTTCAAAATAAACTATCTATCTATCTAAAAATCCACCCCAAATTATTTTTCTATTATCTGATGCTGAATATCTTATTACACCCAGAGTAGATAAATAAACGTGAACAGAGCTGCATGACATAAATTATGAATAACTTATATACACCTAACCCTGACCAGAAAACAGCCGTTGTCATTAGCGACAACGCGAACTCTGCATGGCTCCGCAGCGGCAGCTACCGTGTACAGAAGAGATGGCGAAAATATTGAAACATTCTCCCTTTCTCTCTCTATATATAATATATATATATATATATATATATATATTATATATATATATATAAAGAGAGAGAGAACGAAATACTGTGAAATGTTGGAGGAATATACTACAGTGCGTTCTGATTCTATTTTATTGAACGACTAACATACCGGTTTCCAGTGAATTGTGCTATAATATATGTCGCCAGACACACGCGGCGGTGATCTTGCTGCATTCACAAGTCAATTTTTTCATGTGGTTTCAGGTGTCGCGAAAATTAATTGGCGACGTTATGAACTTTGCCGTCGGCGTTGTCTGGTGATGATTCATAGCGACGACATCAAATACAGAAATAGAACGACTGGCTTAAGAATTGTACCTTAACGTAGAGTAAACAAAGATTTTTAACATCGTGGAATTGCAATATTGGAAAATTCTGAAATGACTTGATGATGCAATATCGGATTTGGGAACTGAAAACATGAAGCCCTTCTCTTTGCGAACTTTTAAAATAGGCATAGTCGTTGCTCTCTTTTGTTGGACAATAATTAGTTGTTTTTCTTGGACAAAAAGGGGAAAATTCTTCGCTAAGAGTGAGGTTTGTACACATTTTATCATTGCAGATGACTCAATATACGTAAAAAGTATTGTAGACCTGATGACGGTGCGATCTGTCCGTCACGACTCCTGTCGTTTCTATATTCAGATATTATTCAGAAACTTTAATGTTGGATCTTTTTGACTGCTGGAGTGATAAATAAAATAACTCTGACTACTACAGCACTAGATTATTGCAGTATTGTATAATTTACATTAATGTTTGCTACAATGTTTATCAGCGGCTAATTAAATTCTATATTTATGACCACTACTGCACTACTATCTGACTATTGGAAAAAAATTTAAGATTTGCAAAAATGACACTGTCTTTCTGTAGCCTGATATTCCGCTTAATACTGAAAAACAATAATAAAATTGCTCTATAGCAGTATAGTGAGATAGTAGTAACAAGATTCTGAGATTGGTTTTGCCAATGAAATGCAAATGTCAGCATTAATTAGAGCTGTAGGGTCAGCACAGCATTATGTGCAAGGTAATGTAATTGAATTGATACTATAAATTTCATGATTTTATATAGTTATGATGCCCATGTCATTACTTCCCAATTTCTGACATAATTAGTTCAATATTCTTGTTATTCCAGGAAAAAGTAAAGTTGAATACAGAATTCAATTTTGAAAGATACATAGCCCAGCAAAAATTTAAGTCAGAAGATCCTTATATAAGAAATTCATTTAATCAAAAACGAAGTGATGAAATACGCACAGATAGAGATTTACCTGATTCACGGAATCGACAGTAAGCATCACTTTTTTATACATTGGTAGTTTTAACTGCATTGCCTAGGCTTTATTATTGGAAAAGAGGTAATATTGTTCGCGGATGTTAATTAACATAACATTTTTTGATAAGCACCAAGTTTAAACTTTGCGTATATTCCATTGTTTAGAAATTTTCATTTCTTCATTTTTATTTTTTTCTATTTTATGGCAGCAAACAAATTGTCTCTGAATATCCCCCAACCATTTTTGTTTTATTGAATTTTTTCACATAAATCTCGTTTTTTCCTGGCATCACCAGCTATTGTTTCACATTCGTTTTTCTGCATGTTTTTAAATTATCAATATATTTAGGCTTGACTTTTTCATGTTTTATTCGATTTTGGAACGGTGACCTATTTAAGCCTCCGCTGAACTTAAACTTGAGTTAGAATACTTATTGAAATAACCACTAGTTATAAGGTACAATAGTTTTATAATTCTCCTAATTTTAAATCAATTAATAAATGAAGTCGAAAGAATGAAAAAAAAATTCAAAAACTTATAACAAGTTTGACAATGCATTTACTCTGTTGTAATTGAATGTACTTGCATTGTATAAAAACACTTCGACACAAAGTCTGTATTTTACTCTAGATGTCTCAACCACCAATATAACCTCAAAATACTTCAGAAAAAGAAAACTTCGGTTATAATCACTTTTCACAATGAAGCGAGATCTACTCTTCTGAGAACTGTGGTTAGGTATGGTGTATTTACATTTTTGAAAGAAATTATCATTCTTTTATTAACTTTAACCACCCAAAGCCTAATGAGGTTAAGTTAAATAAAAACCTTCCAAAAATTCAGTCAATTTGTCATTTTGGTTCTTGAGAAATCATATTTAACATTAATATTTTCATACAAATTGAATCAATTTAGTGGTAATAATTATTTTTTGAATCTCTGTTACGCATCGCATAAATAAAATGGAGACTCTGAAAAAGCGAGCAAAACTTCTATCAAAGTCTCATAAAATTTTGTGAGGTAGATTACGCTAACTTAGCTGAAAATTTTACAAATTATTGTTGATAACTTGATATTACAATATTATAAATTTTACTTTTTGATTTTTTTAATTGTTCACAAATAAGTCTTTTTGAGCCATGTATCAAATGTAAATATTATACGCAATTAACGCAAATAAAGAATCCTATTTTACAGTTGATATGAGGTTTGCAATTTGCTTTCTTTGGGCCCATTTGGCAAATATTTTCATTCAATTACGAAATTATTCCTTTATTGACAATAACATTGTTTTTTAGTGTACTAACAAGAAGTCCGGAAGAACTAATAAAAGAAGTTATATTGGTTGATGATTTCAGTGATGATCGTGAGTGTTATCTTTTTATTATTTTTTTGGAGGGCGTATACTCTTAGAAGAAAAAGTTAAAATTTATTTTATTTTTTTCTCGTTAAACTTTTAATAATTATAACTTCACATGAATGTAATTTTTTATTTGTCTTCCATATTCGATGGGTATTTTCTAAATCTATGTATGGTCTTGTCTACATCTACGAAATATAAATATCATACATGATAATATGTTTACTGCGGGGTGGTCATAAATTCCTATTACAATTTATAATTTCATTATGAAGTCAATTCTCAATATTTCTCAACCGGCTTTGTTACTTATCGATTTTAATCGGTAAGTGTGTTGATAGGTATTTGTCTGTCTGTTAGATGCACGCGATATCTCACGAAAGCGAGATTGAATCTGCTCCAAATTTTACATGTGCATTCATCATATGTCGGACCAGAAGCCTATTGATTTTGGATGAATTATGTCGTATAATTAGCGAGTTATTAATTAATTAGTGATGGGACACAAGGTGTCACTATGGAGTAAGAGCGCTTTTTGGGGGGATCCCCTAACTTTCGATCGATAAGTCTTCGGTCTCTGACCGACATTTCTCATTTTAATTTTTATCCGTGTTTATTTGTATTTTTTGCTTCATTCAGTACATTTATATATTCCCACTATTGGTTTCATAAATTTCGAAACATATTCTACCAAATGATGATTAAAGGCGAATGGGAATTAATATCATGTTTGACTGCTCCAAGGTGCCATGGCATGTAATCTTGGTGAACAAGCTGCATTAGTGCATTACCTTTTTTGATAATCACTCTTGCCTTGTGCTTGTTCTCTGTAAACTCATGCTTTAATTAAATTGGATTTCTATATAAGACTCCTGAAAGATTGTAGTTTGAATCTTTCTAGATTGAATAGAAAACTACAGCATTGTCATTTCCATCTATGGCCGTAGATGCAGTTTTATGATATTAGAATATGCCCGCATATTTAGTAATCTGATGGTAACATAACATTAAAGCACATCCAAATTCTTTTACCTACCTAATTTAATACAGGACTTGATGAACACGCTGTATATTTGACTATTGGTTATTAAGATTATTATTTATCTCTAATTTTTATATTTTTCTTCAACATTATACATATCTTATATACTTGAATATAGTTTTGACTTCACGGATTCATACTATACCCAGCTTGATCTCTATGTAGGTGTGATCTAGTTATTTTAATTTCTATTGTATATTAATAGCAGTTTATGTAGCAACTTCAATAAATACATGCCTTCAATGTGTATACTTATCATTGTGCAATTAAGGTTCAAAAGGGTGTGTTTTTATGCTGAATATACATAATTCTTTCATCAGACGACCTCTTAAAACCTTTTGTATATTGGCTTCACCCATGAACAAGTTACAAATCCAGCATAAAGTAATAACAATCTTGTCTTGAGCATGAACTGCAACTAAATTATGACCAGTACTACATAAAAATTTCAATTATATTTTTATAAAGCGCTTCAAGATGATAATTTTTTGTACAAGTATTTCCTTGTTTACCCGATATTCCAAATTGTGTCTTTTAGATGATAACCTCATGCTTTGATTGGGATTGCATTTGCTTGACTTGCATTATTTTATTATTTTTAGCTGATGATTGCAAAATGCTTGAAAGGATTCCAAAAGTTAGATGTATTCGAAATACACAGAGAGAAGGTAATATTCCTTTAAATTGTATTATTATGTTTATATCCGACTTCTTTGAAAATCAAGCCATCCTGGTTTTCTTCCGCTTAGGAAATCAATGAAATCATATCCTATTTTATTGTTCTTAGTGGTTCAATTGCTTGCCTTATCCTGGAATATATTGTGAATTGTGAATATGAAAATTCTTTTTCTATCTTCCAAAACTTTATGATGTGATGAATTTATGAATTGTGATGGTGATAATATTATAGTTTTACTGAATATTCTTCAAAATGAGGTAGAAAATCAGACAGCTATGCCATGCGTGTATGTTAGTTTGCAGCAAGCTTGTTGAATCACAGAATGATGTTCTAAGTCCAGTATCATTTTGTTACATACACTATGAATATTCCTGAACAGTTAAAGTAGACTCCTAAAATATAGTGATACTCCTCTTTTAACTTGGGCAGTGCTGACTTGGCTTGTGGTTGGCACATGATGCTAAACATGAGGAACAGGCTTGCCATCTCACCTTTCACTACCTTGCGCAGGTCCGAATCTCATATGAGAGGATTGGTAAACTTGCTATTCGAGGCTTCTATCATCAAGTCCATACAACTGAAAAAAAAACAATTCACTATTGCCATATCTAATATAGACTGGTAACTGGATGAGGGGCTGTGGTTTAGACCGCCTTTTAAACTTTCCTCTATCTACCCTAGGTCAAATATTGAAAGTCCTATTCTAAGTCATTTTATTTTACTTCTCCACAGGTCTGATAAGGTCTCGGGTGTCTGGTGCCATCCGAGCTGTTGCTCCAATCTTAACTTTTCTTGATTCGCATTGTGAATGTAATGTTGGATGGTTGCCACCTTTATTGGAAAGAGTTACAGAGGTAAATATAGTATTTATATTTATAATAAAACTATTATTTAGAAGGTTATTTTAGCAGATATTCCATATTACTGCATAGTAAACTAAGGGGGAGAGTGGGGTTATTTGAGTAGTTTTTGACATTTGAAGCGATGTAAAATATTATGATTGAAATCGATTTTCACTGAAATTATAGTTTCATTGTAACATTCCGACTCTGTACTCCCTTGCATAACAGTGAGTCTTATTCAATGTATTTAAATCGCCTCAAAATGCTCATTTTTCAAGGATAATTGAGTATACTGACATCTACCAGTAAAATCAAAGCTAAAAAGCCCTAGAACCAAATCAAAGACCTTCATGAGAAACTTGAGTACATTTTTTTTTTTTTTAAAATACTAATTACAAAAATCTTGAAACAAAATTATCTGATATCACTTTAAACTTGGTATGATAGATCGCAATTATGGTTGCCATAAACTTATTGCCACAAATAGCCTTTCAGGTAAAATAATAGTTTTCGCCTGAATTCTTTTTCTGTGACGGCTGTTTTTTTTTATTATTGCTACATGTTTTCAGAGATGACATTGGTTGTGATTACATCAACTAAACCTTTGTAAATGCACCAAGCTTACTGGTGGAGTGGGACATTTGTGCTTGGCTTGTCCACAGCTTTCTTTTTTACTATTTTTCAAGTACAAGAAAAGAACCGCTTTCTCAAAATTTTACAATTGCCCATTGCGGATTTACACTCGTATTCATTAAAAATATAAGCCTATATTGAGAGATGGTAATGTTGTAGGCTACAAAAAAGTGTTAGGGCTCAAAATGGTCACAAAGAACCTCATAATCCTGTGTTACAGCAGCGGGAGAGGCCATCTATGCATATAGGCTATGATATAGGCTACTCGATTTACCCCATGATCTTGTCTAATATGAGTTTTTCTTGCAGGACTCCACAAGAGTGGTTAGCCCCATTATTGATATAATAAATATGGATAATTTCAATTATATGTCGGCATCGGCAGATCTGAGGGGTGGCTTTGATTGGAGCTTGCATTTTAAATGGGAACGACTCGATGCAGAAACACTAGAAAAGCGATATGACTCCGTCGGCCCCATTAGGTAGGTTTAATAAATATATATTCATAGCATTATTAATGACTTAATTTGTATTGAAATAGCTGTCAAAATATGTGACTTGAACCAGGAATCTCTGGAATGGAGCAAAAATTTGAGTCTATTCAAAATTAAATATTTCAATATTTGTAATTCTTTATTTTGAAACTAAGTTTCAGAAAATATTCATTTAAAATATTATCATTTTGACCAGTTGAAGTCTCGTAGTGTTACCAAAAAGTTAATTTCTGTGCAAACTTATCACATTTATCAATATTTACCACATAATTAACATTCCATCATTGCAAATATTGTTTTTAAAATGTACTGTGTAGACAGTAGTTTAATTAAATGTATGGTAAGTTTTTCGGTTTTATTAATATCTGGCTGAAGCCAGCCAAATTTTTGTATTTTGAAAAAACGATTGGCAAGTCTTGACTATTTTGCGTTAGCCACAAAACTTTTTATTTTTATCAAGTGTGTTAGTATCTTCTATTATTTACCTAATTGGACACTTAATATACATAGGGATTATTTGTTGTTATGCGTCATTTTGTTGTCGTTGTTCATCTAGTTAGTCATTCTTCTCTTATTTTTTTGTTGTGGAAAAATCGCTTTTTTCTTTAAATACTGGACCAATTGCTTTGAAATTTTCAGTGATGAAAGATTGTATTTATTGCTAGATGACCATTACTTTTATTTAATTCAAAAATTTCTGTGGACTCTATGGAATTCGTTTTTTGTGTGCCAGGACTTCATCAAAATAAATAATTGCATACCAGTTATCTGGTCGCCAGGCGAAGTCATGAAGACTGCGGTACTGGTAATAGATTGCATACCTGTGCTACTTCGTCTTGGCCTTCATATCCATATATTTGAGCATTGCATTCTTGTTATATTTAGAACTCCTGTGATAGCTGGAGGCCTGTTTGTCATTGATAAATATTGGTTCAATAGACTTGGAAAATATGATACTGCAATGAACATTTGGGGAGGCGAAAATTTTGGTAAGATTCTCGAGATTATAGTTATAATTATCTGTAATCGCAATATGAATATCCTATCAATGTTTTAAAAATACGATATGCTTTATGTCAGCTTTCAATTTTGGTATGTAAAATAAAATTAGGGCAGCCTTGAAATTCTGATACTGAAAAAACTCATATCATGTGGGTGGATATAATATTTAGTATTAAAAACCCATTTCGAACTTAATTGGAAACTTCTTAAATTTTGAAAAACTCTTGATTTTGGTCTAATTTTTGTGGAATTCACTACTTTGTAATTGTTTTCCTGTTTGTATTAACATGAACTGCACTAGGCCTCACGTCAATCGGTATTTACTCACTTGCAATTCTACCCTATAATGATTCATAGTCTCAGCAGCTCTTGGCACTTTAATGGTCTCCTCGCTCGGAGATCAATCTCATATATATTCGATTGAGTTCAAACGAACTTACCATGAGCAAATTTACTCACCGTATATGAAAAAAATAATAATAAAAAATGAGGCAGTACCTATGTTTTTTTACAATTCTTATTCATTTCTCCCTTGTTGTAAATTGTAATAACAAAGATATTTTCTGTTCTAGAAATTTCATTCAGAACGTGGATGTGTGGGGGAACCCTTGAAATCATACCTTGCAGTAGAGTTGGACATGTCTTCAGAAAAAAGCATCCGTATACTTTTCCTGACGGAAACGCTAATACTTATATAAGGTGTGCTTTCATTTCAATTGTATGCTACCTAACAAGTCAGCAATTTAGTTTTGAAGGAGCGGAATCTTTCTGAATTGATGATTTGCATGGTAGTTTAAGAAACCGAAATAGGGTAAAAGGGTATATGAGGTGATCTCTACTAGAATTTATCTTGCTCATCATACTGGTCGCAAAAGGCTGATATAAAATTAGCTCTGTCGGAAATTTTTCCTTGTATTGTTGTAGTGATAAGCTACTCGGGAGTAAACAGTGTTATTAATGTTGATCAGCCCTTGAACCCGAAAAAATGAAAAGTTGAATAATCTTTTGAAAGTTATAAACTTATGTTTTTTTTACTCTGAAAATGGGCCACAAAAAATGAAAAATTGAGAACTACTGACTACTGAGTAATACCACATACACGCAGCAGACCCCCTCCCCTCACTGCTGTATATGATGAAATAGGTTAGTTAACTTATAACACATTATTGCTTTTGATTTAACATTTTTCTTTTTTATGGAACTGTTTATCATAGGATTTGAAATGAGGTATGACATTATTTTCGTTTTCTGGTCTTTATTATGTAAAACCGTTTTCTATTATCTCAATCAATGGTATTATTTCAGAAACACAAGAAGAACGGCAGAAGTATGGATGGACGATTATAAAAAATATTATTTTGCTGCAAGACCGTCCGCAATAAATAAAAATTATGGAAAGTATGTTAGATTTTGTAAACACAGCATAATTCTATGAATAAATATTGTTCAGTGTAACGAAACTTATAACACATTTTAAGCAGTTCAAATGTTACCACAAATAATAAGATAATACAAAATGTAACCATAGTCAATGCATCAAACAGGCAGTGTTTTTGGATCAGTTTTTAATAATGGTTATCAAACCTAAAGTAAAAAGTTGTTGTGCATCTACCAGTGAGATAATCTGGATGGGGATTAGGAATAAATTTACGTCGTAGTCATCTCAAAACGTTTTTCGCTTTAATATGGTTTGACGAAAAAGGGATTTAAAATTTCAAATGGTGTAAATTTCAAATATCTATGAAAACCAAAATTTTGACAAATGCAAGCCTTCTTTTAATTGTCTTTTGAAAATAAGTTTAGAGTTTTTAATAAGTAAGAAGTTTAGAGTTTTGACTCTGAAGGATTAGAAATGCCTAATTTTGCCAAGACTCTCGAATTCAAAAACACAGCTCGGCCTCATAGTCCAGTATCGGTCAAAACTTGCTAAAGGATAAATCTACAACCCCTGTGTTATCATGCTATGCCAATCTAGATAACAAATACTTCGCTAATTCTAAGGCTTAATATCAAATTGTTTTTACAGTATTGATGAAAGAAAAAAGTTGAGAAAAGATCTTCAATGCAAAACTTTTGAATGGTATCTGGATACAATTTATCCACAGCTCAGGTAATAAATTGAAATAACTTATATAAAAATTTTCGAAAATTTTGGAAATGTTGACGGCGGGGGCACATCGCGCTGTTAGAAATTCGCTTGTCATTCCACCCTGCCGAAGAAAGGCCTTAAACTTATGAATAGGCATCTTATCGGTTTCCATCACCCCAGAGATAAATAAGAAATAAAAGTCTTAATCACTTTATGGACAACATGTAACCCTGTCTGTAAGTCGAAGCAATCGCGAGTTGCGTTGAATACAATCAAATTAATATGGCAATATACTTAAAATGCTCTCCATCTCTATCATGGATTGAATATTTTGTCCAAGCAAAAAACCATTATTTAAAAAAGTCAGCTTTTACCAATTAGTGTAATCGCACAGATTTTCAATGAAAAATTTGCCTTCATATAATAAAACTATCATTTCTTTCAATCTTCATGAAATTTGTTTTCAGAATACCATTGTTAACAAATCCATTGTCAACTTTTATACTTCGTGTTAAAGATGATGATAATTGTGTTGGTCCATCATCGGAACAAATTCTTGAGTTTCAATCTTGCAGTAAAAATGAAGAAAATCAGGTATTGCATTTTTAATGAAGCATTTTCATGGCTTTTCTCTCCAACTAAGGCTCCAGGCCAGGGGTGAAAGCGGGTGGAAAGATGTGTGAAATGTGCTATATTAAATTATTTAGAAACATAATAGCTGTAATGTGTTATATTTCAGATTTGGAAATTGTCTCCAGAAGGTCACCTTGAACATCAGGGTACACGCAGATGTGCAGAGCCTGTTAAAATGCTTGATAAATTACATATTGTGTTGACACCATGCATGGGAAGCATTTCTGATCAAGTAAGTTTTATGCATTTAAAGATAAAATGAATGCATATGATGAAATGGAGCAGCAAGAAAAACTACTTGCCATTGTTGTCTAGTTCTCATAGGGTGACAAATCAACCATGGTTCATACAGTTATGAATAAACACGTTTGTTATCGTCAAAAATAGTATTAACTTCGATAAGATGTTCTTCTACTATTGTCTCTATTCTCATTTCAATAGCATTGTATAAATTAGAGACCACAATATCAATGTATCAATATGAAATGCATTGACTGCTTTTACTGAAATGGCAAAGCTGAAAGTGTTGGGACCACTGGTCCAGATCATTAGCGTGTAAAGACAGGAGGAAATGACCTTTTTTATTATTAATCATTCATATCCTAACCTGCGGCAACCTGCAGCTCTTTGTTCTCGGAGCTTTGGCTACTGTGAATCAAAGTGGTTAAAGCAGTTTAGGATTCAATGCCAGGCGGAAGCATAAATCCAAATACAATTCACATCACAACGGTTCCCAATGTGTAAGTCGCGAGCGGTAAAAATGGGTCGCATTAAAGTGATTCATGTCTGTCAAAACTTTTTATTTTACAAGTTGTTTTCATTTCGTCATAGACTGATTTATTACATCATTCGTATTTCATTTAAATTTTCAGGAAAAACTAGTTTATTGCATCATAAGTGGTTTTTGTTTTTAGTTTATAGTAGTTTCAGTATATGTAGTGACTTCGAGTAGATTTAAAGTTGTTGGAAAGAATGCCAAATGCCTGTTTCAATGCTCAAGGTTGCCGAGCCGTGTCCTAAACCTACAAATAATTTATTCATTCATATTTTTACAGAGATGGAAGATAAAAGACAATATGATCATTCATAGGATCAGTGAACTTTGTGTATATTCATGCCCGACTGTTAATGGAGCCCCGTTGCATCAATTAACGCTAGTCAACTGTAAATCTAATTCTACGCAAAAACCAACTGAATGTAGAGAATGGAATAAAATTGTAACAGAACGATAGTGACATCACCAATAAATTGGTTTTGTTAGTAAGGATTTCATACTTGCTGATATTTTTCAAACGGCATATAAAAAACTGGTGCTGCAGATAAATATGGTGGAATGCTTCTTCGTGTCTTACCCAATCATAGATTGTGTCTTATGAATGAGATTGAGTCAAATTTTAAAGTTTTCACTTAGAATTTGGTGTTAATTGTGTAATCTACTAGCACTAGTAAATCACATTGGGTTTTGTTTGGAAAATCGAAAAAAAAATTATGAAACGTTTTTGAGAACTGTGAAATCTACCATTGTGCATTTAAATTTGGCTAACAGAATTATTTTTAATAAATTTTAAAACTAGTAAAATCTTGGGATAAAGATCCCTAGCATGTGGACTATTTTAACACCATAATCACAACCAAGTTGAACCAACATATTGCGGTCATCATATTTGTCAAACCACCTGTCATAACTTTGACAAGTCTATATTCATTACATTATTTTGATAAATTAGAAACATTAGATTTGATTTTGAACTGAAAAACAATTGGACTGTCATTACGAAATTTGGTAAAACACTTTTTGCTTTAAACAAAGTTTCATCTCATATGTTCTGATTGTGATTTTTATTGGTATTTGTCTGTCCGTACTGTGATCCACTGTGTTCCTTGTCAAACAAATATACGATTTTGGGGCCTTTTTTGTGATAGAATTTACAACTGCAATATTAGTAACATATGTGCCTTTTCTGTATCTTTAATGTATCATGCAGTACATAGTAATTGTGGTGCTGATTATGGTTAATCTAAAGTAAATGTGTAGTTTTTAATTTTCGACACAATGCCAGTGTTATCCATTCTGTAAGTCTTATTTTGATTCGTTTTTGTATTGGTCATCATATGATCAGTATTAAAATCTGAAAGTCATAAATTAAATTACGAAAATTTTTTTTTGATATTTAACTAATGGTAGGCACATACATGTATGTATTGTAAAAAATGTAATTAAACATTGATCAAAATAATAAAAAACTGACTTCATAACAAAATTGAAATGGGACCTTATGAATGAACACCTTGTATGTACTATACTTTTTTGAAGAATCATTTTACACCATGTCTCGGACTTACATTTTCCTATGGATGAAATTTTGAAATATTTCAGAATTGAGCCCAATCCTACCAGTAAATCATGTAGTTCTGATCTGTGTATAAGTGTATTACACCTTAATGGAGTGGTTCTCAACCTTTTTTTCCTCCCTACCTGTGCATTGAAAAATCAGTTCACGTTATTTGTTCAATTTTTAAAAGATACTTAGCTGATGTTATGCACGACTCTCAGTCTGGGTTTACTACGATTTGAATAGTCCATAATGCGTGCATACATATGTATTACAATAAAAGTAACTAATATTAGTAGAACTGCACTGAATACAAAGTAATATTTCTGTATTTCCTCCAAGAAAAACAAAACCCCTCTTTGGTTGGGAAACACTACCTTAATGCATGTAATAATGTGAAATAACGTAGATAGTTGCTTTATTTGAGTGACATATTTCTAAATATATGCAGTGTTATTAAGCTCTTTCTGTCCATAATTTATTTTTATTTTAAAAACCAACAAGTGCTATCAATTATCGGTGCAAATATTTTCTTGTTATCATTTTATCAAACAATATATTATGGTGCTATTCTGGTAGAACTGTTAATCCAATACTCCTGTTAATCATCATGACAAATGTAATCTATCCTTTGAAGTTAAATTTAACAGACATGGAATTTTGCTTATCAAGACATTGACGTACTACTTTCTAATCTTATAAGCGTTTCTCAAAGTTATAACACGTAATGTTCTAAATTTATGCATGATATGTGTACCTATTTGTTTTTGAACGCCTGAAAAGTTTTATACCGCTGAGTTTGGGATTCGAAAAAAAAGGGACGAAGCAAAAAATAAATCTTTGAAGCATTACAAGAAGTCATGATTATGAAAAAAAAATTTCTGAAAACTTTTCCATATGTTCTTAACACTTAATGTTCTAAATTTATGCATATGTTATGTGTACCTATTTAAGTTTTGAAGGCCTGAAGACTTTTATACTGCTAAATTTGGGGATTCAAAAATAAGATGAAAATAGTGAAAAAAATATCTAAAAACATTGTTTGAAGTCGCCATTATAAATTTATATTTAATCATGATTTCATGCTACAGTTGATTTGAATATTTAAAATATAATTGCAAATACAATGCATTAATTTAAAACATTAATGATTTACGGTAAGTAATACAAGTGATGAATGAGAATAACGAAAGTGTTCATTTTTTAGGAATTTTATTTGGTCTTTTTGTTCCGTACTTTTATTTTTTTGGGCAGCTAAGTCTGTCCAGTTTTAATTAATCTTATGTTTGGACATCATTTTACATTTTATTCTGACCAATAAAATATTACTAAAACTATATGTGATAAACTAATGTTCAACTTTTGAATTTTCTAGTATATATTCAACTTTTTTTCATGAGTCATCTAACTCAATCTGATATATGAACTTGTCAAAATTTTCACTTAATGTAAGTGAAAGGCACTACTTTTGTCATTTTATACAAACAAATATCTACAGTATATTATTCATTTTGCTCATCGCTTCACCGGTACATTCACTAACCCTACTGAGTTTGCTAGCTTGATTATTCATGCCTACTGTGCTTAATCATAAATATATTCATCTATATGCAGTTGCCTATCATTAAGTGACATATAATCATACTATTTTGTGTATTACCGTATATACTGTCAGTGACTTTGTACTGACAATTGTTTTCTTAAACTTAAATTTAAGGGCTATGACCAAAAAAGGTATAGGCTATTTGCATTTTCTCCATTTAAAGTGAATATGTTTCAGTTCATAGGAAAGCCCTAAGTGAGAAAAATTGGCTATACCTCAGCAAATACTAAATATTATTTTCCAAAAAATTATACTTCTATACTCTGCTGGGTTTTAATATTGGCAAATCAGAATTCTGTATCACCGCCTTAGTTTTTGAAGCCATAAAAACTAGAGTCGGTTTATTTATATACATATATATTGTGTGTTCCACGAATCAAATATTTTACATAACCTTCCATGGCACTTTCAATTTATCATAGTTTATTTATATAATTTAGTTGATATACTATACAGATTTTTCATGCATCAGTAGATTTATAAATTTTGAATTAAGTGATCTTTAAAATGATAACTGCCTTTTTTCAACTCTGGTCTTCTGCAGGAAACAGCATTTGTGGTTTTGGGGTTGGTAAGTTAGGAAAGGAAAGTATTCAGAATTATCAAATTTGCCAGGATGTCCACTAAAACTTGTTGGAATCCACAGTGGAAGTAGATTCCTGCAAGTTGGTATTACATCACAATTGGCACCAAAAGTGTTCTCAGATTGTTGCAATATCAAAATGGTTAATTTAAGAAGTATGTTGTCAATGCATCGTTCGTTGTCTAGGACTTTAAAAGTAATGTCGGTTAACTCAACAAGATGGGGAGTCTTTACTTTTGTTTATGAATCTACTACAATCCAGGAGCGTAGTATTTTGTCATTAAAATTTGGTTTCCTCGTAGATGAAGAGTAGTTTAACCAAGGGGTGTAAGAGTAAAATTTTTGCATTTTGTGCAGACCCACTCTCAAGATTGAATAAGAACCAACAATGTATTTTTGGCAATTTATTATTTCATAATAGCGACGTAATTATAATACATTAATGAGTTATTAATCACATAATCCACAAAACTAGCAATGTTATATGCTAACTATTTCTACAGGCGGAGAAGTACCATAAAATTATGAAAAAAAACATACTATTCCCTCAAGAGGTTGTTGGTAAGGTGTATTACCCTCCAGAAGAGAATAATACATTTTCAATTCTCGATCAAATAGTCTTACGCAACAGTGCTAAAAACCTACAGATTCATATAGGTAAATTTGGAGTGAGAACAGGACATTACTCTCAGCAACACAAACTTAATAACGTATGTAAACTACTGGAAAACGCTAGTAAATTTAACAAAATTTTGTTAAAAGATTTTGTTGCTACATATCACTGAATATGGAACTTTTATCTGTGGTATATTAATTCAAAACCAATAAAAATGCAAAAAATAGATAATAAACAATGTGTATATCTTATCTGGAACTCACTGAAAACTAATTCAATATTTTAGATTATTTCTATTTTAACGAATCTGTGGAAAAGCTCGCACATTGCATAAACAGTGATGACAAAAATAGATAGTTAAAAATTTGGAACTTTCATGTTATGAAAAGGATCAATTATGAAAACATTTCATTCTGGATCCCATAACAATTTCATTTTTTTTAACCGGTAATTGTATTAGAGGAACAAATGAGAGAATAAAAGTTGAGGATCTTCAAATTAGACTGGATATCTTAGAAAATATGGGATTCTGGACTTAAAAATATATATATAGGGTGTCCATAAAGTCTTAAAATTGCAAAGAGAGTTTATCAATATCATATATTGTTTTAACCCTCACATATGTATTCAATGAAGTATAAATACTAAAAAATTACTGAATAAAAACAACAAACCTGGTTAAGATATATTGAGAACTGAATTCATACCAAATATGAAATTGTAAAAGGACTTTATGGACACCCTGTATAATACTTTATAAAGAATTAAAGGAAGAAAATGTCCTTGAAATTGACGATATTGCCTTCGGTTAAGCTAACGAATTTATTAAGTTATAGCAAAACAAAATCTATGATAACAGTTTTATTTTTTCTGAATGATTTTAGACACATGGCACAGTAGATTCGTAAATTCATTTTACATGGTGTATAAACCGCACATGGCAGTTTAATAGATGGAAAAAGGATAACAGTACAAATTGGTAAGTTAATTTAAAAATATTTGCACCTACGGCAAACTATAACAGTAGGAAGATTAATTTCAGATGTTATATATGCAGAATAAAAGTTCATCGGAAAATAAATCAATATGCACCAAAACATAAAAAAATAAATTTTAAGCAAAAAATATCCACAAACATTGAATTCGGTTCAACTATTCCAATAATAAGAGATTAATGTGATAACCTGGTAGTTACAGCAGTTATTGCAGATTGCACACCTCAAATCCCATGCCCACCCCTGGGTTTAATAAACCAGGTATGCGATGCCGAATCGAAAAGATTCCGATCCTTACAAATAATAGTTGCTATATCAGTGACTGCTTGTATAAGGCCTTGTTCGGAGCAAAAGCGTTACATAAAAAAAAAATGCATGGACATAAATGTGGTACCATAGCTGTCCATCATGACGTAGCTTACTAGAATCGAAAAAAAGAGTTAAACTTAACAACACAGAAATCTCAGAGAATATTTGGTGGAACATGGAAAGATAGGAAAAATTAAACCAGTCCCAAATTTAACAACCGAAACTCCTGAGATTGGTAGATGAAAAGAGCAATTTTTGTTAACATGATTATAGCCATAAAAACAAAAAAAATAGAAAATTCTGTGTGTATACCATGTTTAGGATAGAAAAATTCAAAAACAAAAAAATTTTCTTCAGACAGCAGTGATTACTGGTATTTTTCCTTCAAAAATTAATGTAATTTTGTCTAAATCAATATATATGCACAAAAGTACCGTATATACATAAATGGCACCAACAACAGAATAAAATCAAATTTATACATTTCAAAACCCACACAGCAGTTGGACCAAAATTTATGTATGTTTGAATTGGTTTCAGTAACAAATTGAAATACTTCAAATGAGTCAATGAAACCATTTTTTGAATTAAATCACGCAACTAGAAAATAGATTTACCTATTTATAATTTGAGCAAAACGCAAAAAAGCACCAAACGAAACTAAACTTGGAAATAATATACAAAGAAAAAGCTTTTTCAAATTTGGTTTAAACTCAAAGAAATAATTGACTTAGAATAATTATGGCTGATAATAATCAAAGAAAAACCTGAATCAAGACAAAGTCATTTCAAATAAAAAAAAAATTTTGATTTGAGAGCAGAGTTTGACTATATTGTTCTTTTATTGAGATTCGGTTAATTTAGAATGCACCTAATTAAAAAGAATTGTATATGAAAATCATAATTTTAATTCAACAAAGTGATTCCATTTCATAATAATAGGAAAGTTGAAAATTTAATTCAAATAACCTGTATGGTAAATCTTCAATACCAAATGTGCGGATGGTAACCTTAAAATTAATTTTCCAAGTGTTTCTGGATTCAGATTTAATAACTGTTGGAAATATCTGTTTTTGTCGGGAATATTATACATATATTATGATTTAAAATCAATCTCACTAAGATATTTAGATTAAATTGTACAAAGTTCGACTGAGTAAGATAGAATAGAATGAGGTGTTGATAAAATCAGAAAAAAAAAACAGAAAAAATAATTTCAAATTAAAATAAAGGCTGTTGGCGATAATTCAGCAGTTTTACAAGTAACTAGTCTTCATATTAGCATTAATAAGTGATTAGCTGCAAAAGATCTAAATACATTTAAAAATATCAATCAATAATAGTAAAAAGAAAACTAAGTTTCCTTTACTTAAAAACCAGGGAAAAAATTACGAAACTCGATTTAGACTGAAAATATTCAGTTATTCCAACTGTGCATGATCAGTGATAACATGTGTATGAACGAGTTCTGTGTATCGCAAAAATTTTAGGACAAAATGATAAAAATAGAACATATTGTTCCAAAAAATAAATAAATGGTACTTTTTAATGGCTAAAGATTTTAATTCAAGAAAATTGGATGCGAATTTGAGAAATAGTTGAGGAAACAGTGTTGCTTGGAAGCTATTTATTTATAAGAAACTTTCGGAACATTCCTACGACGAAAATAGTTGAAAAAAACGGTAAATTTTACCAATTTCATAACTACAGTGTACAAATAAATTTAACTGGTATATTTATATACAAAGAGGTGGAAGAAATGTTTAATATAGAATTTATATATCCCTTCTACGTAGATAGACTTGATCGAGGATGTGCAAAACCAAGCATATTCAAAATTCTATTTGAGTATTTCAGAACAGGCTAGTTTGAGGTACAAAAATTGTGCGAGTTTGGTCCGTAATAAAACTTTTCTCAAAGTCCTATTATATAATTTAGAAAAGCTTGAGACTATTTCACATTTATATATTTTCATGCCAAAGCCATTTTCTCTTTAACAAGTTTCAATGTAAATAAATTAGCCCGTATTTTAATTAATTTTGGCTTTCCCTACAGTTTTAGATTAACAAGCTTAGACAACTTTGCATATCAAGTTTAGATTAACAATAAACAATGCAAAAACGCTTATAGATAGAAGTTTTATGAGTTGTCATTATGGCTTAAAGTTAGAGCATTCGTCTATATAGGATATCAAAGGATAGAGATCTCCATTGTTTACAATCAGACTATCTACTCACCCAGAGTTTAGGAAAACAAGTAGGCTATGACACTCTAGCCAAATAGAAGTCCTATCCATTCCCATATTAGAGTGAACATGTATAAAATCTCATCAAATTTTCAAGTTTATAATGTTGAATTCCAAATTAGCACAAAACTAGGTGAAAAATTCAATTTCAATACCAATCCAACATTGTATCAGCGAAAAATAACACAGTGCCATATCATATTTTTGCACCATAATGCTCAGATATTGCGCAATGCACACAGTTATTAAATAACTTAAATTCGACTAGCATTTATTTGCACCAAAAGAATTTAGATGAGATCACACAAAGAGACCACATTTTTGACTAATCACTGTGGTTAAGCATATGATGAATAAGAAATGGATGTATCTATAAACAGAGGAGATTTTTGTGTTTTTATTGATATTTGAGTCTGAGCTAGAGTTTTCGGAATTTAGACTTCTAATGGTGATAATCGCAGTCAAAATTAGTGGCAAAAACACACAAAGAGCATCAAGTTAGCTAAGCATTCTCAACTTACAATAATAGAAGGTTTGTTTTTGCCAAATTTTTGCGGCCAAACTTTGTGTTTGGGAGTCGGTTGTGAATCCCTGACCTGCCCAACAAAATAGTCCCTAGTATAAATGTTGTTGAACGGAGAAAACGTTGTCAAAATTATCCAAGGAATAAAATTCTTTTAAAAATACTGATTTGCCCAGATCATTGGAACTTTTGGTTGAGGGAAGTAACCTTGATGTCCATTTCGAAATCGTTTCTGGGATTTCACTTACATGTCAGAATAATTTGAATTGATCTTTTTTATGGTTAAATCCTGATTTCACAGTAAAATAACAAATTTCATGGAAAAAATAATTATTAGCTATTCAAAATCCATTTCTGCAGATAGAATTCATTCAAACTTTCTTTATAATGAAAATGTTGCAATAATCCCAGACTCGATAACTTCTCCAGACGCTCAAAAATAAATAAACACTATCAATTGCATTGTTCGTCTTCCGACCCCCGTATGCCGGTCAGCTAACTATTTACAATATTGACTGTTTGACAATCATCAATTGCAAGATTTTCATTTTAGCTTCCCAGAGATGTTATATTAGGAGCGATAGTAGACAATAATGTAGAATTGTTCATCGTCATATTCCTAAAATAATACACATATTCGTTAAGTATAAAGGATAGAATTTTTACATAGGAATATCATATTTATCCCAGGAGATAGGAAAGAAAATCATATGGGTGAAAGTTACCAGTCTAGATTGGGTAGGGGAAACGTTAAACAGTTACTCTTTTTAAATGAACAAGACCCAATAATTTAAATTGCTGGGACAAATGTCGAAAATCTGATTCAATTTGGTATGAAAGAAAATGGTTTTCAAGTGAGAATCAACCCACTGTATTCAAACTAAGGATATCCTGGAATTATCTGAATACTAAATCCACTGTATGTTATAGACCATAATGTGCACTTTAAATCCTTTTTTTCTCAAAAATCGATCTTATGACTTATGAGCCATTGCGCCTAATATATGTTTCAGATAGTGCTTTATGTTTTATTTCCTACACTCAAAACCAGTACTGGTACCATTGTTTTATAAACGAACCACCGTTTTACGTTTTTTTTTTAAATAAAATAACCATAAAAAAATTGGGACTTTTTTCAATGAGCTTTGTACCGTAACCCGGTAAAAACCCGTAAAAAAACGGTGCGTCTTATAGCCCGGTGCGCCTCGTGTATGGACAAAACCCCAATCTGAGAAATGTATTGACATTGAAGCTTATAAGCTGATTTTAAAGATATGCTGTACTTACCTCAAGCCAATACAGTAAGGGCTATGAAGCCATTTTGGACAAATATCAAAAACATCGAAGGCTGGTCCACCCATGATATAAATCGATGATACTACAATGACAATGCCGACAAGGTTTAAAAGTGAACCTGCTTTGATCTGTAAAAAATAAAAATAAAATTTGAAAAATATATTTAAAAAATCCTGAAAATGGGGTTATCATTTATAAAAGCCAACAAATTCTTTAAAAAAAAAATTTTGATAAAAAAATATAATCAAAGAATATTGATGACCCCCAAAAAAACAGTCACGCGGTCATTTGGAACATATTCTGGAAAGAAAATAACTTTTGTGCAAAGTGGCCTTGATTACTGGAACTTTTCGGTACAATCATACACAAACAATGTTCATTTTCATATAAATTAAGAAATTTATGGGTTCTAATTTTTTAAAATCATCCTGCACAAAGAATCGATTAAAAAAAGCCTCTCAATAAAGGTTACGAATACAATCATAGTTGAAATATTCCAAGTACGAAATTCTTCAAGGAACAAATTTCTCAGTATATCTTATACGCACCATGTCTTTCATTTTCAAATGACCATAAGAATAAGCAATTGCGTTTGGAGGTGTCGAGACAGGCAACATGAAAGCATAAGAAGTCGTCACAGTTGCAGGTAACATTAGGTAAAGTGGATTCACATGCAGCACCTCAGCCTAAAAATAAAATACTTTGCAATTACACGATTTGGGGTATGACACGATTATAATGAATAAAGCAGAACAAAATAACGACAATCATCAGGAGCTGAAGTCATTGATATCTGATATAGATTTGTGAATGAGTTTCCATCTAATATAGGTGACCAGAATCAAATGCAGTCGAGCATATGTTTCACAGAAGTAATGATAATCGAAAATAAAAATCACCTTAATTACAATAAAAAATGACGACAGTTCGATTATAATTATCCAAAAATCCCACTTAATCTCATACTTAATACTCATGTACGACTTTTTATTAAAAAAGTCAAAATCAAAATATTGAAATACTTTCGATTCACGGTCATTCGCCAGTTAACTTACCAATTCAGCGAGTATGGGAATGAACACAGTGGCAGTTGCTGTGTTGCTCGTACATTGCGTTAATGCACAGATAACGAAACAGCAAATGAATGTTGCACCGAACGGTGGTATTTCACTCAGTGGCTCCAACTTACTTCCGATCCATGCAGAAAGTCCTGAAGTCTAGAAACATAAATTAGAGATTGTATCATAGACTCCCAAGCAATTTTAGTCGCGATTTGAAATTTCTTTCAAGTATGACGCTTAATATTGAATTTCCCTTCAAACAAAGACCTAATATGTAACGTATGGGAGGAGTTATTTATTACCATTTGGAAAAACGGAAAATCTTCGATTTGACATTGCCTCCCCAAATATTACTACACACTGGGTGATGTGGATGTCACAGAATCATAACTCGTGTAATGCCCATATGGTGAATGTGGAAAATCGAACCCCTGCAACAGAGGCGAAAACAAGTAATTTTCAAACGCGCGTTCTGAAATTTGTAATTGCCAAGTCAGACCATATGAACTAACGGGTCCGGCTGGAGGCCAAAGTACGTGGGTTTTAAAGAATTTTGTGGGTCTAAAAAATGTTTCAAGCTACGAAAAATTGCTATGTATGATCCAGAAAAATGCTTTTTTTTACATTTCAAAAAGGGGAATTTTCGACGCCTAAATTCCCTCCCTTGGCTATGCCGCTGCCCTGCAGCCTCACTGTCTGCGTCAATAAGAGTGGTATTTTTATAATATAAACTTGCGTCAAATATTCTTCTCAATAACTTCTCCATAAAATCTAACACAGGTACGATCAATTTTTGAAACCAAATTTTTTTTTTTTAAATAGAGACTAATCGAGTAGCAATTCTTCCAGTAACAATTCTAAATAATATTGTCAAACTTTTCTCACCTTAGATCCTAATGCCATAGCAAATCCACCTCCCAAAAGAAGAATAACATTCCAGGCCATTTTTTGTTGAACGACTGCCCAGGTTAGAAGCGGTGGAACAGGGCCTTTTTCTTCTATAATAAGAGAATTTGTTTTAATAAAATAATTGAAATCAGTAAAAAAGAGACTCATATTGAGAAGTGGTCAGAATTATGGACTGTTTTAGGATTTTTGGTATTATAAATGCACAAAACATCTAAACATAATGAGTTCGGGTTCATAAACGAATTCGGTTTGTTCGCAAGAGAAAATAAAATTGTGGTTCTTGGCAATTCAATTAGCCTATACAAGAAATGTTTCGCATGACTTGGCGTTTGCCGCACCATGACAAAAGGTTGAAATAATATGCTTACCACCGCCCCTTTGATTACCCTGTTTGGGCTCGCAGGTTGGAATTCCGTAGGAATAATTATGTGCTGAAGGATTGCTGGACTCAGTTCACTGTTGTATGGTAGTCGTAACTGGCTGGTCAATGACGTTTACGTCCACCATCAAGTCCATGTATTTGAAACAAATCACCGATTAATTATTCCCATACCCAACATGAACTGGTAAGCGAATGAGAGGCTGTGGCCGTTGGTCACCATATGATTCATATGAGGCCATCTTATCAGTTTTCTTCTAGCCCGGAATAAATAAGAAAATTCTATCGTATTTTGTGCTGCAGACAGTTCAAAGGTAAGTTGCGATGCAACACGGTTCTCATACGAAAATAAAAACCTTACATACCTTACTTTACATAATCTGCTTAATATACCATGGTGAGAGTGTAATATTCAAAAATCAATGGCAATAATAAGTATGAACCGATATTTTCAAAACTAAGAAAGCAATGCAGAATGCGAACAACCGGGTTATCACACACATGTCATTTCTCACGAAGCAAAAGCAAGACCATAACAAGTCTTATTAAAAGAAAAAGGTTAATTTCTAAGAATTTACAGTTTTTATTTTGCGATAAACAATGTATACGTGCATTGCACAATGTACACGTTAATATCTTAACCTCAAATTATAGTAACATTATCAGGTTTGAAAAGACGTCGTCTATAATAATCATCAACCACAGTGTTAGAAATGCCTCCTGGGCAGATTTACTACACATACTTAAAAGATCATTTTGTCAATAAATGACATGTTTAACAAAACGCTAATTAAACTATATCGCATTTTATTTGTTCGATTCAAATAATTTTACAATTTTTTTCGGAGCGTAACATTTTACTAAGCAATAAAATAACAAAGTTTTTTGTTCTGTGTTGGATGGAACTTTTATATGATGTGAAAAATATTCTCCTTTTTTGTAGTAAATTTATGAATTCGTCTTTCCCAAATGTATGTATGACACAGACACCCAACTCATCCACAAAGGTATAATGTAAGATAGACTTTATGTGACACAATCCCCAACCCATAGGTTAACACATTTTAAGAAAATTCACTCATGAACATAATCATACACTCCCACTCAGAAGTAAAAGAGACTGATTTCTGAACGATTATGGAAGACAGCTTTAATGCTAACAGCTACTGAAACTGTATAAAATTATGTATTAGTACATTACGCACTAATAGGTAGAGAGGGTTCAATTTATAAGGAATAGGCTTGCTATCTCACCTGTGATTACTCTGCATGTGTTTGCAGGCTGGAATTCTGTAGGGAATATTTATGTGCGAGAGGATTGTTGAACTTCACACCACTGTAGGGTGGTTCATGTAACTGCAGTTAGTTAACAGCTACCTCCTCCATCAAATCAATCTGAAACAAATAACTTGCAGACTAATCCCAAATCAGACAGCAACTGGAAACGGTCGAGAGACTGTGGTACTTCATATGATTTTGCCGTCTTACCGGCTTCTCCCTCCCTCAAGATAAATATGAAAATCCTATCTTATTGGATGATCATAAGACTGTTTTTATTCAAACAGACATTCATATTAAAATTAAAAATAACAAAGTTAATAGATTAGAATAATAGCAAGCAAATTTCAAGTTTCATAAAACGAAAATGGAGAAATTGAACTAACCTGAACCATATGGTTGGAAACAATACATGTTAGGTCTTTTCGAAGGGAAGACAAAAAGAATAAATGTAATCAACATTGCAACTGTTGCATCTGTTACATATCTAAAAACAGAAAGGAAAAGGCATTGAAGTAATGTCAAATAATAATTTCATATTCACAGGAATACTAGAGTAGATTAAGATGAAATAGGAATTTGACATCACATGGTCAGACAAAAATATACTTGGTTAAACTTTTGATAAGTTAAAAACGGATGAAATATCAAACTATATTGAGCTAAACAATGTTATGAGTGAATTTCCTCGTTCTCCGATGAGTCATTATAGAATATATTCAACATTCCATATTCAAAAAGAAGGTATGATTTTTTAATTTATTTTAAATTTTTTGGCCACCATAATCAAAAGTCTTTATATATATATATAAGTATTTAATAAAGACATTCCAGGTTTTTCCCATTGTCACATCGCTCATATTTATCATAACAAAAAAATGTAAAAATATGCCAAATCTGGCTGAAAACGGAATTATAAAATCTGATTTAGCCGAGTCGCAATTACTGTTTATTGAGTTTGTTTACTGTTTATTATCTTCAACAAATAAATTCCCTCATCTAAATAATGTCACATTCTATATATTAAAATAATAAATTTTCTTACTTTTCTTTGAAAATGTATAATGATCCCCATCCATTGACAAACCCTGGAGCTCTTGTCAACCACAGCAAAGCGAGTAAAATGAACAATACCAAGACAGATATTTCGGCAAAACTGAAAAGTAAAAAAGAATGAAATAAAATAACAATGAACTACAAATATAAAATATTAGTGACAGAAAAATATATGCCACTTTGGTATGCGATCTTAATAACGTCAAAAAACTACTTTGGTACCTGATCTCACTTGCTTGATGAGATCTCAATCGCATAAAGATATTCTCATAGAATTCAGTTCCTAACCCTGTCAATGTTGGGTTGGGGTTAGTTTAGGTAATTGAAATTACTGTGATCACACAACCACTGATTTCGCATACGAATTGTTCGAAACAAGCAGAACTACAGTTATGGGAGTAGTTCTGCTAAACTAGTATAATTAATAAGTTCTCTCGGTCCCTTTTTCGAAATTACATGGCATTTTCTATGCAAAAAAGGGAACAATATAAAAAATTTTAATTTTGATCTGATTTCCCAAAATTGGGAACAGTAAATATTTGAAATCATTTTCAAGGTACGAGGTATTCAATATCTTCGCATAACAAACAAGAAAATGACGATTTGATGAATATTCTATAAAAATTGAAAAACACAATACGACTACACATCCTATGTTATAGTTAGATAAAACAAACAATTTTTGTTTGAAATATTCAAATAAGTATGCCAACTTTCATTTGAAAAAATTACACGATTTTAAGGAAATTTGCTAAAAGCGAGGTCATGGCCACTCACTCAGAAATTGAAGAGATTGATCTTCTGCATTAGTAAATACTGAAATAAAATAAACCCCAATCATGATAGTCTATTAACCACTGTTATGGAAGCAAATGATTTGGTCAAAATAAATGTTAATGTGTCTTCACTGAACCATAGTTTTATTCAAAAATCTCTAGAACATTGCTTTAATGATATCCAGATAATACTACACTTTAATCCGAAAACATATAAACGAAAGCTGAACAAGTAGGTAATAAGAGTAAAATACAAAGGTTGTAAGTCATTTGGCATCAGAAGATTAGGTGTGTTAAAATAAATATTGAAACAAATGATAGCTATCATATTAACAGGAGCAAGTACAAACTCAGATATAGATCTAGAAAGGTGATTTATAAATGTGATGTATACAAGATTGACTGTTTTAGTTTACTTAACTACTAATAATGTCCATAATAGCTTGGTATTGTAGAATTACATATAACAATAAATTTGGATTTTTGAATGATAAATTATCAGCAATACAAATCAAAAATCATCAAATTTTGTAAAAAATGGCAATTTGAATTCTTTATTATAAAAGTAAGCAAATTTAAAAAAGAAAATTTTTCGCTGGCCTGTCTTTATAAAACATCAGATCTCCACCAATGGAAATATATCACATATTCACAACTAATATTTATTCACCAATGAGACCTGTACTGTAATGTCATGTTTACAAAGACATTCCACAAAAAACTTATTTTCTTAAACTTAACTTATGAAAACAATATTTTCATAAAGATACAAAAAACATACGAATGAATTCAATTTCAACATATCACACCTCATAGGCCCCAGATCTCTATATTGTCTATAGATTACGTTTTCCGCAGAAATTTCTTCAGGAGTTTTGGCATGTTTTTTGCAGCAGCAAGTAAATAGATCTTTGAATCTAAAATGAAAATACCAACAAAGATTAAACGATGCGTCCACACATTATAAAATAAAATAAACAGGTTTGCTGAAAACATTTCAAATATTAGCTATAACATTAAGATTCTGCTTACACAGTGCTAGGTTCAGAGAGAAGATTTTCTTATCAAACAACAACAAAAATACACATTTTGTGGTAAAGATAAGGTTTGGATATGTAACTGTGGTAACAACCAATCAGATCACTCTTACCAAAGTCACACCTCCTTTAATATATTTCAAATACCATCTAATTTTCCTGGATATATTATCAGTTATTACACACTGATCATTATCATGCATTGTATGAAAATAATTAGCAAAATATTACAAATATTTTGATTTTATAAATGTTCAGAGGTACCGGTATATTGAAATATATTATACTTTTTAATGATGCTTATTTCCAGTTTCGCTCCGATAAAAGGCCCTATACAGGCAGCCACTGATATCTCCTGATAAGTAGGAAGTTACTTTATAATAATTATTTTGAATAGCTAGAGAATTGAAGATATTTTAATAAATTGGTAATTTGTATCAAATTAGGCATTACTAAAAAAGAAATTTAAACTCATTCAAAAGTGATATGGTAACTAAACTAATTTCCAAACACATATTGGAAGTTCAAGAACCGTTGGGCCATGTCGAAGGATTCCTGTCAGTGATCACTTGTCTAGAGACTTGCTAAGAGCACAAATGTCAAATACATCACAAATATGTAGTATGAGAAAAATTTCTCGCAAATAGAATTTCTTAGTAATATAAACTAAGCAGCAATCTTACCCCATGTCTAAGAAGAGATATTGCAACCACAACCAAGCAAATAGAAGAAACAGGACCATGCCGGGGAAAGCATACATTGCCCAAGATCCAAAATCAACTTCAGGTGCTTCTTTGTAGGTTCTAAAAGTATAGTATTGTTCCCATCATTGACATGTAACAATGGATGTTCTCAAAAAAATTTCTAGAGGTCAAAGGTCGGGGACTAGATTTGACAGTTGAAACAGCAATAGAAGACTATTATTATTGCTGTTGAATAATAGGAATAAAATATCTTACAAGACTTGTGTGGATGGAATATATAAATACTTACGTTTTAAACTGTCCTGCCATAATAAGATTGGGCCCTGTGCCAGTCAAGGTAGCTGTCCCACCAATATTCGCCGCATAACAGATACAAATTGTTAATGCTTTGCACATTCCTTCGTTAGTTTTATGTTTCGGCTTACTAGAATAGTCCAATTTCTGAAAAGGATTGAATTAGAAATAAAGTTAGGAATAAAAAGTATAAAATTAGAGATGGAGTATCGGTAAGTGTCGGAAATATAACATGGTGACCCCAAAACAGTACCCAGGTCATTAGAATCATACTTATTCCAAACTAGAAAACATAACTTTTGTGCAAAGTGTCCTACATTACTGTCGGAGATAAGTTGAACTTAATTCGCTTTTTTGTATACTCAAGAGGTGACTCAAACTTAACTAATTGCCAGAGGGATATAGAAAGAAATTAAGCAAGTTTTCACAATCGAAAAAAAACGTTTGTAAAATACGATTCACCAATTATTGTTGGATTGAAAATTATCAAAAATTCATTAGCATGTTGCAGCAATAGCTACAAATACCCTGCGATGATGTCAAGGTAAATGTTATCGGAACATAAAGATAAGTTTTCCATTAAAGTTGTGGTCTAAAAACTCTTGACTAGATGTCTCGGTACAGTGACTCGACTTGACTTAAGACCCAAGATTACCTCAATATCAGCATTCATATTATTCTGTTGCTGATCCGGTACAAGTAATGTGGTGGATGTATCAGGCCCTTCATCTGAACCTGGCGTTGGTACAGTCAGCATCTATATAGTTACAATTTTTTAAAATGAAATGAAAATTTGGACAAAATGTTAAGGCTATGTAGAGTTGGAAAGTAAAATTAGCTGAGAGCAGTTCAAAAAGTGAAATTTTTCAATCTTAATTTCTGACTTTTAAAATCTAAAAACAATAATCTAGATAAAAGTTGACTAATTTATGCTTAAAAAATCTGACATTAGTGACATATACTTTAACACAAGTTAACATTACACCCGTCAAGTTTTATATGAAATAGAAACTATAATGATTACGATGACACCAGGTAATATAACAGCACAAGTGCACAACATGCAAAATAGCTGTTTTCTATTACTGCTTGGAATATTCATGAAGTTTACTTTAAGTTTTTTTGCACGATGCTTATGCATGCCTCTTGACTGAACAAGATCTTAATCAAGCATTTCATTATTAATATCTAACAATATGTAATAAGCTGCTATTTTTGAAAGGACCTGAATATTTTCAGTTTAGCATTGCCTACCCAATTGATTATACCCTGGGGGGGGGGCATGGGATTTGAATCAATGAAACCGGGAGACAAGAATTTGACCTTTCTTAAACAAGATAAAACATTTTCTAAGAAAAAATATTTAAGGAGTATATATCAGTATTATGAAACATGTCATTGCAACAAATCTTGTTACAAAAAAATTAAATCATGTAATCACTCCCACAACTTTTAATCTTGAACACTAGACAAAATATAAACATACCTTACATTACTAATATCTTGCCATTACTACTTACCATATTTGTATGATTCCTGTAAAAACGAAAAAAGTTTTTTGAGTATGACGAAACCAGACTGATGGGTTTTAATAACATTATAATATAAGACCCTTTTATTCTAATGATTGAAATAAACAACATTATCTCTTTCAACAAAATAGAAAAGGCGGTCCAGAAGTGTGTGTACCAATATGGAGGTTAATTAGGAACTAATTTTGTTCGCCTACTTTACATCAAGTTGTGTAAAGGGACTGAAACCTTTGGTCAGGGGGTATATTCACTTGGCTAACACAGACAGTCCCCGAACTCATAATAGAACCAAATTAAGGAAAATAGGGATAAAATTAGTAAATTATGACCTAACCCTAACCCTAACCTGGTACACACACTACGGGAGTACCATAGAAAGTATATTTTCAAATTTTTGTTATTAAATCATAATCTAACTTCTTCAGACAATACAATACATGGCATATCTGAAAAACTTTGCCGGACAAGAGAGATAACATGGTGTCCATAATGTCATATTTAAAATGTTAAAAAACGCACATAGTTAGATATATAAAAGTGTCACACGAAGGCCATACAAAATGTTATTCCTTACATAAGTTTGATTGTAATCTTAGAATCAAGCTTTCAAGCTAAAGAGCAACAGGCAAAATATGACAAATATAGCGTTGAGATTCAATTTCGAAGTCTTAATAAAAGTTGAAAAAGCTGCTTTAAGGAAATGTGCAAGGATAAGATTTTAAACTTCTACAACTTTTGATTACAATATTTCGGTAATTGCTTCTAAATATAATTAGGAAGAAAGTAGGAACCATGTTGTTTGTGAAATTCTCAAATATTTTTTTTTTTCCAAACAAACATTCATCTTTTCGTCTATGCACTCTTGATTTTTCCATTTGTGGGTGTGAATACATTTATTATATTATTATTTATTATTACGGTATTATTATATTACTCTCAAAATCCCACCTCTTATTATCATTGAAAGAAAGCTGTTTATGATGCTCAACGAAAAAATTATAGATTATTACGAAAACTTAAATTTTTTTACATATCAGATTTAAATGCAAAAGTTTAATTATTATCCAAATGTCTGTCCATACGAGAATTCAAAAATTTATTAAGAATTGACGAAAATGTGTTCGATTCTAGAGTAAAAATAATATTAAATTCCATCCAGCCGTCATAGTATGTTCCAACTGTGTTTTATAATTTATATGGCCGTAATCTACACAGTCCGCAAATGAACTTTGATTTGAAATTCAATTCCCACAGGATCCGAAACAAGAATTGTAATTTATTTATAGCGACAGACGGACTGGGACCCGAATGTCCGTGAAGCATAAAGTAACATTACATCCTATTAAGAAAAAACTGCATGTTTGTGTGTATAGAGAATGTGAGTGCCATGTTTTTTCTATTTTTCCCTCATTAATCTTTTGACGATGGCGACGGGGCGGCGGACGATCATAAAAAATTACATAATAGCTATGTCTTTAGTATACGAATACCAAAATAAAGAATAAATTTAGTCAAAAGCATGATAACATCTTTTGTAAATTGAACGCAAAAAGAAAAGGCAAAACCAAATATTCTACTATTCCAAATACATTCTAAAATAGTATTTTGGAACTTAAAACATCGAATATACCGGTCATTTCTAAATCGGTTCATTTTTGACAAAGAACACTTAGAAGAAGTCAATGTAAATTCCATGATTTTAAAATTGAAAATGCAGGAAAGTGAAGATTAACAGTAAAAGCCTTTTTAATCATACTGAAAGACTTGAATATGGTTCCAAATAAAACATCTTCTAAATTAGCGGTTCTCAAACTTTTAGGCACCATTGTTCCTTGATTTTTTCTTAACATTTGGAGACATTTTGCTCATTATTATTGTGTCTCTTTCGTCCAATTTGAGAATCACTGGCCACCACTATGGTATAGGATTGCACGTTAATAAATACCGATTGACGCAAAACTTGAAGCACTTGCTTCAGAATCTCAAGACATTGCCAAATTCAATATACTTTCTGAATTAAGTACGCCCAATCATGTTCCATAGTTGAATTGTACTCAAAGAATAATGCTGATCATTGGGCCAAATTTAGACATAATTATAACAGGACAGACTATCCACAACAGAAAGCATTAGGAGGAAGTCGGTTTGTCGGAATTACATAATTTCAATGTATTGAAAACCCCACAGAAACTAAGTAATATTTTATATTTTACTATTATTTAATGAATTTCTGGAATGGCTATTCAAACATCAAAATATGAAAATTTTTCACAAGGGGTATTTGGAGTAGCAATCTATTCCTTTGTCAATTTTTAAACAATTTTGGTCGCAGCCATATGAAATATTTACTCTCTAAAAGGGAATTGACATTAAATTCAATCTGTATTATGTTAACACAATCAGAACAAAAACAATTCTGGAGAAAATAATCCCTATAGCAGCAGCAGTTTTATGAGTAAAATTATCAAATATAGAGTGGAAGTATATAATCATTAAAAAAATAAAACAAAATAAATATTTTAATATTATATAAAGAATATGAAAAAAAAATGGAAAAATTCCAAAATTTTTATATAAATATGAATTTAACTTACCCAACGAGATCATATTTTGCTCCATTGGAATATCTTTTTGTTGTTTCACTTTGGGCCCAAGTTGGAACATCATTGATATCATGAGAAGCTAATCGCTTACCGAGCTCCGCAGCATCACCAATATTTCCCATCTCGGCCCCTGAATTTTGATGGCACAAAAATTTATATTTTATAATATAAAAAAATTAAAAATAATTGAACAACTTAAATAATATACATACTTACACAAAGTCCTATCTATTATAATTACAATTTTTATATGAAGTCAATTCTCAATAGGTTTTGTTTTATTTTTATCAGTGATTATTTCAGATTATATTATTCCATTTAATACACCTTTTTTGCTCAATATTAGTTGCACGAAGTTAACCTAATTTAATACAGGCCTTTATGAACACCCTGTAAATTGGCATACTATACCAGAATAGATGTGTATTATTAAAGAATTTTGAAACAATTCATTTTTATTTCAAATATAAATTATTGCTTTGGGGAGGTCATAGTAACCTGATTAAAATAAACAGACAAGGTTTTCCGCATTATGCTTGAGAAAACAGACTTCACGAGACATTCAAAGGTTACGGGACAATCAAGCTATATTATATTTTGAAGTTAAATTCGAATAGCAAACAACATCTGATCAGCTTTTGCAGCCATTCGTTTTTAACATTTTGTTTATATAAATTAATATATGATTAATACTTTGATGACAAGAAAATCAATTGAACTGAAAACAAAATAAAAGTAATTCAGGAAATTTAACTTCCGAATTAAATCAATGACTTAGCGAAATGTTTTTTAGAAATGTTGTTTAGTACGATCACCAGTTCTGAAAAGCAAAGAACTCATCAACGTTAAAATGACTTATATTTTATGTTAGTAAATAGAGAATTTGGTATGAAGTGTGTCATTTTTTAGTCAAAAAATCTTAATTATATTTTGACAATTAATGATAATATTCATTATCCAAATACTGGATTCCATAAATAAATTTTACCGTTGAATTTTGAATGAGTTCTATTTTATATTGGCAACCTGGAACATTCTAAATTTGATACCCGATACATAAAATAAATTTTTTCATTTTTCCTTCAATCATCATAAACCACAACTAATAAATTCGATGTTGTGAGATTATGAAAATTTTCAAACGATAACTGCATTTTGCAAAAAAATTTTCTTATTGTATTTATTATAACCATAATACCAAAGTGGTAAGCGGTTAGGTCCGTTTAAAATCCGGTTTGGTTGTTTGTTGGATAGACAGAGGCTTACAGATCAAAAGTAGATAGAGGCGTAACCTTTGGACTGCGATGGATTTGTGGTTTTAAAGTATAACACTGCGGCGATGAACTTGTGCAACCTTAAACAGTGACTTTTGAAAAAAAAATGGAAAAATAAACTACAAATTTACAAAAAAGACATGAGAGCTTTATATTACTACTACAGTATTGTTTCAGAAATAACATTCATGTCTGCAAATGGTGGTTCTGTAGCTAGATGATTATATGGTACAGTTTTTTAAATACCGGATCAACCACATGCTAGTAAACAATGAAACCCGCATGATTGATATATGATTATAGAAAGTTTGTTGTGTCATTGACATATTATATCCTTCTTATCGAATGTTTTTTTCAAAAAACTTGCTCAAAGCAATGTCATGTACACTTACTCAGTAATAAAGAAGACTAGTATGGAAGTCAACCGAAATACCAAAAACCACTAAAACTAAATAAAATTTTGATAGTGTATTACGCATCAGTACAACGTACTGTATTAATTGGAGCGAGACTTGTAACAGCTCAAGCCTATACGGGCCCGGCCGCAAAAATGTGAAATAGAACAATAAGTTTTTTCCTATTTGGTTCAACATATAACGAATAACAAGATTATATAATTTGTGCAATTCCTGAATATACCAGGTAAATATTTGAATTAATAAACATTTATTATTGATAACTGTTCATTTTTGTTTCGGCAATCCTGCTTCATATCTATATGTGCAACACAATGCAACTTCATAGACAAGCAGACAATTGCAGCATATGTTTAATGATATATAATATAGCAACATTTAGACTGAAGTTTAAGAATGTACAAGTAGTACTTAACCAAGAGTCCTTCAACAATATCAATGGTACTCTATAACCAGACAGGCGGATACAGTAGTCAGTAACACACTTCAAAGTGTTCAAACAAACTCTGACAAGTTTAATTATATCTATGTCTGTTTTGCACTGGCTATTTTGACAACAATGACAAATAAGAAAAAGAATATCAAAAATGTTTTCAATCAAAGTTTTTGAAAAAAAAGAAGGTACTGGAAAAAAGGCTGATAAAACAATATCAAAATATCATAATGAGGAAAAGTCATAAGTAATTTTTGCAGCATAATTTCTGTGAAATATCTCACCTAATGGAGTTTCTTCAATTGTAGTGCTGTATCTCTTTCGTTCGGGAGCATCAACAACAATTTCCTCTGGAGTATTACAACCTGAATCACTGCTATCCTCCTGCATATATTATTAACAAAATAGTTATAATGCAATACAAGTTTAAGTTACCTAGTATTACTAAAAGCATTTTATAATTTTTTCTGTCAATGTGATTTGATATTCATACTTTTTATTTTCATGTTTGAAATATATATCTTTTACGCTAAGTATTGCCCTCATCTAAATAAATAGAAATGTTCACAAAAATGTTACATCATGTTACATCAAAAATGTTCACATCAGTTAGACTCAAACTGTATGGATATGTATTGGTACTAAAACATCACAACTTCAACTTCCCAAAAATTATCAGGGAATCGAAAATAACTAAAACATTGAAGATTAATTAGCAAGCAAATTACCTTTCTTTCAGAGTCTTCTTCCATTTCAGTCAATACAGCTTGTGCAATCGGAATCATCATAGCTGTTGTAGCAACATTACTTATCCACATTGATAAGAAGGCAGTTGTTACCATGAATCCAAACAATAACCTGATGAAAAAGAAAAACAAAACAGGGATGAAATTCATGAATGATAATAATGTATGTAAGCTTACGTATTGAAGAATATAAAACAAACGTTTCAATACCGGCTTTTTTTTTAGATTATTATATTTTCACAATAAATCGACATGAATTATGGTAAGTTCATATGATGGCTGTCCATCTCAAAAGGTTTATAGGATTGCACGAATATTTTCATTGAAAACAAAAAAAAAGAAAGCTGAAAAGATTTTACATCAAGAAGATAAGAAAATTGCACAAATTGATAAATTCAAAAATATTGAATCAACTTATCAATTTTAGCAATGCAGGAATGGCCAAAACCAAATAATTTAGTATTCCGAATATATTCTGAAATATTCTTTACGAATAACAAATATAAAAAATATTCTGAAATGGGTCTGTTCTACATATATTAAATTTTCAAAAATCCAAATGAGTTAGCTCATACCTTTTTTGTAAGAAGAGAATAATTTATGTATATTACGATAGAAATGAAGAAAGCAAAATGCTAATGTTGTTAAAAACAAGTGATTCAGTACACTTGGGGAGAGAATTGCATTTTGTAATCAATATTAAAGTCATTTACATTTACCACAGTTGGTGATTACTTAGGATCATTAAAGATTAAATTCATTTTAACAAATTAAAATCCATTTCGATGAATAAAACAATTGTAATCCTAATATTTCTTTAAGAGAAACAGAACAGAATAATATTTGGTAATTTGAATACAGAACCCTATTATACAGGGATTAAAAACAGGGTTTAAGAAATTGAACATCTAGGCAGGATGCATGTATCCAAATATAAAGTGATTTTAATATTATGAATTGTTTCATACAGCTTGAATAGCATGATAATATGCTTAATTTTACTTTGTGAAAAAAGATAAATATGTGGTTCTACAAAACACATGAAAATTTTTTGTGTACAATATTAATGAACTTGTGTTTTAATATAATTTATTTATTTTCAGAGTCGTCCATTCAAATTCGTGTATTTGAATTTTATTAAATTGGGAGAAGGAGCTCTTTCTATCAAGGCTTTTGATGGTGATAATCAGAGTCAAAATTTTCAACAAGAACCCAAAAATCATTAAGTTCACCAATCATTACCCACAGTATATTACAGAACGCTCACATATGCCAGAGAACTTGTCATTAAAATTTGGTTCTTTCAAAATTCAGTTTTGAGTTTAAATTAGTATTCAACTTACAGTCATGATCCAGAATCCTATTTTAATAAATAGCTCCGGTTTCAGAGCATGGTATAAATTTTCCATGGTTCCAAAAACGTAAATGAAGGGTGGATACATCATTGTTGCTTATATTATTGTACTTAATTATATGTAGCCACACATATATGGTGAAATAACACACCCACTACAGAAAAAAATCTAAAATGTATTTAGGGGGTCCTCCGTGGTATGGCATATTAAAAAGCACCACATTGGGAGAAAATTTAATTGAGGAAAAGTCTTTACCGTGTGATTACAAAACTAAAATCATTTACAGGTTGCACAACACATAAACAAAATATTTTTCACATTAGTTTTTGTTTAAAGCATAAATTAGATCAATCAAGAACTACACAAAATAAGACCAATGTCAAAATTGGATATCCATGGACCAAGCTAAAATAATTAATGAATTTACATTAAAAACTTTGAGGTAAAATAGTATAGAATTTCACTCACACGGCTTTAATTCTATTTTAAACAATAGTGAATTAAAAATAGCTTCGGCCCCAGTTTGTACTATGCTATTATAATACAATATCCAAGTATTCAATCTTTCACAATGTAATAAAAATAATCACAATCAACTATAATATCAAATGTCTCAATGTGTGGTCAAAATTCTGAAAACAATAGGAACTGTCCACTATAATATTAAGTTATGCCAATAATCATCTCCATTGGTACACATTATGAGACACATAGTATGACCTTAAGAAACAATCGTATTAGGTTATCATATTTGTTGTATAATTAAATATTATGGAGGATACTCGATATCATGTATAAAATAATTACATTTCTGCTCACATACAATTGTTAGGCGAGCACTGTGTGATATCATTTTCAATGAGCGCAAATCTAAACACTTCTATATAAGATATTGAGCTCACACCTTGAACCCACCCTATCCAGATTACCACAACGTTTATTCATATTAATATATATCTATATTATTAAATACTACATTAGGATCACAATTTACTTGTTATTTTTGTACCGCTCTTTGAGAAAATAAATAAATTGTATTGACAATGATATGTATTTGTTCAAATAAAATACTATAGAAAACTAAAGTTATGTGTATATGGCCATCAGTGAATTTTCCAAAGGTTCTTTATGACCAAGAGCAAGACATTTCTTTCTACTACTTTCAATTGTTTATTTTTGTTTTAAAATCCATGCTCTGAATAGAAAAAGATGGTTGATAATTTTAGATCAAAATGTCTCATTCAACATACATAAATGGAACTAACTGATGCGGAAGCCACATTTTTGTCCTCTTTTTCAGGTAGTTCTGGTCCAGGGCTAACAACAAGCCAACCCCAGAATAAAGAAAATACGCCCAGCCATCAAATATGCCAACCCCAGAAAATCAGAAGAAAAATGACTAATTAGCTAGAAAATACAGTATACAGAAGAGTGAAAACTCTTCTTTATTCAGTAAAGCATAATGTGTCATGTCCAATATGCACTCAATTAATGAAGGTATACACAAAGCAACTGAAACAATATCGAAATAGTTTAAATGTTCTGTGGGATCCTTCACGAGTTCAAACATAACGCAAAAGAGCTTTGATCAGGAAATACCTTTCAGTTTCAGACCAGACGAATTGTCTTCCCGAAAATGACAATGCAAACAAAAAATTCTGTTCAATAAAATGTGTCAACAATTTGTTTTCAGTAATACTATTTTCCGTTTCTAGGGTAAAAATGATACAACAGTATGATTCATTAAAAATAAATATTAGTCAAAAAACAACCATCTATTTTATTGTCAATAAGCAACTGCTCAAAATTACCCATTTAAAAAAAACCTTAGCATCAAAGCAACACAAAATTTTGAAAAATTATAACCGTTATTTGGGAGAAGGTCTGAAAAAAAATGTGACTAAACCTTGATTTCTCTCAATAATATTAATTACGGTAATACCCATAATCTGCTTTGAACAGGTACAAAGCATAACACTTTTGAATAATAATAGTTATGGATTGGTCTTCATTTAGTGAAAGCTGGAAATTTCTGCATAATTCATATTTGAGCAATGGCTTTTACTTGGAAGAGCATGATATTCCTAAATTCATTATGTGATAATGTGTTTTTCATTTAATTAATGGTAATTGGATTAACATAACACCATTGGTGATAAACTGATAACATACCGGTATGGCACAATATTATATATGATAATTACCGTAGTCTGTCAATGGGAGAACAGTTATATTTTATTTTATATTATTTTTTTTTAAATTTACATATTTTATTTAGCAACCAATAAGCTAATAGCATTCGGATAATAAACAATTTTTAAAATATTGTATTGTATAATAATTTGTCCTGGACATATTGTAACTTTATCACAGTTATTGTTTTTATATTACACGGATTGTTTTATTTAAAAAGAACAGCAATTTCAACAAATTATGTAAACACAATTTTCAAAATACACTCAAATTGAATTTTCTTTGAGGTTATTACAACAGACGTAATAACATCCATGAACTTAATGTAGGCTACTGAAGAATAAATTGTTTAATAAAATAAAATATTCGTGATAAATTTATTAATAAATCACCAATGACGTCAATGGTTAACCTTAGACGGAACTAATCCCCAATGGCAAAATTATTGCAGAGGGGTGTGTCCAATTTCCAAGAACTCAGCTATAAAAAACATTGCCCTTCAGTCTTCTTCAAGAATATTATTAGTTTTACATGTAGGTATGGTCGATACACCTCTTACTTATTAAAAAACGTGTCTAGATTCGAACCTGTAATTTTAAAATGAAACTAAAATCCGATTGGACAAAAAAGAGGGTGGAGTTCCATTGCCGGTAGCAAAATTACCATTATCTTATAATAAGGCATGCATAGTCCATAGTCCATTCTAGCATTAGTCCATACTTAATTGGATGGAAGATGGAAATTTCAGCCAAAATAAAGAAAAATTTAAATTAAAATAAAACTTGTTTTGTTAAATAAACCAAGCAAATATAAATTGATGGCTGTAATAAAAATGCTGAATAAACAATTTCAAATTTGTACAATATTGGTTTGAATATATTGGATGTTCTACATTAGGCTATCTATTTTATTTTATTCTAAAATTTTCAATTTCATACCTCATAACTCTTAAACAAATTTTACACTTTTAACAATTTCATCCAATAAATTTTTTTATTAAGAAATGAATATATAAAATACTATATATATATATATTATATAGCAGTGCTTTGATATTAGTGAGTTATTCAGCATGATAGCGCATTCTTCCATGCCGAGTCACCACCTTTTGTCAACCAAGTGACAATGAACGATTATTCCGTAAAAAAAATCATCAATCATGAGTCATAATAACTACTTCATAAAAAATTTTATAGCAAAGCAGAATATTTATGAAATAAAAAAATGTTCAAAATTTGGCATACAGGTATTTAAGGTTTAAATAATATATTTATTACAAAAAGCATTTACGATAGAAATTTTATTAAAAATTCAACAAATTTGATAATGTACAGCTTCGGCAACTGCTCACAGAATTTCTGCGTGGAGATGGTCGAGTCAATGACCCACTAGCAACTCAGATTATACTATTTGGCACACACCCTAACCCACCCAGAACTTTCGACCAATCATATCAGGTCAATTTATTAAGACATGAATAAATATTTGAATAAGAGTAAAACACAGGAATTTCATAGACGGCAAAGCTTGATAAGAAAAGTTACGTATTTACATTTGTAATAAAAAATATATACTAGCTTTGAAATGCTATTCCAAAGAAACTTATTAAAACAAACGAAGTTTCTAGAAAAACTTCGTATGCCACGGCATGTTTTTCATTACAAAAAATATTGTAACTTACAATTGTCATTTACGGTATTGCTTTAAATTTGCACACTTTGCTGGCAACCAAAACTATGAAAAATGAAATTAAAGTAAATCATCTTAAAATGTCGAAAGAAAACAACTTACCATCTTGGTTTGGCTCCAACAAAAGTCAAAACTTTAAGAGCGATTCTTTTGTGTAGATTCCAATTTTCAACAGCAACGGCAACCGTCAGTCCTCCAAGGAAGAGAATATTAATGTCTTTCAAATACTGAACACTGACCTGAAGCGCAAAGATGAATAAAACAGAGTAAAACAAATAACAAAATCACATGAATACCAATATTGTATATAAAAATCATACCACAGAGGCAGGCAAAACTCCGAGAAGTGGATACAGAACAAGAGGTAATAAAGCTGTTACAGCGAGAGGCACAACTTCAGACACCCAGTATACTGCCATCAATAGTATAGTGTAAGCGCATGCTGATCGCTGAGAAAATAAAACGACAAAACAGTAATATTACAATTACGATAATTACTATTAGTCGAATGAAAAATAAATTTTTTTTGTGTCCAAACTTTAATTCATGAAGTGAATTTAATGACAATTGCGAAATTAAAAAAAAAGGAAACATAAGGCTTACTCTACAACCGTCTAACAAAATGAAAAGCATTATAATTTCGATTTAACCGTGATAATGAAATGTGCTTTTTATCAGTCTATATAATAGCCTACTGTTTATATAGCCCTTTGGTCAGCAATATATCATCACAAATTTGATAACCGGTAAATAAGATTATTTTAGTAAGAGCGTTGTTATATTAAATGCATTTAACTTATCCAAAAACTGAATTCTATTTAAGAATTTAATTATTTCGAATTAGTTTTCAACGTTTCACAATTTATATTGAATCCAGCGAAGCATAAAGATAAAATAACAATAACAAATAAATGTATTGAGATTGATTTTAATTGGATATTATATATTGTTACGGTAATTAATTTGCAATTTTACAGATGAACATTCTATAAAATTCAATATCAGATAAATAAAATTATAATGAATACATACCTCGAAATATTCCTTTTCTGCAAGAATGAGCAGCGGGCAAAATATTAAAGGAGTAAGAATGAGAATAATCGTTTTCCGAAACAAATACAAATTTCTTTTGATTGACCGAAGCGACATTTCAATCAGATGATACAAAACCAATGTGTTGGTAAAATATTATCCTCCTTATGTTTCAAGTTTCCAAATTATTATTTGACTACTCAGAACCGAAAAGACTTAAAATGTAGTTCTGTAATAAAATAATATATCAGTTAATGATGTATATACTGACTAAATGTTAATCAAATATAAATTTTAAAAGTCTGTCATCAATCTATCTTATAATGTTCTAAATGATCTTACTTATTTTATGAATGTAATATGCATATTTTTCAAAAACAAAAAAGTCAGGAATTTCGAAATATCCAGATATCTGAATTACCTCTAGAAAAACATTCCGAATGACACACAGCTCAAAGATAAAATGACGAGGATAGTCAAAACTAGAAGCCATGGAGAAAAGTTGAGGAATTTGGGCAAAAGAGTCCAATGTCATACAACAACAGAAGAATGGTAAAACACTGTTAGCTTCTTTAGTACAGTAGTATGTCACTATAAAGCATTAAAATGCGATAAAACACTAAATATTACCACAACTGATAAACTCTTCAATTTATATTTACAGATTTAAGTAAATATTTGATAGATTACAAGATAATGAAGTAATTTTTCTACACCTTAAACACCTTTCTGAATTCAGGATTCAGAATATCACTATAAAAATATGCTATTTTTAAACTATGACAGCAGAACATACTAAATACAGGAAAATATCCTGAATGCCCAGACCGACCTCAATTTCCCCTTACAGCCATACGGGCATTGCCATATGACATCTTTTACGAGGATCGAACCAGCAACTACCGCGTATAATGAAGGTAGATGTGGCTAAAAAATTAATCAGTCCCTAATAGTTATTTTTTAAGGTTCAACATAAATAATATAATAGACATACATGGATTCGTTCCTAATACATGTAATGGTATAACGATGACAAGTACTCGACACACTATTCCTGCACTCACACACTAGAACCGGCCTATCGAAACAAGCAAGCGAATGTGAGCGGAGATGGACCACACCTCCGACACACCCTTGATATGAAAATGATCATTTATGTAGTCCCGAAACTACTTCCTCCAGAAATAAAATCAATAGAAGATCTCGGAAATTTGGTTGTAGTATTACCGTTTGGAACCGCAAGAAAGGATGTCTAGACGCCGTGAACGAAGAAAACTGCGACCACGCGAATGAGCATAACATACGTAATAATTCGGCGTCACACGCGGTCTATCACGCTATGAAAGCATGTCTGTAAAGTGGCCGGCTATTCACAGCAATTCCTACACGTGTTCGAAGCGCGTGGCAAAATTTGAACAAAAAAGTGGTAAGGCCAGCTATCAATCGCGAAACAAAATAAATTTCTGGAGTCAGATAATATACAACAAACTACGGTACTCCTGAAGTATGCACACCAGGATGTCGCACAACCTGAACCCTAACCCGGTACACAACCTGAACTCAGTACTGAACTCAACCTGAAAAGTGCTCCATCTTGGTGCACATACTTCAGGAGGTTCCAAAATTCATATGACTCAGCTTTCGCACTGCTCGTGACTTTATATCACGTTGCTTGACTGTTGTTTTCAAAGTCTATGACTATGCTATTGCAAATAGTATGCATTATTTGAATACACATACACATAAAAACGCGATTTACAATCGGGCAGTACTTTGGAAGCAATTTAACAAAAACAGCAAATTGAAGTAAATAATAGGTGCTCCTGAATTCAGAACTATAAAATACAAAGTACCTTGAAAAAGCGAATAACTTGGTAGAACCTATTACATTGCATTTCCCCAAGCCTGGAAGGAACGCATTTTGCCAGATTAGCCATATATTACTTAAGATACTCACCCTTGAGTGGTACATACCATATATGCACATACTCCTATAACCTTACTCTTTTTCCCATTTATATTATGTGGTATCATTACTCAAGGGTGCTATATGTCCAAATTTTATTATTATGTTTACATGAAATTTATTTCATGTTGTATTGTCTCTATTTATTGATGTTGTCTTGTCCTATCAACTCTTTTGTACAAACAGTTGGGCATACTCCACCCTTACCCATGTTGCCTGATCCACCCCACTCGCACAACTGTCTGTATGAAGGACCATATTATACTTATTTGATTTATTGCATTTTATGCTTATCATATAAGGGGTGTATGCCGCACTTCCATGTGTTTTAGGTCAGTATGGTCTTGTGTATACATCCCGTCTTCAATGTTGATATTTGCTTACTCCTGTGTTTTTGCTTTTACGAGATGAATGAACATACATACATACATACATACAAGTGTGCGCACCAAGATGTCGCATAACCTGAACCCTAACCTGGTACACAACCTGAGTTCAGGTTGTGCGCCATCTTGGTGTGCATACTTCAGGAGGTCCAAATAATTGAATGCAATAAACTTATCCCTTTTAAATTAAAATGTGAGACGTGTATGTGTAACACAACAGTGCTTTTCCTACAAAAACATGGAACAAAAAACACTCCCTGACGCAAAACGATGATGCTGTAGGCCTAGTTCAATTTCATTGCAAAAACAACACAATGACAAAAACTTGTTACTAAAAAAAAAAGCTTGGTAAATAGAATGAAGGTTATATCGCCGTCTATGCACAAGTCCTGGATTGGGGTATCGGGTTCTTTTGTCGTTTTCGATTAGTTTAATTCAAAATCATTGTATCCGTTCCAATGCTTCCAACATCAATATCGAATTTCATCATCGTTTAAATGTCGCGTCGTGTTCGTGGCCATGTTACAATATTGAATGGCCTTCCGTAGCTGTATTTGATTTCAAAAAACACCTTGCCCGAGCAGGCTCGAATGAAACGAAACTCACGAGAAACATTTTTTTTTCGACTTGTGCTGCCTGCGAGCTCTTATGAAGAATGTATGGCGGGTATGGCGGGTATGGCGGCAGTAACCATATTTATACATAGCCTACTTATTAATATGCTATGAATGGATACAGTTCATATATATTTCTATACATGACACCATATGTTAAAATAAACGCTCTAATACCAGCCACATTAAGCGTATTCGTTTCAAACATTGTAGTTCTATATTTATTCATTTATTTCAACGCAAGCTATTGTTAATATAAGTTGCATTATATTATTTGATGAATTGCTGTTTTTCATGTTGTTTCGCTTGTTGTTATTGGACTTATGGTAAGTTTTTCTAATTCCTTGTTATGTTCATGTACTGGACCAAAAGTATTCCGTAGTTAAATATGGGGGTTTTCCTATCGACAATTGGCAATTCGTCGACATAGGGTACGATCACAGATGATCTGTAGCCGGAACGCGTCGGAGCGCCGTTCCTGTTGTTAAATAGTTTATACTGACCCGCGGGTCACAAAGTGACAAAGTTTTATTTGTGACCCGCCAAGCGAAGGCACGAATGAAATAAAAAAAATGCTAACATATCAGTGATAAAAATTGATAAAACGGCTTTAAATTAATCTAACAATAACTAAACTATTATAATGTACCGTCAGTTGGACAGTCAGGGAGGGCTGCGATCGCTCATGTTCAAAATGTTGATTTTCGGGCCGGTATGGTGGTTTTCAAAACCCCTAATCTTGTACGCATGTATGCACCGCTGTGTACCGTTATTCAGCTATTGGGCCTGACATCGTTTATGACATATCAATGCAATTGATCTGTTCATTTCTCGCAACGCCTGTCTTTTTTGGAAGTGCATCTGCAAACTGTTTTAGGGGTTATACGAGAACTAGATGCTACTTTGCATTTTATTAGTTTCTCGCCTACAATGCCGTTGTGAAAACAAAAACTTTCAGACTTGAAATAAAAATCTAGAAATCTGATATAACAATGGAGCAGTGTAAAAGTGGCTTAATGTGGTTGGAAGCTGATCGAAAATTATAACACTATCAAAGCGGAATTACCTCCAAACACTAGAACCGTAAAATAATTTAACGCATTATCCTAAACGTTTTTGGTAATTCATATGCGTCATTTTCGTACTCTAATATCATAAAACCGAGTGCCATAAAAAGTCCCTGATAGAAGTGCTGCATAAGTAAAGCCCAAAACTACACCAACACCAGCTTATAAGATTCGTTTCAGAAGTTTCTTATAGATACAAACGTGAATTAAATATCTGTGACCCACTCTCTTCTGTTCCGCGATAAAATTATAATTTTTGACCCATTCATTGAAAAAGGTTCGCCATCCCTGGTTTATAGCATTTGCGTTGTATTGTTAACATAAAATTTTTGTTATAGAAAGTTTAGTTTCGCTGGTAAACTTAGTTAATAATCATAATTATTTTTACATCGCAGCTGAAAAATAATTAATACAGCCTTAACGTGTGATCGATGTTTCCCCGACCTTTGAACTACGGAAATTTCTCCTTTTACCTCACCAATATAACATTTCTCATGCTTATTGTGAATATTAATAAGAACATTGCAAGTTTTTTTTGATTAGCATTTGTATTGAATTGGTATAAGTATATATAGTTGCCATTTTACACAGACATATTTCAGATAATTCTCTCGAATTTTAATGCACAGCTCTTCAGTTTTATCTTTTGCCAGACAAAAAAATTTGTAAACTTCAGTGGACAATTCTTCTAGCTCATCACTGATTATCCACCACGGAATTCAAACCTGCAAACCCGCGCAGGACAATTGAAGGGTGGATGACACACGTAAGTTTATATACAACGACGCAGCAACCGCCGTTTTCTTAAGGCAGAAATTCCTTTCATTATCTGAACCTTGAAAGTCGTAGCCTACTTTACCAAATTCGTCGTCATGCTCATAATGTCACAGTTAGGTTGTTTTACTGTGGCTGTTACATCAGAAGACCCAAGATTCCGGATTGATTATTTATTGACAACAGCAACTCGACACTTTAAATAGCAAGAGTAGCAGTAGCATACACATGTAAAAATAGCCAACCTTGAGCTTGGCAAATGAAGCCGAAGGCAAAATATATTTTTCCTCCGCTTTTATAGGATTGTCTAGATAATGGAAATAATGTGCTGTGACATAATTTATCAATACGGTTCGGGAAATATATTTATTTTTCCTGTAATGGAAATGTTTGCCACACCATATTAATAAACTTATAATGGTTGCCACTGCCGAATTGATCGATTTTCTAAATGGGAGTGAACAGTAAAGAGCCATCAAAAATTAGTCCCGAAAAAGATGTAATGAATTAGGCCAAGTTAGTTATCCATTTATTTAAATAATTTGGATCAAATCAATGGATATAATCATGCAAACCAGTTTGTAAGCGCCAACTCGAAAAATCTCCCAAACTAGATTTTGAGGTATGGATGTTTCCCCGTCCAATGAGAACGACCCACCGCCGAAGAAATTCTCCCAATATATTACTCTTGCCAGTTTTTAACGTTTATTTTGAGAAGATTTCGTATAGTTGCCGCTTACAGGCCGGTTAGTTATCAAAACCATCATTTTTTCATAAAACTATTCGATCATGTGCCGCTTACAGGTTCTGATAGCTACTTTTACGGGGCTAATTTTTGATTATTGCAACTAAACTAAATCTTCTTGAAAGACATAATGATAAATAAGTAATTAGATTTATACCTAATTTTTTGTGACCCTACTTAAGACTGGCAAATAACAGATAAAGCCATGCTTGATATCTGTCTGAGTGAAAGAAACGTTTAAGGCTAAGCGGATAGAAAATTGCAATTGTTACGTCATTGTCGATTTATAGCTAATTAGTCACTATTGCGGAAATCGATGCTCGGGGTGAAGAATATTTCTGGGTTCAAGGGTCGGGAAACCACCGATCTTGTAGAAGCGCGAAAATCATTGGTATCATAGTCACTTTGCCGTGTACCATCGTGGTTACTTCATTGTACCGAGGTGGTTGATTGATTGTACTTGTGTGCCATTTACCATGTGCTGGTGAAATAATACTGTAATTTAAATCTGAAGCAGAGGCCACATAAGTCTGTAAGGTAAAGATATGCATTTAATCTTTTTAGCTGAGTGATAAATAATTTGAAAAAAATCACAGAACAGGTCCTTTTATATTAATGAAACTAGCTATGCTCTGGCTCGGCAATGTAAGTGCAATTTTTTTAAGTATTTTGTGGCGTCTGAAGCTGCTGCAAAACCATGGCGGCTGACTTTTTGGCTGCGACAAACTGATGGCGTGAGGCAGGTACTACCGCAGCAAATTGAAAACAGATGGCGGGTAAAATTTTGCTGTCACAAACCAAGGCATGTTGGCTGTAATGACAGGGATGCCCCTGATGGTGACAAACTTTGGGTACCAGTAAGTTGGAACATTTTTCTTGTTGATACAGTTTTGGGGTTAGGTTTCAGTCGATATGGTATAATTCCGCATGATAAATTAAAATCTGGTACATGACTTTGTGAATACACCGATAATACTGTAATAGCGCCATAAAACCATGTCAGTTATGGTTTCCTCCACCATCAAGTGTCCCATTTGAAATCAATACTAATCTCATACCAGACCTGGTAACTAGATGAGAGACTGTGGTTCGCCATATGATTATGCCGTCCCATTGCTGCATTGTTTTATCTTTCCCCTGGCTAAATCACATCCAACTTTACTATACAAGTGGGCTCATTTTAGAATCTATTTATGAACCTACACTTATCTATTTTAGGGTTTTACTTTTTCAACCTATGATATAACAACACCTTGCAGCTTAGATATCTAATATAATAAGCAAAAATGGGACTTAAAATATATTTCTGTGGCAGCATATCCGGAGGGAGAGGAGATGCAGAACTATATTGCCAAATTGTAGAACATATGAAGACGTATGGTACTGTCCTAACAGAACATGTAGCGTCATTGAAGCAAACTGCTGATGGAAGAGTAGGACCCGATGGAAATCTATCTGCCACAGAGATCCATGATCGTGATATTGAATGGCTTACAGACAGTGATGTTGTTGTTGCTGAGGTTACAACACCCTCACTCGGAGTGGGATACGAAATAGGAAGAGCTCTAGACATGGGAAAAAACATTTTATGTCTATTCAGAGATGACGCTGGTCGTCGCCTGTCTGCAATGATTGATGGAGCTCAGTCTTCAAATAATAATATTAGTGTGAAGCGTTATATTGCCATATCAGACGCTCTTGAATATGTTAGTGGGTTTCTAAAAAAATCTCAAAATAAAAATGCAGCAGTGTAACTTATTAAGCATATCATGATCAAGTTTGAGTATTAATGCAAATTTGGTCATCTTCATCGAGAATGATGCAGCTTACAACCACTTTAATTTGTTTCACCTTACTCAAACTGCACGAGTGTGTTTGAAACATTTCGGCATTATGCATATGAAAACTAATTACTCTAGGATTAAGAAATCCTCAACAAAACTAATATGATTTAGTGTAATAAATATGCAATTATGCATTATCAATTTTACGATGATGAATGAATTAGCGTTTGGGTACTAGGTCGAGCATCTGAACATAGGCCTTATTCATAAAAAGTTAATTTAAAGTTTGTATTTGATCTAGTTTCTCTCATATTGAAGATAAAAAATAATTAAATAAAAGAGTTACCATGTGATCTCGCAGTAGATTAGGTAGAAGTAACAAACAGTATCTCAACAAAAAACGGTATTTCGTTATAATTATCATTTGTTTCATCAATTCGAAAATTAGACTTCACCGCATTGGATGTAGAAAATGCAGTCTAAATGAATTTAAGCTCTATTCTGAAACTTGCAAGTCTTTTGACATAACACAGGATTAGAAAACAGAATCAGAATGTTTCACAAATCATAAACTTTGGCTTGAATTGTTTACTCTAATACGCTTCTATTTACTGAATATCACTAGAATACCTCACCGTATGTATCTAGACCACCACATAAGGGCAGTTATAGCAGAAAGACTGTACCATGTAATAATATACGAAGCATGCTGATTCCATATACGAATACGTGTTTGACCGCCAATAGGTCCCCCAGGTGAAGAAGATTCTGCCACAGCATCGAGTAAAATTGGCTTTGTTCCAGATAACTCGGCCATTTTTTCAACATCAACATGTGACCATTGATTTAGTTCTATCATATTTGTACCTTTAATTTTTGTTCTCTCTGTAAGTCTCAATAGGCCGGTGATGTTCACCTCGCCATCAATTTGTCCTTGTTTTCTGGTTCCTGGATTTCTATAATCGCTATCGACAAAACCACGATTTATTAGGATACTGTAATCTCGTTCTGGGATATAAAATGGAGTTATGACATGTAACCCCACTCGACTACCTGTTGATAAAAGTGAGCCACCGCTTTGTTCTTTAAGCTTGGCAAAAGTTCTTGGCATTACATGCATTTCTTTTGAATGATCAAATACACCATTCACATAAAATTTTGAGTACTCAAAGTCTTTTGAATTTATGCTTTCTAAATTCTGTGGGAGAGGTTGGGGTTCTGCTGTAGTCTTTTTATTGAGTGATTCTATTAAATCATTTTTCCATGTTCGTCTTCGAACTTGCCATGTACCAAGGCAAAATGTAGCAACAGGTATTCCAAATAAAATCCATTTCCCTGGTTTTGCGGTACTTCCATTTTGGTCGTTTTTGTACTCACGTCGTTTTATTACTGGTCTTTTTGATATTGATGCAGATTCATTTCGCTTGAAACAATGGCACCATTTCCGTAATCTGTTGCAAAATATGGGCCTAGAAGACATCATATTTATCTAAAAATGAATAAGGTATAAAAGTACTCGGACCATCAACTTGTCTTAAAACATCTACGACAAACACATACCTGCAACAGGTATTTTTGTGATTCACCACGGACTGAAGGAATGAATCAAGTCACAGATAAACACACATATTTCAATGCAAAAAGCAAGCCATGTTAGTAAAAGTACCACTAACGATACCAGTACCGGTATATGAGCCTGCATATGTTATACCGTGCACACCCCAGCACCTTATTAACATGTTTCAGATCCAGCCAGCTATCAGTTACGATACGAGAAATAGACAGATCAATTGTTAGCTTGCTGTAACACAGCAGCAGCTAGAGCCAGTTTTATTATATTTGTATGACCCGTTGGTCAGTGCTTTGCCATCCCCGACCCTTGACCCCAGGAAAAATATTATAAATTTTGGATGCTTATTTCGCGAGTGTTTTGGAGAGTTGGCACTTACAAATTTGTTTACATGCTCAAACCCATCATTCCTATTGAAATATACGGTACTGATAGTTTGGTAGTTAGTTTTTGATGAATATGATTACTTCATTTACAAATAATTTTCGGAAACGACTGAAAATACGCAAAACCGCGGAAACGATGCAATGCTTACAACCATGCTCGAATATCTGTATATATTTATGGTCTGAGCCAACAGCCAACTTATGTCTGAGTAACTGCAAAAAATTGCAATTGCTACGTCATCTTCGACTTTTGGCTGATTGGTCATTGTTACGGGAAAAGCAGGGAAATAACAGGGATATTTGGGGAAACATCCATACCATCATTTCTAACTCTATACCTATTGTGACGGCAATGTTCCAGAAAAAACCTATTACAGTGTTGGGGAAATAAAAACATGACAGGATAATAATTTATACAATTTACACCAGTATTTAACAGTGTTTCAAATGTTACACACTTCCTAGGGATTGGTGCGCTTTGTTGCAGTTTAGTACCTTTAACCCTACCCACTCAATCACTAATGGATATCACTGAGACATGACCGATGTTTGAACTTGATGTGTCGTACCGGAATTATAGAGAAATTTGATTCAAAAAGTTTTGTATATTGGAGTTTACATAATATTTGATATGAAATCTGAGGGACAAACCAACACATCTCAAAAGACACCTGGGAGCCCCCAAAAATTACCCAATTGTCATTTATCCGATTGAAAGTATTCATTTGACCTTACGATTTGACAGTGGCTTTTTAAATTTTTTGAAGACCATATAATCGTAATACTCTCACCTATCTATACCACACACATTTATCAATTGCTAATATTCTTAAGATGACTGCCTTTTGGTTGGCGTAAAAGAAAATATCACTCTCTCTTTAATATGGAATATTCGTTAGCAAAACTTTTGATAACAGTATTTTATTGGACACGAAATTGGACAAATATTTGGACACGAAATGGTACGGGTATGCAATCTGTCACAGAAAATTACCAGTAGTGTGGTTTTTCAAATGTAGAGAAATCCATTTATTCAATCGTATTTAATTTTATAGGTACCATCTTGAACGATAACCATATTTGGGACAAAAAACACAGTCATTTTTATGAATTTTCAAACTTATTCCTAGAAGAGATCCAGGTCCTCTGTATTTTGTTTGTCCCTTTGTTGTTGTTTTGTTTGTATCAGAGTGACCAAATAAAATTGATTGAAGAGATGATTTCTAATACAAAGTTAGGGTTTACAAGGAAACCCGACAAGACGGATTAATCATATGACGAACCACGGCCTCTCGTCCGGTTAACAAGTCGGGTGTCGGATTAGTTGGTCAGTTATTTGTTTTGGTGGCGGGGGAAGACGTAACCGAGCAGCAGTTACGTAAAAACACTCTATGGCGGCGAAGAGTCCATCTATCCTCTCGCACACAATTGTCCCTACGGTATTTCGAACCCAAGCGGGGTAATCAGTGGTTCAGTGGCGAGCGCATTTCCAACGCCTGGCACGATGCGTCAAGACAGATAGCAAATCCTTTTTTTTGAGACAGATAACAAATCCTTTTTTATAATGAAAAAAAAATCATTTGAAGTCCCACCCAACAAGTCTTTTCGTTTTATAATTATTGAGTCTTTAAACGAAGGCGACTGCGGAATGCATTCCGGGTTTTTAAGTTGAAATAGGACGAATTACTAAATTGTGAAAATGGCTGGAAAATAACGTAGCAACATCACCCAACCATGGAACCTAACAGCCAGACATAATAAATTGCAAGTTTTAAATCATTGAAACTTGTATAATTCAATAATAATAATTAATAACGATTATTGCACAACAAAAGTAAGAACTGGAGAAACACATTTTAGTGATTTTTGTGTATGATCTTTATAACCGACTTTGTCACATAATTGTAATGAAATAGCGGCTCTAAAATCAAAAGAACCACTCCTGATGAACAGTACACCACATTCAAAGTATACAGTTTCTGACTTTTTTACTTGAATAGTGGCTCGGGTACATCCAACGAACATGACACAGTCTTCAAGATTCCGCTCAACATATCCATTTCGTTGATCTTGAAAAACATCCAACGACACCTCCAAGGTCTGACAAATGTTTGATTTGTTATGGAATTCAAAAGTTACATAGTTTACACTGTTTGTGGTAATAAAAGCACTGAGGGAACTTGTTATTGAATCGTTGCCATATAGAAGAGAGCATTCAATTGGACAGTTTATCATTTTACAAGAGCTTTCATATGAAAGTAAACTGGGAAGATGGATGTTTCCTCCATGTTCAAATTCATTGCCATCGTGTTTTACTTTCCAAGACAAATCCAGCATTTTTTTAATGTGAAGAATACATAGTTCATCAATAATGCCACTTGATGGTATATCCATTTTTTGCATTTGAACTTGACAAACTTTTCCCTCATCACACTCAATTGGTATCATATTGTCATTGTAACCACCTTCACCATCAAAAGATTTGAAATGAATCTCTGCATCATATTGCAATGTATTTTTTAGATGCAAGCACACAAGACAATAATCACAAGATTTTGACTCTAGGCTCTTTACTTCAATAGCTTCAACTACAATACTGACATCAGTTTTTATACCCATTTCAATTTCTGTACATCGCCACCATATATCTTTACCCAAATTTCCTGCATACTTTATCGTAGCCACACACAAAAATTCTTGACACTTCTCAATTTCCAAAACAGTAGTTTTTGGTTCAATGTGCACAGGAATCTGAACAGTTTTCCCAGGAGGGAGTGATACTTGCTTAATATTGTCATCAACATTTATTAATATGTCTTGCATGTTGTGTTTAGTTTTAATTAAAATATTCCAATCACAAATTGGTTGTTTTCCAATGTTGGTAAGATGGAATGGTAAGTTTGTCTTTTCACCAAAATAATATACAATTAAAGGCTTCCCTTCCTCTTCTTTACATTTGTCATCCTTGATGCACTTTAGTAACGGCAAGTCACCAATAACTTGAATCTGTACTTCAGTTGTTTCAATGTTATCATTTTTGTTGAAGTAACATTTTGCATAAACTCCATACATAGAAAATGCATATCCAATAATAGTGACTGTACCTAATTCTACTGGAGTTACTTTAATCCCGACTTCAAAGGATGATTGCGGCGCAATGTTAAAAGTCTGTGGTTGACAATCTATAGCTGAACTGTTTGAATCAAGAATCAGCGAAAATTCTGATATCTTGATACTGCAATGAGAAAGTGGATTAAATACATGTACTATAATCTCGAACATTGTGTTTACACACCATCTAAAACAAATTTTTTTAAGCTCGTGTGTTTGTGACTGTCTAATCGTTGGTGTGTAAATAAAAACACTTTGAGCATCAGATTCAGTTTTAGACTTTGTTGGTCTCATTCCATCATCTTCAAATAAAGGAGAAATCTTAGTTATGACTGGTAAAACATAGAAGTTGAGTTCAGGTGATGTGCTATCGAGTACATTAATATTTTTCTTGACATAATTTTCCAATGCAGAGCAAGTTGCCTTTTCATCAGTTTCAGACAAATAAGGAAACATATTCAAAATCAAATAAAGCAAATAACGAAGTGCAAGACTATGGTTATTAATTTTTTCCAAAGAATATACAAGTTCATGTAATATTCTAAGACTAATACTTGGCCATCCATGTCTGTTTTTAAGGTATGGGGAGATGATAGAGTGTTTAGTCGGACATGATATTGTGTTCAATAAAAGTCTGTTGCAAAGTTTCCAATCAGGTTCTTTGATATGATGTGCTACACATTGCATCGCAGCCACTCGTTTGTAAAATGCAGATTTTCTGTAAAATCCTATACTTTTATATAAATCAGCCATCACACTGTATCGTTGTAATCTTTCGGTATCTGAAACATTGAGTGTGATGTAAACAGCATTTTGAATGAATTCTGAAGCTTCTAAAAAGCTTTTAGCCTCAGCAAATACTTTTGTTGCTTTGATACAAGCTTCCATTTCAATAACAGCCAAGTTTTTATATCTGCTATAATGAATAATAGCTTCTCTGTATCGATCCACTAAATCTTTCATTGACGAAATACAAAGCTTTTTAACATCAGGTGCTGCAAAAGACGATATTGGCTTTTTAGAAAGATTTCGAGGGTCAAGGGTGAAATTCACAGAAGATTTCTCAGTTTTTAGACTAGCAAAATGCACCAGGGCTGAAACCACACACAAACCTTCCAAAGCACTTCCTACCCAAACTGTATCATTAATTGGAATCAATATGTCAAGTGCACTGTGATAACATTGCAAAGCTTCAGATATTTGTCCCACCAGCAAGTTAACGTCAGCAAGATGCTTATAGTGACGACCAGAACATTTTTTGCGCATCACTTTACTGTCAGACTCATTTTTTTCATCTGGATTTTCAAACGGAGTGGCTATAAGCATTGGTTTTCCACTTCTTTCTTGAGCCATTCGCAAACGTTTTGATTCCAGCTCATAAAAAATTGCTGTGACAAACTGTTTGATATCATAATCCACAGATTTCCATGCATTGTGAGATGAAAATTGAAATACATCTTGACTGTGGGGACGAATGGTTGTGTCTATTCCAAAGATAATACACCTAGAATGCAATAATCCTGGACTGTACTCCTCTTTCAGTTTATTAAATTTATCCAGGATTAAAGCTGCTTCCATTGGATTAATAGCTTCTCCAATAAATACAATTCCACACACTTGTCTATGTGCCTGTAATGGACCCCAATGGCTATTTTGTGGGGATGCATTATCATCAAATCGAATGTTAATTGTGTACCCAGCATCATTTATCACAAGAGATTTGTAAAGTTCCAATTTCTTCAAGACAAACTGTACTGATGCTGTGTTTATGTTTGCAGCATATTTGACACCAATGAGGATTTGCGAATGATCCAGTGCAGATGTCATATAATTAGCAACACTCATCTTCTTGTTTTGTGGTAATAAATTATACAGAATATATTCAGTACTTCATATCATTCTGTCATTGAAAAATGAAATTACAAAGTCGCTGCAATACAGCAATATTTCGACCTATGACACTTGTACACAGTTTCAAAAAACACCGGTACCGTACGGTATGTCTGTATGTATATATTAGTCAAAAAAATGCAGTTCTCATATTCATTATATACAGTCAGACAGTACGATATATAAATACACTGGTACTATTTCCTGATTACCAAAAGGCGGGTCTAGTAAAGTAGGCTAAACGCCGTAACTGCTTAGGACAGTAGGATAGGATTTACATATTTAAATAACGCCTTACAAAAATGTAATATGAAATGAACGCTGTAACTGCTCAAATAACACCCCAAAAAAATGTGACAATAAAATGTAATGTTCTCTTGCTACAGCATCCTTGCGTAATACGCATACGAATCCACCTGCGCAAAGGCATAGAGAGCAAGGAAAGGTAGTTAGTTTCACGCAACCTCAACTGTTAGTTACAAAAAAAATGTGATTCAAGATTTTAATGTAAAAGGTCGAAATTACACCCGTATTGTCTTAAAGTGTCGCCGTCGAAAATTCAAAAAGATGGACGACTCACCTGTCGTCTTGTAAGTTGAGTTGTCCGCCTCCCTTTGTCCCATGCCATGCGATAAGCATACGGTATTCGTGCAAGCCAGACTTTTATTTTTAGAAAAAAATGAAAATTTGGGTTGTATTTTCACATCACATTTTTGTTTGGCGTTATTGAAGCACTTAGATAAGATAAGATTTAGGGTGGTGTAGCCAGTCTGCGGACGATTTCATTCAAACCGCTATAAAACAAAAACCAATATTTCTAACCCGTTAATTTTTTTACCGTAGGTGCATTGGCATTTATTCTACACGCTGAACTTCGAATTAACTTTCTACGACTAGGGGTTAAAGCTATACAAACCACCAAAGTACGACACTCTGAAGACGTATTTGCGACCGAACGACCAGTGTGCGACCACGGATTTCAAGCCTTGAACATTGTTTCTGCTGCGTCGAGACTAGGGCATATGCAGCCATGCGTGAAAAAATGGGCTTCTAATTGCATTTCTGACCGTCATATATTTTAAGAACACGGTTATTTCAAACAAAATTCTTCAAATTATAAACAAAGCACCGCATCACAGCAATCAAACAGACAAAAACACGGTGGTCGCAAATTAGTTGACAAAAATATTATTGACGTATTGGAAATGCGCACCCCCCTACTCCCCCTCCTTTGAAGGTAGAAACGCGAAACTTTAAAGATGGTTAAAAGAAACACAACTCTACCCACCTGCCAAGTTTCATCTCTTTATCTCTTATATTTTTATGGATTTACAAGCTTTTTTGAAGAAACAATGGGTAGTTGGCGACATGGTTAAATGGTCCGTTTTTTTTCTTCGGTCAGGTTTTCGGTCATAACTTTTTTATTTGTGGCCGCATTTTAGTGTAATTTCGTAGAGCTACGAGGGATAAGTGGACGATAACGCGTGAGAAATATCGGCGCGGTTAGTTGATTTTTTCGGCATTAATTTAATCGATGAAGTTGATGGTCGCAGATAGGTCATGGCCGCAAAATGGGTAAGCCACCATACATATTTATCCCGGGGGAGAGGAAAGCCGATAAGACGGCTTATCCATATGGCGAACCACAGCCTCTCGTCCGGTTACCATTCCAAGTCGGGTATGGGATTAGTTATATTGTTTGTTTTCGGAAGCATGGACTTGGTGGTGGAGGAAGCCGTAACCGAACCAGCGGTTACGTGAACCATCCAACGACGGCGAGGAGTCCAGCAATCTTCTCGCACATAACCATCCCTGCATGGGATTCGAACCTGCGAACCCACGCAGAGTAAGTAGAGGTGCGGTGGCGAGCGTATTCCTAACGCTTAGCCCGTTGAGCCACACTGCCGCGGCTTACAGCATTCATTTTCCCACCACATTTGTGTTTGGGGGTATTTAAGCAGTTACGGTGTTTCCTTCACGAGACAAAAAGTGTTATGCTACGCCCACTAGAAGTATGTTAGGTACGAAACTACATGAGACCCAAAGCTGCAAAGCTGCAAAGGCAATACCGGTACGGTACCGGTATAAATTAAAGCCGTAAGTTACATTATATTCGCTATTCGGCGTTGTGCAACCATTTTTGCATATGTTATTCCTAACCCCCACTTGACCTAGCCTATGTCATTCAGAAATTACGCCACTACGACACCACAGCACAGCAGTAACGTAAAAACGTCTCCAAACTTTTTTTTTTTTTTTTTTTTTGTGCCAAATAAATTCCAATGCCAAACGGAATTTTCGTATTAATATTTTGGTATCAAATCATTTTATTATAAATATATAAATAGATATTTTTTTTGTTTCCATGTTTTTGTTTATCATTTTTTAATTTAATCCCATTCCCCCCAATACAGATGAATAGTAAAAATCAAAATAAAGACAAAATTCATACCATTACCATGATGTCATTAATTTAATATAATCCAATATATGTCCAAAAAAGTTGAGTTAATCCACATGTAATCCACTCAGCAGTTAGTTGAATATAATTTTAATTTACAGGTAATCAGTTTTTATTTTAATTTTTTAGTTAGCATGAAAAATACAAGAATACAAAAATTAGACAGAGAATATGGAAAAATCCACGCTTTCATATTGGGTTTTCCCCATTCGCCATCTATGTTTCATAGTCGATACATCTTCCTCTTATGAAAATGATGTACAGATAACATACTTTCAATAATTTTCAGAGTATGGTGTTGCATATAAACTTACATCATGATTGACCTATGTAAAAGATCATCCATGTGCTCATATAACAATAATTCATTTCTTTCGCTTGCTTTTAGTAAATTTAAAATCCCTACCAGTTTACACTTGAAAATTGAACGCATACTACTTTTCATTTTATCTATTTCATCATATTTTACTGAATTTCGATATTCCCAAATTGTTGATTTTCCGCATAATATTGTGATTAATTTTGATTTGCATTCCGAATCGTTTGCTATAATAGTATTTTGATTAATATCTATGCAACACCATTGCCAAAAATCACTAGACCAGTCACATTCTAAAAATAAATGACACACAGTTTCTTCAACATTCTGACATTATTTTCACATAAGACACACATTCCTGGTTCATCAATGAACCAGTGTTTTATTTTGTCTCCAGTGGGCAACCCATTATGAATTAACTTCCAACATAACTCTTTATACTTGTTTCCAATATTTATTTTCCATATTTTATTCCAATTAATTGCCTTAGTTAGGTGAAATTTATTAAATATGTATTCCTTATGGTTTTTCAAAAATGTATCATTTTTCTTACTTTGTAAAATCCTATAACAGTATAAATTTGATTAGTGGTCAAGTCTTTCGACCCATTGTACCTATCAATTAATATTCTTGTTTGACCAAATTCCCTATTCCTTGATAAAATCTCTCTCCATTCTATTGGAAGTGCTTCCCATATTTGCCGTAATTCATTTTCGCACTTATTTATCAAGCAGTTTTTTCTTAAAGTACTTATTGCAGAGTTTTCTAGCTGGGGGTACACTCTTTTGGAAATATCATATATTGTTTTGCCAAAGATATCACTAACAGTAATTATTTTTGCCTGAACCCAATTTGATTTAGCGTCTCCAAACTATACCGGTACCGCACTAACTCCAGAACTCTGCAACTGCTGAACTTTACTATTTCTTGGTCGGAGTCCAACTCGGATCCAATCAGTAATGACGTCACATTGGTCGGAGTCGGAGTCCAACTCGGATCCACTTGGTGATGACGTCACGAACATTGATTTTTTTTTGCAAGATTTCGGTAACCGGGGTTATATTAGTTTATTTTTGGACACGAAATGTACATATGCTTTTGTTTTTTCAAATATGTTCTTGTTATTATCTTCAACTAACAGGCCAATTGATAATTGGAAAGTTTATGCTGTCGTTAGAAGGCTATTACTTTTATTTCCTCCTCACTGAATACTTCAGTTACGTCATCCTAGAGCAGGTTTTCCCAAACTGGGGTCCGCGACGACTACACAGGGGGTCCGCAGTGATATTGAGCGTCTGAAAAATGTACATTTAACATATATCCACTGTTACTTACGTCACTCCGTGACGACTACACAGGGGGTCCGCAGGGATATTGAGAGTCTGAAAAATAGTATAAGTATTGAGAAATTGTGGGAAAAGACGAGAAGAAGGGAAAAATCACAGAAAAACAGGAAATATGTATTCAGGGGACCACGGGAAACTTCAATAAAAAGCAGGAAGCTTTAAAGCGTGAAATACGGGATATTTCACTAAAACGCGGGACATAGGCTCACGAAAATTTTACTAATGAACTGAAACTACAGAAAATTTCCCTAGGAAAACGGTCATAACGTGGAATTTGCAGAAAATATTTATCTAGGTATTTTGTAGGGAGAAATTGAAATGAAACGCAGAATTATTAGGAAATATTGGGAGACAAGGAAAATAAGGAAATCTATGATTAGGTGTTTTCATATAAATAATTGCAATAAAATTCTGAAGATTTGAGAATGACGGAAAGATCGGAAAAAGTTAGAAAATTGGTTAGAAAGCATGAAATGTGTATTTAGGTTATTTTATACGAAAAATTGCAAATAAATATTAAAGTAGGCCCCTATTCAGAAATGACGGCAAATGCGAGAAGAGCAAGGAAATCGCTGAAAACAGGGAATATATATTTAAGTATTTTTATACAGGAAATTGCGGAAAGAGTCGAAAAAAACAGAAAATATGCATTTAGAGGTTTTTATACAGAAAATTGCAACAAAATGTGGAAGTAGTGAGAAAGGCAGCAGGCGAGAAAGAAAATTGCGGAAAAACAGGAAATATGTATCCAAAGGTTTTCATACAAAAAATTGCATTAAAATGTGGAAGTATTGAGAAATTGTGGGAAAAGGCGGTTTTTGAACAGAAAATTGCAATAAAATATGAAAGTAGTGAGAAATGGCGAAAAGAGTGAAAAAATAGTGTATTTAGGTGTTTTCGAAGTATCCCGTACTTTCACATTCGCGTGTATATTTCACGTTGCTCTCCTTTTAGTGCAATTTCCCCTACACATTATCTAAAATGAAAATTTCCGATTCCATAGAGCGATTTCCCGCCATTCTCGCTTTCTAGTAAAATTTTCTGTAGTTTCCGTCATTGCTGTAGTTCCCGCTTTTTAGTGTATTTTTTCTCGTACTTTCAAATCCATGTGTATATTTTGCTCTCTCTTTTCAGTGCAGTTTTGCTAAACATACTCTAAAATGTATATTTGCTGTTTCATAGAACGATTTCCCGTCGTTTTCGCTTTTTGTGAAATTTTTCATAGTTCCCGTTTCCTAGTGCAATTTTTCGTACTTACACACACATATGTCTATTTCCCGTTGCTGTTACTTTTTAGTGCAATATCGTCTGCGCATACTTTAACTATAATGTATATTACCCGTTGAATGGAGCGATTTCACGTCGTTCCCGCTTTTTGGTGAAATTTCCGCAATTCCCAACATTCCCATTGTTACCGCTTAATGAGTTTAGACTTTTCTGTTTATTGTCTCGTCACTTTCTGTATCTTTATAACGAACAATTTTTTTGAATTAAACATTCAAAAACAACTAACGATTATATATATGACACCTGCTAAACTCCAAACTCTTGGCAAGTAGGGGATTTCCCTGTTCATAATTTGGGGATTTTTCAAACGCGAGAATCGAAAATAAAAGAAGTTGTTGGAATGCGGATGCTGTTTGGTTCGAATTTGGTTTCTCTTTTATCATTAAGTCGGAAAAAACTGATATAGGTCTGTCGTATATATCACTGCTTATCATCAAATTAATGATAATATATCAATAACTGGCATCGTTTCAATTTTCAAGAAGAGTGCAGGTTTAGCCAATAACTGAATAAAGAACACGTTGTCACCTTTTTAGCCAATTAAGAACACGTTGAACGTTGTAGATGAGTTTAATATTGTAGATATACACGGAATACAGACGATGAAAACAACATTAGAACATCGAGAGACGAGACGGCACTTATCACGACGATTCGACTCCTAATACAAGACCTTTCAATACCTCTCTTTCAAATATCCAATTGAAACCATATTTATACCTACAGACGTATGTGCGTATGGTGATATCGATTCCATTAGGGTTTGGAATACTAATTACCATATGTCATCGATCCAATTATATTTTTGGTTGTCATCTGTTTGTCTAATTACAACGGGCCCTAGGCTATATCGATCCAATTCATGAATTCGGAGAAATTGGAAATTAGCAATTTCCAGTCTTTTTAATGTATTTTACCTGTAATAACGAATTTATCCCCAAACAGGTACCGTACCCTAACAGTATCGTGTGGTATTTCTAATGTTCCTATCAATTCAATAAGCAATATGGCAACATTTGCACCAGTACAATAAATTGGCCATTTTAAAATTTTTTTTAGCATTATTTCGATATCTAGATTTTCACGCAGCTATCGCCTATAGACAGATTGATATGCATTTTGTACAATGTAAATAGCATTGATCTTCTGTTTGCATAGTTTGATAGTAGGCTACTCATTGTCATTTAGATTAAAATTATGGAGATTCAGCCAGAGATTGATATATTTGTTGGCAATAACACTGTTATTGATATGGATGTATATGATTTATGGCTCCGCAGGGTTTCTGCAACAGATGCTGTGAAGCAGCATAAGATAAAGGGAAAGTCAGTAACTGCAGATTTAGTTTTGAGCGATGTTCTGGATCAATATCGAACATTGGGATTACTTGAAAAATATCTCAAGATACCCTCTAGTCTCGGTCATCAGATGTCCTTCCAACTGACACCAAAAATGCAGAGAGAACTCATCACACGATATTACACATTTGATGAAACTGTCATACGTGAACTTTTAGGAAAAAAACTATCTCGAAACACTTATCAAAGCATGGATGAAATTGCAGATAAAACTAGAATAAATTTACGAAGCTGCATAAGACAGTTTGATAACTGCAGGCGAGTTTTTAAAGCTGTTGAAGAAATACCAGGAATACTGGTTGAAAATATAGGAAAACAGTTTTTGCTTCCCAAGGATTTATCATGGGCATATGCAACTGTTGTGTTTCTTGCAAACCATAGATTTGAATGCACAAAACGAAAACTGAGTCATATGACCCTTAATAATTTTATCACTTGCTCGCAAGTGTTAATTGAAAATTGGTCGTATGGTCATTCCGAGTCTGAAACTCTGGATATGAACGTAGATATAGATCGAGAATTTTTGCATGATCTCAGAGGTGTGAAGTTTTTAGCATCTGATAGAGATCTTGTGGATAAATGTAAAGAGTGTTTAATAAAAAATTCTGCTGCAGGAGGTTCAAGTATTGATGCAGCTTGCAAACTTTTATGTCGTATTATTCCTACAATTGCATCAGATTTATATCATACTAAAGATCTGAGAGACTTATTTGTAGACATTGTTGAAAAAATTGTAGAGCCAGCTCGTGTTGCTAAATGGTCAAAAACTTTAATGGAAGACTTTTTGGTTAACTATAGCAAATTTTCTACAGAACACCCACAGCTAGTTGTGTTCAAGATAATTTGGTTGCGGTATATCAATGCAATTAACACTTGTATATTACAATCATATTATTGCTAAAACTTATTTTTAAATTTCCTGTTGTTTTTCGTCTTTTTTTAACCCGACGCCTGTTTTATTTGGTCACCTCAGGCCAAGATGCTAACTAGTTTAGGCCTAGTTTGACTATGATTGAAGATTATCTGAATCTCCTTGCTATGAATAATCCTATTTTATATGTTCATACATATGGTCCAAGATTGGCAGCTCCGCGGGCCACAAAATTACTTTTGCATTGTTAGTGCCAAGAACTTTGCTTGTTTAACTTCGCTAGTTGCCTCAGCAAGCCATAACACTAGTCAATTCAGTGACATTAATGATGCAACAATATGTCCGAAGATTTTTTGGTTATTTTTACGACGAAACAACAAGAAATGCGATTTTTTAATTCCTCTCCGAATGTGAAGCGGGCCACAGATAATGGAGCAACGGGCCACATGTGGCCCGCGAGCCTGGGTTTGGACCACCCTGCTCTATGTTCTTAAAGTTTTTTGTATGGGATATGATAATAATATTGATTTATTTGTTTAGACAAGCAATATTCATTCTACAATACATTGCTATATTATGATTTGGTTGTGTCAAATTTTTTTTGTAATATAGGTGGAGTAATTGAGCTGATACTTTATACCCTTCATAAATTATGTATTGTTTGATTGATATGCTTAATTCTCTCATTCAGAATTTAAAAAATGATTGATACCTTATAAATATAGAAAATGGCAGGCAGGTACAAACTTCTGAATCCATTGGATCTGCCTAAAGAAAAAAAGGGAGTAAAGGATGCTGCATCGATTCAATTGGAAAATGATGATGAACCTGCATCCCCTGTTCAGTTACCAGTGAGCGTGGAAGAGATTCATGAGAGACCTGTGCTCACACCTTTAAAAGACAAAGAAATTATGCAATCTGTTGGACTTGTACGACAGTATTTACGAGATACTGGTGTAAATGCAAATATGAATAAATTTACATCAGCTCTTCTCCAAAACAATATTTTGCCATATAATCCATATCCTGGGTATATCAAGAGATTCCGAAAGTTATCAGAAAAGTTTCATACTAGAAGAGAAACGCTTCAAACAGTACAAAGAAAAATACAACAGTGCCCCACATTCTTGACAGGGACTGGGATTTTGAGTGGAGTGAAATTGCCTGGAGCAAAATTATGGGGACTGCAGCATGTTTTGAGTGGTACAAATCCCAAAATCTTAAACGATTATAGGTCCATTATCAAGTCCTGCACTGTGGATCAGACAAAAATTAGTGGAAAATTTGGTGATGATGTGGCTCTTTTACCAACAATTACTGGTCCTTGTATTTTCTCTGGGTCACTTCATGACCAATGTTTCAAACTTGATGTTAGTGTCTCAGTTCTTGTGACAACCACCGATTTTCAAGTTGCAGCAAAGAATCTTGGTCTTGCAATTTTATTAGATCTTGAACATATATCTTCAAACACAGACCACCTTATTATATCTTTGAAGGTACCGGTAATTTCTGATGATACTTTTGTTACAAAAACATGGAGTGCAGACGAGATACAATCAGTATTATCTTCCGCCAATGTATCAACTAAAGATGAATTTGTGCAAGCCATTGGCGTAGCTGCGCTCAAGAAACATGATACTATTGTACAATTGCTAGCACAAACAAGTAAAGATTCTATTTCAAAGTTGAGTGGCCACTATATAAAAGTTGAAAAATCCTACAACTTAATGACAGTGATGAAAAGTAAGAATTCTGGACAAATGTCATTGTTTATATCGAATGCACAGTACCAAGCACTTCATGAAGGTTTATTTATCGAGAAATCTGATGCAGAGATTTATCTGAGTGCATTTAAGAAGTATTCTACAGCTGGATCTCCTTTGTCACAGAATGTATGCAATGCTGTGCAAAAAATATGGCAGGAAAGAATCGCGGGAAAGCAAATTGAATCAAACTTGACTGAAATCCTACATCATCAGTTTCTTATGGAGCATGTACAAAACCAGAACAAACCATCATCAACAAAAAATGAAGATTCACTAGCAATACAAATTTATAGAGTTTTACGCGGCTTTGGCCAAAAATTGGAATACATAAGCACTTTAATAACCACATTAAATGACATTGCTTCATCAAAGTTTCTATACTCTGATGTAAAAATATTTCAAAATGTTTTTTCACAGTGTCAAAGTTGTCTAAATGAATTCTTTGATGAAACTGCTCATGAACTGTCTTCAGCTGAAGCCTCAGCACGGCTTGTGATAAGATCATATTTGGGAAAAATCGACAAATTAGCAAATGATCAGAAGTTCAACAAAATAAAACCATATTTGAGCTTTATGAAGGGTTATATTAAAGCCATATCATTTTGTTTAATTGAAGATTCACTTGAAGAGTTTGGCAAAATACGAGCTGCACAATCACAAATAAATGCTGTTTTGCAAGTAGATTTTGGACAAGATCTCAACATTGATCTCCGATCGGATGAATTTCGACATAAAACCGAGACTACTTCATTCACCAGCATCGATAAAAAAATACTAGACTTGTCATTGACAAATGTGGCATCCCCTGCGCAAATTTCACCGCATGCCGCTCGAATGCAATACTGCATTGATGTGAGGATTGATGAAGTGTGGAAAACTTTCATGAATAATATGCTTATAATGAAAAACAATCTTCCGGCAAATCCTTACCCAAGCTTAGTCACCTTGCTGCGACAAGCCTCTTTGAAAGTTCAGCTTTTCCGTGAAGACAATTCAGTCATTGTTAGGAGATTGCTTGGCAAACCAAAATCTTATGATGATAAGTTGAAATTATTTTCCATTCCTGGTGCGTCTGCATATGGAACATATAGCGCTGTTTCTGCCCTGAATTCAGTTGGTTTTCGTCAAATTAGTACTATGGCTTCTAGTGTAGCAATAATACCTCCACAGGCAGGAAAAGGAACACCTGCTGTAGCAGCTGGTGCATTCGAGCTGAAATCCTTTACAGCAATTTCAAATGAAGCTTTACTGTATGGATCAGTGACGCCCTATATATCAACTATTACTGTCAACGAATACTGTTTCATCAAGGGCTCACCGGCTCAAAAACATGATGGAATATTGAGGTTTTCAAAAGTACTGTTGATTAACCTTGGAAACTTACAAACTCAGGGTATTTTGCCAGTGAGAGCATTTTTTTCTGATGTGAATTTGAAACTTAATGATTTGAATGCTGTTTCATCGGAGTTTCACAACCAGTTCGTGTCTACTGTTGATACTCAACAACCCATTATGATACATTTGCTTATGCCCCTGGACTGGCGTTACGTACTAATTAAAAAGATAATCCATGTTTATTTTGTGAATGAAATGACAGATGACACTACATTTTTGACGAAACATGATCCACTCGCACCTCTGTGCCAGGTCTTTCTAAATGGAATTGATGCCGCTGAATACACAAGACGTATTCAGATTTTTGACGAAACGAATGATGATTTATTAAAAAGTAAGATCATGGAGACATGGAATGAATTTGATTGGCCATCATTCGCACAATTTTTACTTGTGCAAGGAATCGGTACCAGTGCTGGGGAAGACCTCACTGAGGAAAAAATTGAAGCAATAGGTTTCGGTTGGAAGTTATTTCATAGTCCCTATGGTGCACTGCACTACTCATCTGCTATTGCTAAAGCTATAAGGGAAGGATTAAAATATGATATTAAATCAGATACGGCATCAACAGTGAAAAAGAACCTCAAAGTGATGCTCGCAGGTTATCGTAATATTCTGAATACTACTTTAACAGCGCAAAGTACAATGTCATCATCAGCCTTGAATCTCTATTGTCAGGACTTGCTCCAAAATGCTGCACCAGTTGGTACAGTGGAACTGACACAAGGGTCAAATTTGCCAAGAGTGCTCGATCATGTAGCGAGCATCACACAAGCGATTTCAGATTCTATTGCTATGGATCTGGTTGAATGCTTTCTATCAATAAGAAAGATTGTCGACTCCAAAACAAAGTACTGAATTATCATTTATTTATTGCACAGTTAAATGTATATAAATTAACATAAAATTACAAATGACTGGACAAGTGATCTTTTTGTAACAATCCGTAAACTTCTTCAGACATATCAATAGTCTGCTTTGTGATATATTTATTCGAATTATCTGCCATTTTATTTAAAAAATAGCGATAATTCACCATGAGGCCGCAAGACTGTTGCATCCCAGATAGGCTTTCATCAGCCATCCAATTGACCCTCCATACTGTAGCACCATTTTTAAGATGAAAATTGGTGACCGGGTCCAGAGCATAGCTACGTCGTTTGATTTTGCATATGTAGATTGCACACAATTTCGTCAGAAGTTTTCTTACATGAACATCATGCTTTTTGTTCTTCAATTTTCTTGTATCTGTAACCAATTCTTTGAGATAATCGTTCAAGTTTTCAGATGCATCCTCATATTGGCTTCTCACACGTTCCAGGTCACCCAAATCAGAGTCTTCTAATTGCATAGCCAATGATCCATCATTAAGTCCACTGAGTAACCATCTCCTAAAACCTGGTCATAAAAAATACTTGTGAAATTCTTTATATTGCTGTAAATTTGTTACCAGAATGACTTTTTTCGTTCATTTTATACCTATAATTTTTACTGTTTGTATCATAAGGTATTGATGATGTGCTAGGAGTACAATGTTTGACAGACTATGAACGCAACTTACCAGGAATTGGAGAGAGACTTGAAAATGTTTCCAAGCCTGGTAATTCAGATTTGAGCTGATCCACTACAGCTTGTATCAAGTAGGCACCAAGTTCAATTCCCTTAACAAAAAGAAGTGAAAAAGATTTGAAAATCGAACAATGCTTCAATACATCACTCAAAGGGTAATGTAATCATATCAGAATATTTAAAATGAGGTTAGTTAATACACACTCAATAACAGTCAGAATATGGATGAATTATATTTCCCAGTTAAAAAACTTTGGATTCCAAATCTTGTGATGAAATTAGGTCAATGAATAACCATACCGATGGGTATAGAATATAGATCAAGGCCTAATGCAATCAAGGTTTACTGCTTATATCAACATAATCAGAAACTACCTGAAGCCCCTTCTGTGTTGAAGTGATTGAGTAAAATATTGCACAATTTGCTTCCTGTGGATCATAACCTAAAAGATAGATTTTAAAGATATATTTGAGTTGTCCTTATTAAACAATATTTGAATGTTTGCAATCCTTGTTCTCAGCTGATGAAGAACTACACTGAATTTCAAACTGTGTAGTATTTTGGAATGTTCACTTACCCTTTCCAGTCTCTCTGTAATCTAATATTTCCTTAATGTTATCAGATATATCTTGAGTCAACGCAACATGTAGAACGATGATAGGTTCATGCGGCATGCTTTCGTGAAAAAATGAATAACAACGGCGATTGGGACCCAGTCTGTGTTTCAAGTCCATCCAATTTCTAACTGTATGTACAGCTTCATGCTTTGCCAACTGATAAAATGTAAAATTGGAATTAAAAAAAGTTCCAAAGATGGACTAAAAATCATAGAAATCTTTGTGGACACGATGGCCTACTGATTGAAACATTAGACCTAACTGTTTGGCACAACAGCGTATACTCTGGTTCAAATTTCATGTCCCCCACCTCACCCCAAATTGGGCAGGCAATATCGTACTAACAGCTCCGATCATCTCGTTAGATGTCACATGCTGCTTGTACACGGCCTTGTTCAGAGTGAAAAGCTTGTATGAATTTATTTTCGAAAGATGTATTGGGTACTTTCTAAACCATATAGACATTACTACACGTTTTCATTCAAACAGAGGTTAATTTGTCATTTAAAGTCATGCATGAGATATTTCCATTCACTAGCCCAGAACTGGGCAATTTGTAGGCAATGGAAATTCAAGGAAATGGGACGGATGGAACACTTCTATGGGTCGTCTGGCCCGTGGGCCGTAATTTTGCCCACCCCTGCACAAGCCTATACCACCTCAGGTATCTGCTTTATATTAAACACAAACAACAATAAACAAACCTTTTCAAGTATGTTAGCAGAAGTTTCCCATGTTATTCTACGAAGTTGAAGAAGTCCTACAGAAAACCACAGGCTCAGTATTTCCTTGATATCTTCTGACAAATGCCTGGAAAACAATCATCAACAACAGTTAATTTGCAATAGTTTAAGATAGCTGAGCCACTTCATGAGTGTATCGGTAGCACATCAGGTATTTATACCCTATTTATTGAATTTGTTTGATGAAATAACAACCATTCTTTCAAAGCTGCCTATAATTTGTGTACTCTGTGCAATTTCAATAATTCCCAAGCCCCTTATAGACTGAAAAGTGTATAGCCCAATATCAGTGCGAAATTCCAAATACTTCTTGATGCTGTTGTTATTAATTAATAAATGGACCCTCAGAATATGGAAAAAACTTATTGAGATATTTGGTTATCACATAGTCTCTTACAAGACAGCATCTGCTTCTTCTCTTGGCCCTTCGCCTCTCCTTGCTTCAGTAATTGTATCTTTTCTCATGTCAATCAAAAATTTCACTCCGTCATTTAGACTGCCGAGTTGAGTGAGAAACGTATAGTATGTTGGTTTCAACAATTGGTTTAATTTCCTCTCACTTCTGAGTAGTGTTGATATTCCATTCTTAAAATAAGTAACACAGTTATTATTGGGTTGCTTATTGATAAATAAACAACTCTACAAATATTTATATGCAGAAATTATATCAACAATACAACTTGCTAAACACTTTTACGTACTACTACCACTAAATGACAAGTGGCAGTTTCAACACCATATTTATGAAAAACATTTTCCATGGTTATACATTATTTATTAAATTATTGGTTCTGCAAGTACCGGTAATACTCAATACTATACTATTTATTGATATTCTAATAAAATACTTGAATGAACAGTTGCAAAACACTTACTTTATCCTTGTATGAATTAGCCAAGCTCTCACATTGCTTCTGGAGTAATTCTCTGTTACATCCATATGATTTAAATAAAGATAAATATATATTTCTTTTTTCATAGTCTGACATAGTTTTGTAAATTTCCACAAATTTTTCAAGACTTTCCTTTTTCAAAATCCTTCCTCCGTCTTGTCTATATTTTTCATTTTCGACTGATTTCATAATGTCATTGGTCAAGTTTTCCATGTCACTGTTACTTGAAGAAAAGCGAGACAGCTTTAAACTTGTCATCCCTTGGCCTTGCAGCATACCGAATGATGATCGCCATATAAATGATTTAACTTTACGTACTATCATGTCATTTCTAAAAATAATAATAACTTTATGGTCATATACCATTGACACATATCAGTGATAAAAGAAATCATTTCAATATTCATTAATTAATAGCAGTCACAAAAATTGCATCACATCGATACAATAAGTCATACATGATAAGGACCAACTCAATCAGATTGAATTTCCCAAACAATAGATAGTTGTGTAAGCGTGGGTATTTATCCAAACCAGGCAGCCATATCTCAACAGTCAGGCAGTGTGGGTATAAGTCAGGGCGTTCCAAGGTTGTCGGCCTCGCGGGCCACAAAAGTGCTAATAATAGGTAAACAGTGCAATATAAAACAAACATTTTCATTGTCCAAACACTTGATCATTATTTGTCATTCATCAAGCTAACTCATGAAAAAAACACTAAAAAACTCACTAAAACCTGCAAAAATCTTACTATATCTACATTTAGTGTAAGATTTCAAACTCTTTATAACGGAGAAAGTGTCACAGGAAGAAAATGCTGTTTTAGATGTCACCAACACAACTTGCGGGCATATCAAACAAGCATTGTGGCATTTTCTGGTTATTTTTATGCTGAAACTACACCAAATGCTGAAATGGGATTTTTTGTTTACTCTCCCACAAATGTGACGTGGGCCACAGATAATGGAGCGGCGTGCAACATGTGGCCCGCAGGCCTGGGTTTGGACCACCCTGGTATAAGTCACTTGACTCCTGATCATAAGAATCTCTTTGAAGAAGTCTTTGATAAATAGTAACTCAAGTCGAGTCAATGACTCAAAGCTGCATCAAGTCAAACAAAGTGATTTCAAACTGAACTTCTACACCCCGATTAAGTATACTTAATTCGTTTTGGAAATAGTAATCTCAGAAACTAGTATCCACAGCACAAAATCAGTGATTCATCAATCTTGATCTTTTTCAAATTTGGATATGGCATCTTCAAAGGTTATTAAAACATGATCCGAAGTGTTTAGCAGTTCTTCCAATCCTTTTCTAAGAACATCAGTAGGAGATACACCATTTGTTTGTATTCTTAAATTAAGTTTATTCTCAGCTGGATGAGGAATAGAATATCCACAAAATTCTACTTCTGGATTTTTCATAATTATGTATCGAAGAGCATTCCCAAGTGTGTGATCTTCATCATAAAAAACAAACGTACAGCAATTTTCTCCACTCCCATCTTCAAGGGGTTCAATTTGTAATTTTGCTTGTGAGGCATTCAACATTTTCGATATATTTGTGTACACTGGTATACAGGTATATGCTGATATAAACAAAATAAAAGCTGTCTTCATTACATAAACACTTAGTTCAGTAGTTAGCTAGATTCGAAATGCCACTAACTCTGTCAGTCTGTAGATTTGTCTAAATTTGAAGGCTGACGGACAACACACAGAGACAACTGACTACAGAGATGTCTGATGAGTTGTTCGCCTTTTCCATGGTGACCTTATAAGACTGTCTATAAGAGTGTAAATTCAATCTTTTCAGGGCTCCAATGGCGAGAAAAACACATTAATATTTTTATGTGTATAAGTGACCATGTTACACAAATACCTGAATACAGTCTACAGACAGACAGAGGAAACTGGGTCTGTCTATGTTAACATTAGTGATGTTAGACCGCTGACGTCAAATTGTTACCGGTATACAGATATAGGACTGTGTGCGTTTGAATTTTGTTGATATTGGATTTTCGAATGCGTATTTTTAAACATAATAAAACCTTTATAACACACATAACTTTAGTCTACATTGTGAGCTTGGTAGCCGACGGTCGCATGAGTCCCTGTGCTAAGCGTTAGAAATACGCTGCCACCGCACGTATGATTACTCTGCGTGGGTTCGCAGGTAAGAATCCCATGCACCGATGGTTATGTGCGAGAGGATTGCTGGACTCATCGCGCCGTTGGGTGGTTCATGTAACCGCTGGTCGGTTACGGCTTCGTCCACTGTCAAGTCCATGCCTCCGAAAACAAATAACTAACTAATCCCATACCCGATCTGGAATGGTAACTGGACGAGAGGCCGTGGTTCGCCATATGGTTAAGCCGTCTTGTCGGCTTTCCTCTCCCCCGGGATAAATATGTAAATCCTATCCTATCAACTCGCCTACCGAGCAATCGCTCTGCGAATATACGATGTCGATGCTCGAGAGGCAGTCAGACAGACCGTAAATATATACTATTACAGACAAATCACCAGTCGAGCAATCGCTCTGCAATGTCGAGGGGAAGACAACTCGACTACCGAGCAATGAGAGGCAGACAACTCACCAGTCGAGCAATCGCTATACGACAGGCCTGCCCAACCTTTTTCGTCTCGCGGGCCACTTTCACGTGACGAAATCGGTCACGGGCCGCAAACGTTTGTACCAAACATTAATAAGAGATAAGTCCTGATTTTGGTGTAGGTAATTACATAATACATAAAAGGCGAGTTTATCAACATGAAATCAATCAAATTGTTAATTGCTTTCTGGTTACTGGGTAGGGCTGACAAATTATTCGAATAGCGGTTCACTATTCGAATATCTGGTAAACGGAGCGTGGACATAACACTCTCGGGCGACCGAATCAAAGAATGATTCATTACACAACACACTTGCGGTTTTTTGGCGACCACGCAAGAAACACACACATCACACACATACTGCTTTAATGTTTGAATTAAGCATAATGTGCGTCAATGTCGCGGCAATATCAAGTTTTAGTGGACCGTTTCGTAAAATTTGAAACACCAATACAAGTAACGAAGATTTCTGAACGAATAGTTGACAAATACTGATTTGTGTCTAATTAGTAGCAATGCCATTACGTCAATTTCATCAGAATTATTGACGAATACGCAGTGACGACATTTCCAAAATCTTATTTAACGCGAACATAACATGAATAAAAGTACAAACATAAAAAGACAACGAGTCCGGGGACCAAGTACCCAAGATATTGTTGACATTTTATTTTACGCTGGCGATAAAGACGATCGAAGCAGACACGAAAGTAAACAATCAGAATGAAATTAATTCGCAAATTTAGGCTCCAAATTCATTCCTATAATTGCGCTCAGCGTTCGTCCTCAGTGATCGCACAATATCTTTCGAGTTCCTCGAACAGAACGCTCAGTTCTGCGAGAAATAAAAAAAATGACGTCGATGTTCACCAGGTTGCAAGACTTGACACATACATAATAATAGGAACCGGCATTTGAATGTAGATAGATGGCAGGAATAATCACACCAAAATCAGAAACGTACTTAACCCTATATATTGATATATTACATGGTAAAAACATAAAAAGTCTGCTTACAAACTTTATAGGGCGGGCCGCAAAAAACAGTTCGGCGGGCCGCAGGTTGGGCAGCCTTGCTATACGGAGTTACGATGTCAATGCTCCGAAATAAGGAACAAAATCCTTGCGAAACACGAACAGATGAACACAATACCAAAGATTGCACAATACGAAACAAGAAGAAAATCCCCGTTTGAACGTGACAAGGATCGGATTACTGGAGTCGAAAACTGATTGATATTTTTTGAAAAATCAGAATGGTCATATACAAAAACATTGAATTTCTTTTTTTTTTGATATAAAAATTAAACAGGAAATAAAAAAAAAAAACAAAGTGGATGTTCAGGCATTTTTCTAATCAATATCTATCTATGAATATTTGATCATAATTGTGCATGAATTTTAGACATTTAAATATATTCATTAAAGCCGGTATTGCATAGAATATGTCACATAATGATTGATCTATGTATGAGATCATCCATGTGTTCATGAAATAATAAATCATGTGTGACGACCCTTGTTTTATCTGTTAAATCAGGGGTGCCATGTAAAATCTTTGGTCAAACTCGTGTGTATTCGAGGGCGGCATTGCATATTGGGAATTGTGCCAAGCGCCGCAAACAGTTTTTAATAATTAGGCCGCGAGCCGAGGCCATTTATCTTTCAGTTTCGTAGCGCACATAAGGTAACTAGCCTACCTGAAAATGATTTTAAAATGTTCCTTAGAAATTTAGTAACAATTATTGCCTTGTTCCCACTTCCAACAGTTGCACGTTTTACAGAAAAGACGCTTTTACTACAATAAATATGTGTTACCATCTGTCCTATTTTCTCTGCTTTTCCGGTATCATGGGCCAATGAACGCAGACTTCTGCATGACGTAACAATCAAATTAGTCAGCTGTAGGTGGATCCCCAGTGGTCGGATGAATATCAGATGTACTACTGCTCGCTTTTGCGTTGAGTAGCCTTTCCATAGTTTTTTTCACTTAATATTAGTTCAGTTATTCTAAGGAGGTGTTTAAAAGTATAAGTAAGATATTAAACACTTGTATATCCTTACCACAAATAGCAATTTTAGTTGAGCACTAGCTCATTAACTCTAGCTCAGACGTTGTTAAATAGGTAGGGTGCGGCAATGAGCATGTATATATGCTCATTGGGTGCGGTAACTCCAAGGAAGGCTATACCTAGAATAATATGTCACAAACAACGATATTTTCTGGCTTGCATGAAATGTTTATGATAAATTTAATGACTCTTCTTGACTATTCAGCAGGCTTAAACTACTATATAGGCCACAGCATATTTGGAAATAGAAATTAATGGCTGTTTTTGTTATGCACGGTTGTGTGAAAAAGAAGAAAATAATCAATTTTACTAATGTCGGTTGGTCTAAATCTAAATTCATAGAGTCAACAAGAACCTGGGAAGCAATAATAAGGTATGCCGGAATACAAAGAAAGTAGCATTGGAAACGATTGAGAGGTGAGAAATCAAGTTGTAGACAGACAGTTGATGTTTTAAAATATAGTCTAGGCCAATTCCTTGTCAGATCTCCAAGCCATTCCACCCACTATCACAGATTTTATTTATACTTTGCATATATCCAGAATAACTTCCTACAAGCAAAATAAAAAAAATTTGAACAAATTTCGTCAAGTATTAGAGAAGTTAGAGCATTTTGAAGATTGCCAATATTTATGAACGAGACAATCTTTTGGAGGTTTTATAAAATCAATTTTTAAACATTTATGTGCTTTTTTTAGATTATTTTTTGATTATTATACCCAATTTTTGGTGCTGTTGAAGAAAATACAATTGCGCCTCAGGAGGGTAAAAAAAAATTATTTTTTCACTTTCCGAACCTCCCGAAATTCCTGATTTAAACTCAAAACAGCCTTCAGAATCAGTCATGCGCGACGAAGACTTCATCTTCAAATTACAAAAATGGGTAAGTTTTGTTTTCGATAAAATGGATACTTTCTGAAAGCTTGGTAACAATGCAAGTCTGTGTAAAAATTTCATTTTGTATTTTAAAAAATACAACTTATTTTTGCTCTGTCAAAGTCGTGTTCAAATTCTAGGTCAAAATGTTATATAAAGTGATATTTTCTCTATGACGTCATAATGGTGAATAAGTGATAACACAATAAACATAACACATTTATGAATCAGATGCCCAATCAATTGGAACTGAACATAGTTTTTTATTAAATAACATAATAAACATATTAACACATTAAATAACATTTAATAACAGGCAATAATTAATTGAGAATCACAAACAAGGAATACCCAAATAACTGCATGAAACAGTGTAATGAAACAGTGTAAAACATTTAAATTATTCTCTGTTGGGTTGTTTTTATGGGAATCTTTCATTCCAAACAGATGATATAAGGGAAGCCGATTGTTCTGTTAGTTGATACTGTCCCCTAGTTGTTTGTAATATGGGGCATTCTATTGGGCAGATCACATTTTCAAAGGGAACCCAGCATCTGTCATTATTGGTTGGCCAGTAGAATGAAACAGCCGGCCCAGCTGGATGGAAAAAATCGACATTCAAATCACCTTGGGCTTCATCCACCTCTGAAACCATTCCTATATATCATTTTCTCTCATAAACACAACATACATATTTCCCAACATTAAAATTGTTTCTAGGTGTTACATTTTTGTTAAAGTTCCAAATTTAGCTGTATTCATAATCATTACTAATCCTTTTCATTCCTATTTGATAATTTGAGAGTGGTGTAAAATTGTGGAATGTTCTGGTTCCTTTGATGGTCGAAGCCCCAATCCGAGTTTGCAGTTTGGACCTTGATAATTTTAAATCTTCAGAAGGAAGGTGAAAAAAGTGAATCGATGGCATATGTTTTTTACAGAATTCCATCATTTTAGAAACATCATCAATCTGATGTTCTGGTTCG